TCCGATGCTGTACCCCAGAATATCCCCGAAGTAAGTCATGAACTGCAACCACCCGAACGCCATGCCGCGATTGGTCGGAGACGCCAGGTCAGCGATGAGTGATTGGATCGGGGGGAAAACCAGAGCGAGGCCGATGCCGTTGATCCCACGTAACCATGCCACCTGGCTGTATGACGTGGCGATGCCCACTGCCAGCGTGGCAAGGCCCCAGATGAGCGCGCCCGTGGCGATGACGTGGACGCGGGGCAGGTAGAGGGAGAGCCATGGCGCGAGCGGGCAGAGCAGCGCCTGCATGAGTGCGCGGACGAGGGTGAGTGCGCCCAGGTCCCTGGGGGATGCATTAAATGCGCGCCCCACCTGTGCAGGGGGGAGGGGGAAATTTTTGGAGGGGAGAAAGGCGGGGGAAGAGCAGTGGAGGGCAGAGCAATGCCTGCATGAGCGCGCGCACTAGGGTGAGTGCGCCCAGGTCCCTGGGAGATGCGTGGAAGGCGCGGCCCACCTGTGAAGGAGGGAGGGGAGAAAGGCAGGAAGAAGGAAGAGCAGTGGAGGGCAGAGCAGCGCTTGCAAGATCGCACGCCACCTGCCACAGAGGGAGTGGGGCGACGTGAGAGGAGATTCGATTTGAGGCATCTCAGGACCGGCTTGCTTTCACAGCGCGAGCGGGCAAAGCAGCGCCTGCATGAGCGCGCGGACTAGGGTTAGCGCGCCCAGGTCCCTGAGGGAGGTATGGAAGAGGTGACTTTTGAGTCGCCTCAAAAGTGTGCGGACTAGGGTTAGCGCGCCGAGGCCCCTGAGGGAGGTATGGAAGGCGCGCCGCACCTATGAGAGTCTACGAACAGCGACGCGTTCCGGGAAGGAGTTGCTAGTCGCGCGCCGTATTCGTTGTGCGACTAGCAACTCGTTACCAGGAGCGCAACGCTCTATGAGAGGACGTTCAAAGAGAGGAAGTCACGTCACGCCATCTACCTCGTTGTACACGGCCGGCAGCAGCGACTCGTCGGCCCTCTCGACGATCGCGGCGACGTTCACGAGGACGAGCGTGCGCAGTCGCACGTCGCACCACCATCGCACGCTCATGCTCTCGCGCTCCTTCTGTCGACCGAAGCACTTTTTCACCTGCGATTACTCTCCCGAAATTATAACAATGACTCTCAGAGGATCTAAGCGGCCCGCTCCTTCGACAGTGGACATGACATCAGCTGCCGTGAACGATTAATCCCCTCTACTGTCAAAGAAGGGCCCGCGCGAGAACGCAGCGCGGCGCGTGACAGAGTTAAGATTGAGTGGCCGAACCGCTCTAAATCTAGTACCGCGGATCCGCAGGGATGTGCGAAGTTCGCAGGAAATGTTTGGGCAGGTGCTTTTCCTCCCTCTCATTAGGGCGCGTGTCTTTTGGTGTGGAGGTTCAAAATTAAGGTCGACCTTTTGGTGGTAACCGGCTTCGTTAATTTCGTTGAAAGCTGTTTGCGATAATCGTGTTTCCAAGTTTAAAGATTGATGAAACAGAGGGACAATGAACTGGGGTCGAATTTTCACGTGCCCGTTTAGCCAAACGTGTGTTCTTCTTTTCATGCACAGTGAATCTGCGACACTTGCGATAGTAACGAACGACATCGTACCTCGTTACTTCATCCGCATTAGTTTACGAGCTACGTTTTCAAATCGGGTAACCTACGAAACTGGGGCGCGACTCGGGTTTTACTGTATAAAGTCGAACTTCTGAAGTCGAACTTTGATGTGCCATGTGATTTTTGGGAGAAAAAATCGCGACTCGGGACCCAAAACTTGAGATACTCGAGTACAGGTCGACCTAGGTTCAAACGTAAAAAATCGACTAGAAAACATGAACTTTGCAATAAAATCCAAAAGACACGCGCCCTTACTCACTACGTGGAGTCTCGACACAGGTTCAAACGCAACATATTCAACTTGTATTGCACACTACAGCGTTCATAGTAGTACCTATAATTTATTATCACGTGAATCTAGACAATGGAAGGGAAGGAAATCTTCACCAACCCTCCGTGTTTCCCGCCGTTCCCCTCCCCATCTGCTGCAGCGCAAACTCGTTAGCGCGGATGCTTTCTTGCACCAATCGCAGCAGCTCCTTCGAGCTCCGCCCGCTTAGTATGTCCTGCGAGTCGCACGCCGTCGCGGCGGGCAAAGGCACCACTGGCGACGCCTGCGACGCCGGCGAAGTCGCAGAAGGTCCACCTGACCATCTTCGCGACGTCGCCTCGCTGCTCACCTCTGCTGGGCTCCCTCCGAATTCCGAAACCCACCGCTTACGGCCGTCGTTCACGGAATTCAGCTCTTTTAATTGCCGCAACATAAGCGCGCGTGTCTCGGGGGGGACAGACTTTGTCCGTGGGTGTACTACGTCAGCGCAACCATTGGCCGCGATTGGCGCCGCCATTGCGGCCTTCGTGAACTCCGCAAGCATTTGCGAAAACGCCGTCGTGTCGGGAATCGACGGTGCGGATTGAAGCTTCGGCTGAATTAACGGCACAGCGACCGCGACTCCCGGGCTCGAGCCGCGCACGACCCGCTCGATCTCCTCAGGCTGGTTCGGGTCAATTGGCGCGCAAACGACGCTCGCCGTCACCTGTGATGACGTGTCCTGTCGCGAATTCCGCAGATTTTTTTCGACCGCTTGTCGGTCAGCATACTCTGCGAATAAACCTGAGCGTATAGCTTCCAAGCTTGTCGAAAATGCCGCGGCGCTCGAGCCTTGCCTTTCAAGCGTCATGTGCCCTTCAACTGTAGCACCAGCGGCGATGCCTCTACTGCTTGATACCCCCACCATGTTTTCCGTTGTCCCTCCACCGTTGGACCTTTCTCCGCCATCCGATACAGCCGGGTCGCATTCGCCTCTTTCTCCGTTGCTTCGCGCGGCGCACTCGGGCCAGATTACATCAAGCAGGCGGTTCGTCTCCTCGTCGAAGTCGCCCAATTCCCCCAAATCGGCCAAGTCGGCCAAATCGCTCGCCTCGTTCCGCGACTGAAAGCCGTCTGACGGCGCGATGCCACGAAGCACAGAGGCATTTCCAAGAGCAGTTTTAGTAGGACCACCAGCCACACGCGAGCTCTGACTCGGGCTAGGGCTGGCCGTCCCGGCCCCCCGTATCTTACTGAAAACGGGTGCGCAAATACCGCGGACGGTAGCTTCGTTGCGCGCGACTGGGTTGGAGTTTGTTAGCTCATCCAATGCCGCCATGACGTCAGCGGGCATCCGAAGACGGTCAGCATGCAAAAACGCGTCGCGATGGTCGCCGGGAAAAGTTCCTACTCGCTGGCGCTTCGCTTCTGAATTATCCATGTCGAATCGCTGGCGCTTCGACTGGAAGGACGGGGTGTTTGGGAATGGGAAGAAGCGCGCCGCGAGAGGCACGACGTCGACGGAATTCGACGCGCAGGATATGGCGTTGTGAGCGGGTAATCCTGATCCCTGCGTGACGTTTGAGACGGCGGGAAATGACGAGACGTTCCAGAGCGGCATTGCGCCTACGAATGGCGCGAAATGTGTTGGCTGCTGTAATCGGCGATCGAAGTCGAAAGCTCAAGCCGTCATCGAGGAGATCGCGTTATGACTGAAGGCTAGCAAGACATGTACGAGAGAGGACTGGTCTGGTCACTGAAGGTTGGAGGGCGCCATTTGTAGACATACAAAACAAGCATCAAGGCGACTGTGAGTGAGGCTTGCGGTTGCGGGTGAGGCTCATGGCAGCTGTGTGTGGGAAAGTTGACGGGTGGGGTGGAATGGAGCGAAGTTGGGAGGGAGTTTTCGCAGCAAAGCGACAGCTGCACATGGCGAGATTCGCAGTTGGCGAAATCCCCGAACATCGGCATGTGACAGCCCCAATTCTTCTCCCCCGATGTGATGCGAAACTCGCTCTGTATAAAATCAGAAATTCGCTTGCAGTGTTTGAAAGCAATCCCGCATTGTCATGCTTTTGTCTCGATGCGGGCTGCTTCCTCGGGCACTTCGCTAGCCCCAGCGGCCCGATGACGCCTGCACACGAGTGTGTGACTTCAACGAGCGTGATCCACTGCCCTGCCGGGTCTCGTTCTGAAGGGAAGGCGAAAGCAGCTGTCCAATTGTCCAACGAGCCGTGTACACAAACGATGACGAAAGCAACTGTCCAATTGTCCAAAGGTCAAAGAGATTTCTGGCTCGAAGCTGTATGAATTCTGGCAAGCAAGTACAGTACACGTGTTTGCGGCCAAACCTGCATGCAGTTTCGAACTGTACACGTGTTTGGAGATCTCCATCGTTCTGTTGGCGAGCATTTGGAGATGAAACGGGACAGAGGGTAGGGTCATGTACAACTGGACGAGATGGAACGCCACAGCTGGGCGGGACGGGACGGGACATTTGGTTTGGGCCCGGAACTGGATTCGCTATGGGGAACTCCAACAATGTCATTTGATTGGAGAATTGAGTGTCACTTGACATACCCGTTCGCTGCCGGGCAGCCTGCGAATCTCTCCTCCACATGGTGTGCGGATCATCTTCGAAGCACATGGATGCAAGGGTTCAGGTGTGAACAGTAGCACGCGGTGGAGCACATGGGATGGGAGACGACAACTTGACATGTGAGAGGGTTGGTGAAATTCTCCGCTACAAATGGAATCGTTCAACTTGTATTACGTCCATGGCTTGACTATTGACAGAAACAATCCTTATGGAGAACACATAACATTTAGCTCCTTGGTTACTCATTGCTACTATAGCGTAGTAATTGTTTTCACTGATATCAAGAGTAAACATCAATCATAAAAAAATAACATATAACAGTTTGAGAGATCAGTAAATGATGACATAAAAAGGAAGTTCTTTGCTTGGGGCCCAAATGACATTACGTTCTTGTTATAATAGGTGCCTCTTAGTGATGAATCATAAAACGGGGCACGGTCTCGCCATTTTCCCCTAGCCCGCTATCCTACGTTGTAGCGTGTTGGACTAAGGAGCAAAGCAGAACCATCAGAGCATCAGACACATGGCGGGACCGCATCCGCGGGCCAGTAACTCCCCGTTCGCGACACGCCAGCGCTCCTTCCTGCTCCACTCAACCACTCACACTCGCGTTGCAATTGTCGCCGCGCTGCTAGTCGTCTCTCTCTTTCTCGTCCTCCCGCAATCCACGCGCGAGCTTCTATTCCACACCGGCACCCCACCAGAGTCCCTCTCCCCGTCAGCGTTTCCGGAGCTCGAGACTACCAATGCCACGTCAGGCAAGAATGTCCACGTGGACGCTGACGTGGAACATGTCACCCGGTCGCCTCTGGTCCCGCTGACGGTGCTTGCTGACCTGGATGATGACGGCGCAGTTTGCTTAGACGGCTCGCCGCCAGCCATCCATCTCTCCCCCGGATGGGGTCGCGGGGCCAACAACTGGCTGATTTACCTCGAGGTCGGTCACACAGAGTCAACGCAGGTCAACTCAAGTAGATGTATGCCAGTGCTGATCAAACGCGGTCAACGCAGGTCAATGTTCAATGCCAGTCCGCGTCGTTCAACGCATGTACAAGCCAGTCCGTGTGGGGCCATTGCTAGCCTTTGTGCACTTTCTGCAACCCAAGCACTCCTATTGTCACATGCATGTGTTGTGACAGGGCGGGGGGTGGTGTAACAGCGAGGAGGAGTGCGCGCATCGCGCCGCCACCCATCTGGGTTCGTCCAAGCGCATGGGGGGTCTCATGGCCTTCGGAGGGATCCTCTCCCATGACCCTTCAGTCAACCCTGGTGCGTTGAATGTTGACCCTGGGCGTTGAAAGTCAACTCTGGTGCATTCAATAAGCGTCATTCAACCTAAGGTCGAGTCTGGCGCGTACGGTGCATCCAAAGAGTTGACCTCTGACCTCTGTACGTAGGGACATTCATCCACGTATGTTGGTTTGACTTATGAGAATTCTCAAAAGTCAAACCAATGTACGGTGCATCCAAAGAGTTGACCTCTGACCTCTGTAGAGACATCCGTCCACACACATTCTGCACCAACCTGTCATTCCTTCTTAACAAGTTGCAATCGACAGCCACGAGTATTTTCCCCTTTGCACAGAATGTGCCCTTCCTCCATTTCTCCTCCCCCATTGCTCCTCCGCCATTGCCCATTCCGCCCATTCCCTCTCCCCCTGGACGCTTCAACAGATTTCTACACTTGGAATCTGGTTCTCTTTCGTTATTGTGACGGTGCCTCGTTTGCCCTCTGCGATTGCTCCTGTGCCATTCCCTCTCCCCCTGCCCGCTCCAACAGACTTCTACAACTGGAACCTGGTCCTCTTTCGTTATTGCTCCCCCTCCATTGCCCCTCTGCAATTGCTCCTGTGCCAATCCCTCTCTTCCTCCGCTCTCCAACAGACTTCTACAACTGGAACCTGGTCCTCTTTCGTTATTGCTCCCCCTCCATTGCCCCTCTGCAACTAAGTTGCAAAATACGCTTATAGCGTATATACGCTTATCGTATATACGCTAGCGTATATACGCTATCCGCTTAGGGGGCAATTTGAACATACGTCTTTTCGGGCAGGGAAAAAACTTCCCCGGGCAGGGCAAAAAGAACCGCCAGGGCTATTACAGGGGGGAATCTACGGTGTTATGTTTCAGAGGTAATATTTTTTCCCCATAAAAAGATTGCAACTCCTACACACATTACTACATAATACTCTCCTACCGCCAGGGCTATTATAGGGGGGGAATCTAGGGTGTTAGTCCACAATTTTTTAAGGTCTGGCTGCCCCAAAAAAATATTTGCCAGCGTTTAGCGTATTTGCTGGTGTTTAGCGTTTAGTGTGTAAACGCCAGCGTATATCCGCTAAACGCAAAGGGTCTCTAGCGTTTTTTGCAACTTAGCTCTGCAATTGCTCCTGTGCCAATCCCTCTCTTCCTCCGCTCTCCAACAGACTTCTACAACTGGAACCTGGTCCTCTTTCGTTATTGTGACGGTGCCTCTTACCTGGGTGACACAAACGAGCCACTCCAGACAAACAACGGTCTTGTCCTTTTCCGGGGGAGGCGCATCTTCGACGCGGTAACCCGGTACCTCGTCTCCCACCACGGCATGGGGGCGGCATCGTTTGTCTTATTATCCGGCTGCTCTGCTGGCGGGTTAGCCGCCTTGCAGCACTGCGATAGGCTGGCGGAGATTCTCCAGCAATCCTTCAGCCAATCAGCAAGCAAGGGAGCAGGATCCGTGGAAGGAGAGGAGGAGAGCGCGAGAGAAGCGAGAGGGCAGGTGGGGGGAGGCCCGGTGGTGAAGTGCATGGGTGATGCGGGGTTCTTTCTGGACTCGGAGGATGTTGGAGGAGTGAGGCGCATGCGAGAGCGGTTCAGAGCGGTTGTTCAAACTCAGGTGAGCTGGCACGACCTGGCATGAGCTGGCATAGGTTGAGAGAGACGATGAATAATTTTTCTCGGCGTGGATTAACTTTTGAGCCGCCTCAAAACTGTATTCTCTGGATTCCTCCCCACCCCTCCAGTCCCCCTCGTTCCACTTATCATTGGCCCAGTCCCCATTGCCTCGTGACCTGCAACCACATCCCATCTCCCCTCTCCCTCCCTTCATGCAATGTGTTTGTTCTTCCCTTCCCATTTCTCTGCCTTATCCCCCTCCCTCCCTCCCCCGTCCACCATATCACCCCCTCACCTCCCCCTTGCACCGTCAGAGCAGTGCCACCACACGACCATTATCTGCTGTGCTGTGCCCTTCTTGACACCCCCGCCCCTCCCCCTTGCACCATCAGAACGTGTCACTGAATGAAAGGTGCACAGCAGCAGTGCCACCACACGACCACTATCTGGTGTGCCTGTTCTTCATTCCTGCTCGTTCCCATTTCTCTGCCTCCCATGTTCCCCCATCCCAACCATCTCCCTCCCGCCGCACATCCCCGCCCCTCTCTTTTGCACCATCAGAACGTGTCACTGAATGAACGATGCACTGCAACAGTGGCACCTCACGACCATTATCTGGTCTGCTCCTCTCCATTCCCGCTGCTCCTCTCCACTCCTGCTGCCGCTGCTGCATACCTTATTATTGGCATTTTGTTGCCGTAGCCTGTTCCTGCCATTCTCTCCACACCGATTGCTTGCGCTGAGAGTGGCTGAGAGAGGCTGAGAGAGGCTGAGTGAGGCTGAGTGAGGCTGAGAGTTGGCGGTGGTTGCTTGCATTGCAGCATGGAGAGTTGCCTTGCAAGTTGCGATATACATTTCTGATGCCTCATGGTTGGGAGGGTGCAGCAGACATGGCCCATCGTTTTCTGAGGGGCCAACCAAAAGCCGCGTCAAAATTTGAGGCACCTCAATAGGATCCAGCAGACATGGCCCATCGTTTTCTGATTCATAACCCGTAACCTGTGCATGTGCACGAACCATCACAATTCATTATTCATGAACCATGACCTTATGGTGCATGATCCATCACAAGCTATGCCTTCCCCTTCCCACCATTCACCATGATAAACCATCCACCATCCCCACATCCCCCATGCCCATCCCCCACCCATGCCCCACCCATCCCCCACCAATGCCCCACCTATGCCCCACCCATGCCCCATGGCCCATACCCCATACCCCATGCCCCATGTCCCCAGTGCTTCTTCCCAGAGCATCTCCTGCCCTTCCTCCACCGGCCCTTCTTCATCCTCAACCCCCTCTACGACTCCTGGCAGGTACTTTCTCAGGTTGGGTGACTCCTGGCAGGTTCTTTCTCAGGTTGGGTAACTCCTGGCAGCTTATTCTCAGGTTATGCTTATAAATTCTAAATGGTGGATCTAATATCCCACGCGATCTGAGCAAAATTTATCAGCCAAATCAACCGGACTATTTCTTCCCCTCCTGCATCTCCCCCTCCGACCCTTCCCCTTTTCACCCCTTCCTCTCTCGCCCTTCTTTCCCCGAACAAACAGGTGTCCTTCTCGTTCGCCCAGCATCAGGCTTTTCCCTCCCTAGACTGGCATCGCTGCCATACTGACCTGCGCTCCATCTGCCCACACAAACCCTTCGTTTCCAACCCCACGTTCCCCCACCCCCTCCTTTCCCCCAACAAACAGGTGTCCTTCTCGTTCGCCCAGCATCAGGCTTTTCCTTCCCTAGACTGGCATCGCTGCCGTACTGACCTGCGCTCCTGCCCCCCCCACCTTCTGCAGCTCCTCCACGGTACAGTGCGGTGATGAGTGGTGAGAAGCGATGGTGTGTGATGATGAGGGCTGAGGCTTGGTGCTCCTGCTTTAGCCGTTCTCCAAGCCCCTGCCTGCTTTTGTTTGATATCTTCCTTTCTTTCCCAGCTGTCTTCATTGCAGCGCTGCACTCGTGAGAATCCGCAAAGGCAAGAAGAATCCCCAAACTTCGTGCATGCACCGCAAAGGCACCAGATTCTTGGGAATCCTTTTGAGTCGACTCAAAAAGGGAAAGCCTCAACTTGGTGCCGCAGTCCTTTGCGGCACCAAGTTCTTCAGATTCCCATAGCTGTACCTCGGTCCTTTGCCATCCGTCTGACTCTCACCAATCCCTCTGCGTGCATTGCCTGCCTGCATTGCCTGCGTGCATTGCCTGCGTGCATTGCCTGCGTGCATTGCCTGCATGCATTGCCTGCGTGCATTGCCTGCGTGCATTGCCTGCGTGCATTGCCTGCGTGCATTGCCTGCGTGCATTGCCTGCGTGCATTGCCTGCGTCCATTGCCTGCGTCCATTGCCTGCAGCAATCATTGCCTCTCACGCACCTCCCCCGTCCCACCCACCAATCATCATGCGCCTAACCCCACTGTCTCCATGCCCCAGATTCCTTCTGACCATACCTCTCTTACCCTCCATTCCATACCCCACCCCACCCCACCCCACCCCACCCCACCCCACCCTATCCCACCCCATCCCACCCCATCCTACCCCAGGGTACCACCATCAGGTGATTTATCAAGCTGTGAGCCTCTGAGCCCTCTCTTCCTCCATACCCCACCCCACCCCAACCAACCTCACTGCACCCCACCCCACCCCTCCCCACTCCGCCCCACCCAGGGTACCACCATCAGATGGTTGCCAAGCTCTCACCCTTTCTCCCTGCCACACACCCTTTACACCCTCCCCCCACCCTCCGCCGCCGCCTCGGCCTTTCTTCGGTGGTAGGTGGAGAGACTGGTGTTGGAGAGAAGGGGGAGGAAGAGGTGGGGAAAAGGGGCAGAAGAGATGGTGATGGTGAGGAGGAGGAGGGGGATGATGGCGAGGGTAAGAGCGGGGAGGACACGGGAGGTGAGGATGAGAGAGGGAGTGAGGAGGAGAAGGAAAGTCAGGAGGATTCGGGGAGTGAAGAGAAGAGGGGGAGTGAGGAGAGGGAAAAGAATGAGGACGCAACGGGAAGTGGCGGTGGTGCACATGCGGAGGGGAACGAGGAGGAGGAGGAGGGAGAAGGGGAGCAGGAGGAGAAGGCAAGTGCAGATGAGAGGGCATCCATGGGAGAGCAAAAGGGGCTGGTCGCTAGTTCTGAGGCGCGTGAATACAAGGAGGAGGAGGGAGAAGGGGAGCAGGAGGAGAAGGCAAGTGCAGACGAGGGGGCTGACTCGGGAGAGCAGGAGGGGATGGAGGTTGGAGAGGTGGGGAGGGGTTTTGGAGAGATGGGGAGGGATGTGCATGGCGCTGTGGAGCATGGGACTTTCTCTTCCGAGGTCTCCACATCTGAGTCACACAATGGAGCACTACTGCTGTCCTGCCATCTGCATTGCATGGTGAGTGGCACTGCATGGTGAGTGGCACTGCATGGTGAGTGGCACTGCATGGTGAGTGGCACTGCATGGTGAGTGGCACTGCATGGTGAGTGGCACTGCATGGTGAGTGGAACTGCATGGTGAGTGGCACTGCATGGTGAGTGGAACTGCATGGTGAGTAGCACCGTTGCAGCCCGTGAATCACCACTATATGTCTCCCTCTCCCTCTCTCCCTCTCTCTCACTTCCTTGCTCGCTCCCTCCTTCGCCTGTCTTCCTTTGCACCAGGCACTGGCATCGCAACTATGGCACAGTGCTGGGGCTCCTCGTGTTGTAGGCAAGGTGAGTCATTTCAATTATTATGTTGCCAAAATGTTGTGCTGTGCTGCATATATAAGCCATTGTGCTCCTGATTGCGCATTTGACTGGTGCATGTCTGGTTAGCAAATGAATGTGCTTTACATCCCATTCATACAGAGTTTTGTTTTCTGCCTACCGTTTCTCTCCATCATTTACGTCTGATGCGTTCAGACGATGGCAGAAGCCATTGGTGATTGGTATTTCGGCCGGAAATTAACAAAGCTCATTGACTGCCCTTTCCCTTGCAATCCAACATGTATTCTAGGTGCTTGACACACTGGGAATTTTATGGCGATTGTTTGCTTGTACTGTTTTGTGGTTGATGATAATTAACCAATTATAATAAATCGTTAGCCCCAGTTGGGAGTTGATGGCAACAGCTACAGCCTGGCAAGCTTCCTCCGTTGCCCAGGCCTCAGAAAGCTCTGGCCCGTTCGATCTACCTGGCAAGTCAGGTCGGATCTCAGGGCTATGAAACCCTCACGCAAGGGGAAACCTGCGCTTCCAAAACTACCGTAGATCAATGCGAAGCGACCTGAACTGCAACGGCATTCAGACGGAAACACAGGTCGCTGCTGCTCCAGGTCGGATTCAAGGCGCCCGCACACTCAATTTGTTTCTCCTGAATAAAACCTGCACCTCGCGACTCGAGTTTGGAGAATTAGCGATGCCCTAGCTGCGACTCGCAACAATTACACAACGGTGCTCTGTGCACGTAGCTTCCGACAAGCGAGCTATCCTTCCTGCCACACAGGCAACGCTAGGGAGGCAAATCCGTAGTGGTATACAATAAAGGGGGTAAAATTCCTCTAAACAGACAGCATCAAAGTACTTAGTATCAAACGCACCATATTGTGGAGTCAGACTACCTCATTAGAGAGTCGCAATTTTTTCAACAGGCTATCATCAGTTTCACCATCACTAGGTTTACAACGTACCCCATGGCGCGACTACTCTTCGTCGTATCGTTCGCCGTCCTGCTGGCGGTGGCGTCCGCAGGACAAACCGTCGTGACGGGACCCAACAACCCCGCGGTGAACCTCGACCAAGCCAAGGGCGACAATGGCGTGGCGACGGTGGTCCCTCCTGGCATCGAGAAGGCCGCGTCTGCGGGCAAGCTGGACAACTTCGAGGGGACAACGATCGTGAGCCCGAGCACGGACAGCATGCTGATGGTGGACGTGAAGCAGGCCGGATGGAACAAGATGAAGTGCCACAAGGACCTGGGCAAACCCGGGGACGGCGCGTGCACGCCCGCCAACTGCAGCAAGGGCGGCATCCCCGCCAAGTGGAAGACGTCGAACCTGCTCAAGAACAAGCTGGGCGTGGAGGTGTACGTGAAGGGCAACCCGCTGACGCTCAAGAAAGCGTCGCCGCAGACGTGCTGCAACACGTGCGCGGGGTTCAGCAGCTGCACATACTGGCAGTACATTCCCGATATTACCATCGACGGCAAGAAGACGGACGGCGCGTGCTACCTGGTGCACGACAACATCGACTACACGTGCGGCGAGCTGACGGCGCAGTACGCGACGGACTCGAAGCCCATCGCGCTGCAGGTGCGCACGGGCGGCGAGTGCAACCCCGCGGCGAACGTGGTGAACGACCCGCATCTGGTGGGCGCGTACGGCACGCACTTCGACTTCAACGGCCGCCCCGACAAGGCGTTCTGCCTGCTGACGGACCGCGACCTGCACGTGAACATGCTGCTGCGCGGGTACTACTCGGACGACACGGAGAACGCGGCGCTCGTCGTCGACGGCAAGGCCGTGCACACGTGGATCAAGGAGCTGGGCATCATCTGGTTCGCCAACGGCGCCGACCACAAGGTGCGGCTCGCGGCGCGCTCCGGCAAGCAGCAGGAGCGCGGCGATGGGTTCATGAAGACGATCGAGATCGACGGCGAGGAGATCCCGAGGATGAGCGTGGGCGACGAGGTGACGACGGAGGGCGGTCTGACTCTGCGATTCGCGGCTCTGGAGAAGGAGGGTCCGTATGACGTGGACTACTACACGCTCTCCATCGACGGGCTCGTGGCGCTCGACCTGCGCCTGCGCGTCGCCAACCCCAAGCTGCAGACGCCCAGCGAGGCCGAGGCGCACATCAACGTGGGGATTGTCGAGCTGGAGCACACCGACGACGTACACGGCGTGCTCGGGCAAACCTACCGCCCCGACCACGCTGCGCGCGCCGCCGACTTCCAGCGGCTGATCGCGAACCTGCACCGGCCGGTGTCGGCTGACAGCGCGGAGGGCGCTGGGTTCCTGGACGGCACTCCCCGGCTGTACGAGTCGAGCTCCGTGCTGTCCGTGGACTGCGCGCAAACCGAGTACCACCGCGCCAAGCAGCTGAGCCCCGTCGAGGAGTTCCCTAGGGAGCCCCTCAACTAAGCATACTCGCTCCCTCACGTATGGTGGGCCTTATTTGTGGGCCTTACGTGGGCTGATTTACATGAGCTCCTCTATTAGATACGCGCACCGTTTGAAATTCGGTGGGCTGTGATTTGGTGGGCTGATTTTACATTATTTCATTGTACATTAATTTATACTTTTATGTAAGATGCCATTTTCTCCTCCCTTTGGAGAAGCTGCCCATTCTAACATCATGTACGGTATCTGGAGTTGTCTCTGGTGAGACTTCGTTCACAAAACACTCTGACTGGAAACCTTGCCAGGAAACCTGACCTTACCCATCTTTCCATCAGAAACATCACCCCGTAGCAACTGAAATCTTTCAGAAAGCTTGACCTTTTCTCCTCGGGCTTAGTGGGCTTGCGAAGCCAATGGCCAGGCGGGTGTAAAGAACGAAGCCCGAGGATACCTATCTTGGGCTGCCATGTCATGGCATGTCAGGGCTTTTTACGTGGCTGTTATGCCATGGCACTCCAATAATTCGCGTAATCCTAGTTGCAGCTGCACTGGCTCTAGTTGCATAGGCTTATTTCCTCCAACAGCCTACACCTACGGAGGTTTATCGGTTTATCTCCCCCACCAGCCTACATATACCTATGGGCGGCTGTTAGCTAGCTGCAGCAGCCTTGGCTGCTGCTTTTGCTCCTGCTTTGGCTCCCTTTGCTGCTCCTTTGCCTGCTGCAGGTTTCGGTACCGCCTGAGCGTGAGAGATGGGTCGAGTGTTGCGCTGCAGCCACTCCAGGGGAGCTCCTGACAGCAGAGGGGACACCTGGGGTGTGTGGAGGAATGGGAAGAAAGAGGAGGGGGTGCGTGGAGGAATGGGAAGAAAGAGGAGGGGGTGCGTGGAGGAATGGGAAGAAAGAGGTGGGGGTGCGTGGAGGAATGGGAAGAAAGAGGTGGGGGTGCGTGGAGGAATGGGAAGAAAGAGGTGGGGGTGCGTGGAGGAATGGGAAGAAAGAGGTGTGGGTGCGTGGAGGAATGGGGAGAAAGAGGTGGGGTTGCGTGGAGGAATGGGGAGAAAGAGGTGGGGGTGCGTTGCAACCACGGCATTAGAGGGGTGCCTCTGACAGCAGAGGTCGATGCATGTTGTTTGATTGAACGAGGTGGCGTAAGCTGGTGTGAGCTGACGTGAGTTCACTCGCTCCTAGTGCCCAACACTCACAGTATCCCACACGCGTTGGTGATAGTCGTTGATCCACTCGATCTCCGCCTCACTTAGGAGCTCCACACTCACCAGCTTCGTCTGCAGCCAGGGGAAGGGGGGGGGGATGAATGGGGCATGCGAGTGAGGTGACTGCCGTGGTATCCCCGATTGATTTTGAGTTGACTCGACTGGATAGTCGTTGATCCACTTGACCTCTGCCTCACTTAGGAGCTCCACACTCACTAGCTTCGTCTGCGGCCGTGGGGATGGGGTGGGGTGAAATGGGAGGAATGAAAGGAGCATGATAATCGAGAAGTCTAAAACGTCCAACTCACAAGCTTTGTCCGAAGCCGTGGGAAGGGGGCGGGGTGAAATCAGAGGGATGGGGGGGGGGGGTATGTGACGTGTAACCTGGCTGCTAAGACCGTTCAGAGCCAGCGATTTGTGGGGTGATTGGGAAGACCAATTAAATGTCACCATGACTCAGATGCACAGCAATCAAATGGACCGCACTCAACTGCTAGATTATAAAAAAGCTAAACTTCAAATAACGGAACCAGATAGGAGAGAGGAAGGACGTGAGAGGGAGGGGGAAGAGAGTTACCTGGACTGGAAAGAGTGTGAGGCACTCGAAACCCAGGTATGTTGTGCCGCCAAACCGGAACTGTGTTTCCTGCTCCCTCACCACCAGAAGGTTCTGGGAAGGTGTCAAGACAGGGTGGGGCGGAAGGAAAAAAAGAAAGTGGGACGTGTGGTATGGTGTAGGGGGAAGGTGGGGGCAAGGGGGGAGAAAAACAGAGTGCGTGTGCTTGTGTGATGCTCACCACCATTCCAGCCCTGCCGGTACCATGCACCCACCCTATCCCCACATGCTCCCTCACCCCCCAACCCCCCGACCCTTTCAACCCCTTGTCCCACTCCCACCGCCCTCACCTCGATTCTGATTCCAAACTGGTTATCATGGTAGAACCCCGGCTCGTTGCTCACAACCATGCCCGCCTGCCAGCGCCACGCATGTACTCCCCAGCTCTTCTCTCAAATGGACCCCTGCTTCCCTCGTCATCCCATCCCCCCCCCCACCCCCTCTTCCCCCTCACCTCGATTCTGATTCCAAACTGGTTATCATGGTAGAACCCCGGTTCGTTGCTCACAACCATGCCCGCCTGCCAGTACCACGCATGTAACCCCCTCACATGGGCCTTTGGTCCCTACCACCCCCCCCCTCCCCTCACCTCGATTCTGATCCCAAACTGGTTATCATGGTAGAACCCCGGTTCGTTGCTCACAACCATGCCCGCCTGCAGCGGCGTCGCGTTGCCAAACCGCGGGCTGATGCTCTGCGGCCCCTCGTGCACGTTCAGAGCCGCCCCCACGCCGTGCCCCGTGCCGTGCCGATAGTCCAGCCCCATGCCCCACAGTGCCTTGCGGGCTAGGATATCCAGGGCGAAACCGGGGGTCCCCTGGGGGAACACTGCTTGATCTAGTGCTATGTGGCCCTGTAGGGAGAGGGGAAGGGAGAGAGGGAGGGTAAGGGAGGAGGAAAGTTTGGGGCTGCTACACTGCTGCTCTGCTTCTCTGCTGCTCTGATGCTCTGCGGCCCCTCGTACACGTTCAGAGCCGCCCCCACGCTGTGTCCTGTGCCGTGCCGGTAGTCCAGCCCCATGCCCCACAGGGGTGCCCTGTCATAGTGAGGGCATGCTGTAGCACTCCTTGTCATAGTGAGGGCATGCTGTAGCACTCCTTGTCATAGTGAGGGCATGCTGTAGCACTCCTTGTCATAGTGAGGGCATGCTGTAGCACTCCTTGTCATAGTGAGGGCATGCTGTAGCACTCCTTGTCATAGTGAGGGCATGCTGTAGCACTCCTTGTCATAGTGAGGGCATGCTGTAGCACTCCTTGTCATAGTGAGGGCATGCTGTAGCACTCCTTGTCATAGTGAGGGCATGCTGTAGCACTCCTTGTCATAGTGAGGGCATGCTGTAGCACTCCTTGTCATAGTGAGGGCATGCTGTAGCACTCCTTGTCATAGTGAGGGCATGCTGTAGCACTCCTTGTCATAGTGAGGGCATGCTGAAGCACTCCTTGTCATAGTGAGGGCATGCTGAAGCACTCCTTGTCATAGTGAGGGCATGCTGAAGCACTCCTTGTCATAGTGAGGGCATGCTGAAGCACTCCTTGTCATGGTTCGAAGGCGTCCCGAAGTGATGTCTGTTGTGCGCCTCGTGAGTCCGGTTCAGACACACCAGGTTGCACTCCTTCTCACCTCACAGCACCCCTCCTCACCTGCAGCATGCGTGTGTAGCACTCCTTGTCATAGTCCGAAGGCGTCCGTAACCCAAAGTGATATCTGTTGTGTCTCCTGAGACCGGTTCAAACACGCCTGGTTGCACTCCCTCTCACCTCACAGCACTCCTCCTCACCTGCAGCACGCGTGTATAACACTCCTTCTCATAGTCGGAGGGGGTTCCGAAGTGAACAGTGCGAGTGATGTCTGTTGTGCCGTCCACATACTGTGCCCCGCTGTCCAGCAGAAGCATCCTGGAAGGATCCACCACCGCACAGCTGCCCTCCTCAGCTCGGTAGTGGATGATTGCTCCGTTCTTCCCTGAACCTGCACAACAGGTTCGGAGAGGTTGAGGAGAGAACCACGTCAGAATGTCTGTCTTGCCTGCAATGTTTGGGAATCAGTTCCGCTCTACACCTACCAGCACCGCTGTGCACCTACCAGTAATGCTGTGCACCCAATCTCATCAAGCATTATCCAGCAGACGCCAACATCAGCACCTATCAGAGCTGCCGGACGCTTCACCTGCGATGGTATCAAAGCTGGTGTCAAGGAATCCGACCTGCTGAGCGCGGAACGCCTCTAGCCTCTCCCCCAGCTCTACCTCCGTCACTGCCCTCCCCTCCTCCCCCACCACCTTTTGAGATGTCTGAATGGTTGATCCCTCTCACCTGCGATCGCATCAAAGCTGGTATCAAGGAACCCCTCCTGCTGCGCGCGGAACGCCTCTAGCCTCTCCCCCAACTCCACCTCTGTCACCGCCCTCTTGTTTACACCTCACCTGCGATAGTATCAAAGCTGCCTGACGCCTCACCTGCAAGTGCACAGGTATCAGAGCCTCACCTGCGATGGTATCAAAGCTGGTGTCCAGGAATCCGTCCTGCTGTGCGCGGAACGCCTCTAGCCTCTCCCCCAACTCCACCTCCGTCACTGCCCTCCCCTCTTCCACCACCGCCCTCTCCGCCCACTCCCAGAAATGCGCCATTGCCACGGCGTCCCTGATATGGGCGTTCTTCATGCCCTCAATCTCAGACTCGTTCTTCAGCGCCTTGGCCAGAGAGATGGGGGTGGTGTGACTCAGCACTGCCGGCCCTTCCACTTCCTCCCCTCCTCCTCCCCCTCGCTCCTCCCTCCCCTTCCCTCCCTTCCCCTCTTTGCTCTTCTTCTCCCCTTTCTCTCCCTTCTTCCCTTTCTTCCCCCCGAATCCCCCCTTTCCTGAGGCTCTCTGCTCGTAGAACTGAGCGCAGGCGGCTTCAACGGAGCAGAGCACTGCAGAGGAGGCTGAGGCAGGGTCCAGCCACAGGCGCGCCCCGTCCATTGCGGATCTGAGGGGAACAGGGAGAGAAGGGAGGAGAAGAAAGCGAATAGAGGGCAGCTTAGAGAAATTTCAGAGCGCACGCTGTTAGAAGAGACCACTGGACTGCAGGCAAGGCTGAGAAAAGGCAGAGCCATGGCAGATTTGTGGGCGCAGTCATGAATGCACGTACCTCTGGAGGAAAGGCACGAGGTCCCCGTAGGGCTTCACAGTCACGCCTGCTGCTGCCAGGTGCTCTGCCACTGCAGGCGCTGCCACCTTGCTGGGGTCCACGAAGAGATGCGCCGCCTCCGTCTCCACCACTGCGTACGCCACTGTCACTGGACAGTGCGGCACGTCTGCACCCCTCTGTTGATGGGGAGAAGAGGAGATATTGTGCAGAGGGGTATGCATGAGAGCGGTGACCTTGCTGGGGTCCACACAGTCTTGACGTCTGCTACTCGCTGACGTCTGCTACTCGCTGACATGTGCTCCCCGTTGTTGGGATGAGAAAATGGGCAGAGTGGTTGGAGCGGGGCACAGAGTGGTTGGAGCGGGGCACAGAGTGGTTGGAGCGGGGCACAGAGTGGTTGGAGCGGGGCACAGAGTGGTTGGAGCGGGGCACAGAGTGGTTGGAGCGGGGCACAGAGTGGTTGGAGCGGGGCACAGAGTGGTTGGAGCGGGGCACAGAGTGGTTGGAGCGGGGAACAGAGTGGTTGGAGCGGGGAACAGAGTGATACGCTGCCTCCCTTTCCACCACCACCACACTCACCACGTGGACCAAGCTAAGCCAGTGCAGCTCTCACCACACCACATTGACCACTAGACTCAAGGCTCACCACGTTGAGCAGCCACGCGACCTCATCAAGAGCTGACACCAGCAGCGCCGTGGCACCCGCCTCTCTCATCTCCGCCCGCAGCTGCTGCAGCTTCGCCCTCACCGTCCGCCCTGCGAACTCAATCGGGTGCACCCTCATGGGCGCTGAGGGCGGAGGGGGGCGCTGGATGGGAAGCACAGGGGGGGGGATGGGGGAAAGAGGAGAATGGGAAACTTTTGAGACGTCTAAAAATAAAGCCCCTCATCCCCGCCCGCAGCTGCTGCAGCTTCACCCTCACCGTCTACCCTGCGAACTCTATTGGGTGCACCCTCATGGGGGCTGATGGAGGCGGGGGACGCTGTTGGGGAAGACGGGGGGGTAGGGGGAGAACAGAGAGACTTGAAGACGTCTGAGAGAACAGGGTTGCTGTTGCGCAGCAGCAATATAAGTTGACCCCCAATATAAGTTGACCCCCAATATAAGTTGACCCCCAATATAAGTTGACCCCCAATATAAGTTGACCCCCAATATAAGTTGACCCCCAATATAAGTTGACCCCCAATATAAGTTGACCCCCAATATAAGTTGACCCCCAATATAAGTTGACCCCCAATATAAGTTGACCCCCAATATAAGTTGACCCCCAATATAAGTTGACCCCCAATATAAGTTGACCCCCAATATAAGTTGACCCCCAATATAAGTTGACCCCCAATATAAGTTGACCCCCAATATAAGTTGACCCCCAATATAAGTTGACCCCCAATATAAGTTGACCCCCAATATAAGTTGACCCCCAATATAAGTTGACCCCCAATATAAGTTGACCCCCAATATAAGTTGACCCCCAATATAAGTTGACCCCCAATATAAGTTGACCCCCAATATAAGTTGACCCCCAATATAAGTTGACCCCCAATATAAGTTGACCCCCAATATAAGTTGACCCCCAATATAAGTTGACCCCCAATATAAGTTGACCCCCAATATAAGTTGACCCCCAATATAAGTTGACCCCCAATATAAGTTGACCCCCAATATAAGTTGACCCCCAATATAAGTTGACCCCCAATATAAGTTGACCCCCAATATAAGTTGACCCCCAATATAAGTTGACCCCCAATATAAGTTGACCCCCAATATAAGTTGACCCCCAATATAAGTTGACCCCCAATATAAGTTGACCCCCAATATAAGTTGACCCCCAATATAAGTTGACCCCTTACCCCCCCACACACCACCCTCCGCTCGCTTTTCCCCCTCAACACACACGCACCTCCGCACCCCCCACTGACCTCCGCACCCCCCAACTGACCTCCACGTCCCCGCACTGACCTCCGCGCCCCACACGACGTCAACGGGGTTGCTCTCGCGCAGCAGAGGCACCACCACAGATGAGGAGGCTGCCAGCGTGTCCGCCAGGCCCCTCACGTTGTCCGCTGAGTGCACAAACTGGGGGCGGCAAAGAAAGAAAGAGTGGGGAGGGAAAGAAGAGGGGGAAGGACGAATACATACGGAGGCTGTTAAAGTGTCCGCCAGCCCCCTCACGTTGTCGGCTGAATGCACAAACCGGAAGTGAGGGAGGGGGCGGGCAATGGAGAGAGAGATGGGGGGGAAAAGGGATGCGTCAATTCAGAGGGTGTGGGAGCGCATGCCAGCCCCCACACGTTGGGAATGGCGGAATGGAATGTGGGGGTGGAAGGAGAGGCGGGGGCAAGGGAGAGCAGCGAGATGTTTTGATTCAAAGGCTGCTGGAGTGTAGGCAAGGCCCCTTTCATGCGGTTATGCCTCTGCTGTCCCTGGCAATAATTCCGCCAGCCAATCCGCGGTGACTTTTAAGCCGACTCAAAAGTCACTCTGCGGTTATGCCTCTGCTGTCCCCTGGCAATACTTCCGCCAGCCAATCCGCCATGGGACACCTCCCAGGCATCTCCCCATTGCTACAGGCTCTATTTCCCTCTGAGACCCTCCGTCCCCCCTCCTCCTAACTCACCCCTTGTCCCTCTTTTCCACCCTCCCCCTCCTCCTCACCGGGTCAACCCCCACTCTGCTACCCGCAGGGAGAGCCTCAGCCAGCCAGTCAGCGACGGACGGCACGCCAGGCATGCCCGCGCGCATGAGGTCCCAGGCGGGCGGAAGCTGCTGCTCCGCCTGCAGGAAGTAGCGCCCGTCCGTCCACAGCAGCGCGCGCTCGCGCGTCACCACCGCCGTCCCCGCGGACCCCGTGAATCCGGAGATGAACGCGCGGCGCTCGAAGCACGGCGCCATGTACTCGCTCTGGGGGGGAGAGAGAAGGGGGGTCGCGTGGGGGGGAGAGAGAAGGGGGGCCGAGGGGTGGGGTGGGGGAGGGAAAAAAGGGTGGGGAAAGGGGTTGGGAAACACCCGTGGGGGGGAGAAAAGAGATAATGAGGTATGGATTGTGGCAGCAATGCACGCGCTCGCGTGTCACCACCGCCGTGCCCGCGGACCCCGTGAAGCCGGAAATGACCGCGCGGCGCTCGAAGCACGGCGCCATGTACTCGCTCTGCCGCGGAGGGGGGAAAGGTGGGAAAGAGGGGGGGAAGGGGAAGAGAAAAGTGGGGGGAAAGAGGAGGGGGGGGGGGGGGTTGCGGGGGGAAGAGGAAGGGGGGGATACCCGTGGAAGAAGGATGAAAGGAGAGAGGAATGAGTGAATTTGACAGCAATGCGATCCCAGGTTACCACCGTTGCGCCTGGTGATGGGGCTGATGCAGATGGCAAAGCGCCGATGAGAAAATACCCCTGATGTGCGCAAGAGCTTGTATCTCGTTCGGAGTTCGGGACCTAATATGTGGAGGTTTCAGAAAATCAACCTGGTGCGGGTCTTCGGACGGAATGATGAACGCGTCGACGCCCTTCCCCCCATCCACTTCCGCCATCACTTCCCGCAACCGGCGCAAGCGCTTCTCCAGCTCCTTCCCCCGCTTCTGCGCCTTCTTCCCCTCATCCTCCGCTTTCTTCTCCGCATCCTCCGCCTTCTTCCCCGTATCCTCCGCCGCCGTATTCCCCGCTACAATCTCCCTGTCTGGTTCGGCTTTTGCATCGGCGGAAGGAGCAGAGGGTTCGGCGGAAACCTCGTCAGCGCTGCTTTTTCGTGTGCGCGCAGAGCAGGTGAGGGATCGACGGCGAGACCCGCTACCGGGAAACGCGGCGGGTGAGGCGGCGAAAGAGACGGACGGAGTTCTGGTTAGACTTCCGGAACGACGTCCATTTCGAATAGAGAACGCACTGGAGGATGACCTAATTCGTGTACTGGCCGCCACGCCAGTGAATGTTCTAGAAACATGCGACGATACTAAGGGCATGACGAAATCGTGAAGAGCGGTGGAGAAGGGAAGAAGCGGAGTGGACCGGCCGAGAGCTAGGGTGAGGGAAGAAGCTGGAATGGCGGTGTGGCTTAACATTGTGGAAGAGGCGATGCGGATAAATGACGGACGCGCGACCACGGCGAATGGCGCGGAAGCTGACGCTGACGCTGACACTGCTGCGGCTACGGCTGCTCGCAGCATGCGAGTTCCTGATGCAGGAGCTGTCTGCCTCTGCCAGCACCTCTCGAATCACCAGGAAATTCCGCCGGAAGATGCGGAGACAACCGAGCGAGAATTCTGGTGGAGTGTAAAATAGCTTTGCACCGTTGAGTGCACTGTCTTGTGAATTGAACCACGTGAATTTGTGAATTTGCTTCACAACGAGAATGCTACGATTCTGTGCTGCCTCCCCTGCTTCTCTCTCATCAAGGTGAATTCAACCTCAATGAGTGACCAGATACACAACGAGGTGCAGGATCACTCTGGGCCGTCGATTTCAGAGAGTGGATTGAGTCAGCAAGTAGCCACGTGACCTTGATTGGTGCGACACATCCCAAGGTCGGGGGCCACTCGTTGCAAGTTACGTTGCGGTACTGTACACTTTATAAGCAGGTTAAGGTTAAGGTTAAGGTTATATTAGGTCGTAACCGTGTACAGCAAAGCATAGAGTAGCTAGAAATATGGTCTACACAAACCAACAGCCCAGAGGCGTACGTAGGAAAACACGTTATTCCCCTATCCAAGGATAGCCACCAGCTCAGCTGGGGAGCTCTTCTATGCTCAACAAAGGGTGGGAGGGCTAGGGGGGGCGGAAAGGGTCCCCAAGCAGCCAGGAAGAGCGGAGGTCTGGGTGGATAGAAGGGGTTCCGTTGTGGTCGAAGACGAGAAAGCGAAGTCGAGTGGCCAGCTTAATACGAGCGGCTGAGCGTTGTTGTTTTTTCACTGATTGTTTCTTCCTGCGCCATAAGAAAATTTTGAAAGCAATGAGGAACTTTGCCAGTATGAGCTGGAGGATTTCAAACCGGGAGGGGGGCGAATCTTGGAACTTGTGTTCACAGCGTGCGTTCCAAATAGCTTTTGTAGATGCCCCAACCAGAAGGCTCCAAGGGGCCACCTGGCCAGCTCTGGAGGCGAGCGGGAAGAGCAGGAGCTCAGGAGGAGGAGAGCAGTGGATGTGACGACGAGCGACGGAGGAGAGGGCGGAAATCACCGCGGGGGCCACCCCGCACTCGTAAAAAATGTGGGATATGGTCTCCGTGGGAGCGGCGAGGCAGAGTGAACAAATCCCACGGTCTGCGGCGAAGTTGAAGCGTGAACCCGAAGGGAGAGCGCGAGTGTAGAACCGATACAAGACGTCGCGTTGGAGCCTGGGTTGCTCCCGTAGAAAGTCATGGGAGAGGTCGGGGAGGAAGGGAGGAGGAGCGGGGAGGACGTGGATCCAGCGGGCGGCGTGGTCGAGGGGAAGTTGAGCATAGAGCCGGCGACGAATGTCAGCTACGCTTGGGCAGCCGTCCCGGAGGATGTCGAGCCGCGCGCCGAGCCCTGCACCTGTATGGAAGGGGCCTGCAAGCCAGGACCCGACAACGTACACTTTATAAGCAGGGGAGCTGGTGTGCATATGCTAGAAAATATGAAATCGTTTTTTACACCTCCCCGCAATTTCGAATTCTCCCCCAGCCTCCAAACTCCCCCCACCCCCCTTGAGATTGTTTTCCCTCCCCGTCGTTCTATTTCACCCCGAACCGCATTTCGCCCCCTCGTTCCTTCTGTTACAGTACCTCATCTGCATCCCTTTCACCACTTTTTCCGAGGCGCATCCCAGACTAGCAGCTGTTTCAGAACAATTGCACCAGCAGTTCGTGGCGACGGTACAGCGTGAGATCGATTATTTGTAGTCACAACCTTTCGCTGTTTCATGGAACCTCGCTGAGTTCGATAGCATCTACTCCCAATCTCGCATCGCAACGTTCTCGCGAAACTGAATTTTCGATAGCAGGGATAAAGGAAAGATAGCCGTCAGCGAAGATAGCTTCAACGCTACTATGATTTGAAGCTAAGGCTTTCAGACAATGGTGAACAGATGGTGATGAAATATGGCATATTAGAAGAATCGTACATATTAAAAAAAAAAAACCTACTATACAATACAATGAACTATAGCAGCCCACCAATTTCCAGCCCACCGAATAGCAGCCCACCAAATCGCAGCCCACAAAGAGGACGACGGACCATCATGTCAATTACGATTACATTCCACCAATTTTGCGAGGGAATGTGATTTAGTTGAGGGGCTCCATGGGGAACTCCTCGACGGGGCTCAGCTGCTTGGCGCGGTGGTACTCGGTTTGCGCGCAGTCCACGGACAGCACGGAGCTCGACTCGTACAGCCGGGGAGTGCCGTCCAGGAACCCAGCGCCCTCCGCGCTGTCAGCCGACACCGGCCGGTGCAGGTTCGCGATCAGCCGCTGGAAGTCGGCGGCGCGCGCAGCGTGGTCGGGGCGGTAGGTTTGGCCGAGCACGCCGTGCACGTCGTCGGTGTGCTCCAGCTCGACAATCCCCACGTTGATGTGCGCCTCGGCCTCGCTGGGCGTCTGAAGCTTGGGGTTGGCGACGCGCAGGCGCAGGTCGAGCGCCACGAGCCCTTCGATGGAGAGCGTGTAGTAGTCCACGTCATACGGGCCCTCCTTCTCCAGAGCCGCGAATCGCAGAGTCAGACCGCCCTCCGTCGTCACCTCATCGCCCACGCTCATCCTCGGGATCTCCTCGCCGTCGATCTCGATCGTCTTCATGAACCCACCCCTCGCCGCGCTCCTGCTGCTTGCCGGAGCGCGCCGCGAGGCGCACCTTGTGGTCGGCGCCGTTGGCGAACCAGATGATGCCGAGCTCCTTGATCCACGTGTGCACGGCCTTGCCGTCGACGACGAGCGCCGCGTTCTCCGTGTCGTCCGAGTAGTACCCGCGCAGCAGCATGTTCACGTGCAGGTCGCGGTCCGTCAGCAGGCAGAACGCCTTGTCGGGGCGGCCGTTGAAGTCGAAGTGCGTGCCGTACGCGCCCACCAGATGCGGGTCGTTCACCACGTTCGCCGCGGGGTTGCACTCGCCGCCCGTGCGCACCTGCAGCGCGATGGGCTTCGAGTCCGTCGCGTACTGCGCCGTCAGCTCGCCGCACGTGTAGTCGATGTTGTCGTGCACCAGGTAGCACGCGCCCTCCGTCTTCTTGCCGTCGATGGTAATATCGGGAATGTACTGCCAGTACGTGCAGCTGCTGAACCCCGCGCACGTGTTGCAGCACGTCTGCGGGGACGCCTTCTTGAGCGTCAGCGGATTCCCCTTCACGTACACCTCCACGCCCAGCTTGTTCTTGAGCAGGTTCGACGTCTTCCACTTGGCGGGGATGCCGCCCTTGCTGCAGTTGGCGGGCGTGCACGCGCCGTCCCCGGGTTTGCCCAGGTCCTTGTGGCACTTCATCTTGTTCCATCCGGCCTGCTTCACGTCCACCATCAGCATGCTGTCCGTGCTCGGGCTCACGATCGTTGTCCCCTCGAAGTTGTCCAGCTTGCCCGCAGCCGCCGCCTTCTCGATGCCAGGAGGGACCACCGTCGCCACGCCATTGTCGCCCTTAGCTTGGTCGAGGTTCACCGCCGGGTTGTTGGGACCCGTCACGACGGTTTGTCCTGCGGACGCCACCGCCAGCAGGACGGCGAACGATACGACGAATAGTAAACGCGCCATTATGATCACTAGGTCTAGGAATCGGCGAACCCGCGATCTACTTTTGCAGGCTAATTGGATGTTTGATCTAGTAAAGACTATAACAGAGCCGCGAGTTCTCCTTGACAAAAGGTTCGTGTTTGAAAAGATGCGAGCACTCGTATTTGTGCCTCGGAGATGAGGCCGGTTGGCTCAGCCATTGAACTCCAGGTTTCCAAAGTTGGAAGATTGTTGCGAGTCGCGATGTGGTACAGTAGGAGGAGTTCTCAGGGAGGTTGAAGCAGGTTTATCTCAGGAGAAACTTTTCTGACTGTACATTCAATCTGACAAGCGCTCCGGCTTCCCCAGACTTCAGCTTGTTCAGGATGTATCAGGTCACTTTCCGCACATGCTGCTGTAAACTACGAAGCGCAGGGGGCCTACCAGGAAGGCTTTACCAGCCAGCGCACAGAACCCACCTGAACGAAGTCGATGAACACCGCAGGTGTTTCCTGAGGCAGGTAATGTTGGTTGTTTCATTGCGCGTGTGACCCTTTACAAACAACTTTTCCATACGTCCCACATTAGATACCAGGAGTTCCATGTGAAAGATATTCGTGAATACAACGATAATGTTTTTCCAAAAAATGCTGGTTACACAGATCCGTTTTTGGACAGGTTTGGTCCAAGTTCATATGTAATAATTACTGTTATAAATATTCTCCCATAAATTTTTTTTTGCATTTTAAAGTTGTTAAGGGAATGTGTTGGCTTTGAAATGAGTTAACTAGACAACAGTCCGTGTTATTTATCAGCACATATTTTGATAAAGAAGACACTTACACATGACACAGTCCGCGAACACACATTTCCCCCTGTTTCATGCGACCTGAATTCAGCCGATGAGAGACTTCATGGCAGGAACGACCACAGGTTTCCACGATTTCCGCACGGAGCACCGCCGTAAGCCATCCTTGCTTCCGCATCTATTGCCTTGCCTTGCGTTGTCTCTTGTTTCCTCGTGGCTTTCCTGGTTTTTCATCGTTGCTCTCTTTCCGTGCTCGCTGTCGAATCTTCCTGCAGCCTTCGTCTTTTCCATCCGCGGCACGGCTTCTTCTCGAGCCTTGTTGCGCCCACAGCAGAGCCCGTGCGGGTGAGACGCACAGCCGCCCAAATTTTGAGTTGAATCAAAGACAGCAGAGCTCGTGCGGGTGAGACACGCGTGCCATCCGCCAATCAGACATGGAGAGTTCGCGGAGAGGCTTAGCGGAGCTGCTGGCGCCGTCCCCGATACAATCCGCTCCGCTTTTGGAGATTATAACTCTGGAGGATTTCGAGTGTGGAGTCACGCAGCGGTGCGGGCGAAACGCGGTGCCAGCGCAACACGCAGCGGGATATCAGGAGGACTTTCAGGCGGATTTTCAGGCCGCCGTGGATTTTATTCTGCGGGGAGACGTTGATGGGGGGACGACTGGCAGGAGGGGAGCGCGTTCTGCGGCGGAAGAAGCGGAAGGGCGGTTGGAGGGTGAAGGCGCGGGGCTCGTTATAAGACAAGGAAGAGACGCGTTGGATGAGAGCGGGGATGTGGTGATGTCGGATCTAAACACTGAAGAGACCTATACCGCGGATAAGCTTCTCACGCCGCCCTCCAGTGAGAAGTGGACACGTGGAGGGTATCTTGACTTGAATCGAATCAGCGATTTCCTGGATCTGCAGATGGCCAAAATCAGCGAATCTTGTGCTGCTAGACGACAAGATTTGGGCGGCACAAGTAACAGGAGTAGCATGGGCAGTACCATAACCAATCCCGCCGCGGAAGGCCTTATAGGCAGATTAGGACCGCCTATAGTCTACATGCTACGTAGCTCGTTCTCAGGGGAGATTAAAGTAGAGGGGGGCGGGCCATGGGGGCCTGCGGAAAGGGCTGGGGGAGGATCGGAGGGGGAGGCGGAGGGTGGGGGAGTGGGGAGCAGCCGCGGGCGGGGGATTGCGGATGCTGCTGCGGCGCTGCGGAGCATATGGGCGGGGGAGGACATGGAAGGGGTTGAGATTGAGGGGATAGAGTGGGCAGGCGCAGGGGGGGGCGCAGGGGGGGAAGCAGGCGGAGGGGGAGGCGGGGGGGTAGGATGGGAAGGGTTGTTGCTAGAGTCCCTGGGCAGAGTGGGAGGAGCGGGAGGAGCAGGAGGAGGAGGAGCAGGAAGGGGAGCAGCAGGAGCAGCAGGGGGGCGGTCAAGAAGCAGAGGCAGGGCACGAGAGGACCTAGGAGGCGGGTTGATCCTCGAATCCCTCAGCAGTTTCAGCAGCGCACACGCCAACGTGTGCGTGTATGCCGGCCGGTGGCAGTACGAGGCGACTCTAGGCTCCTCCGGCATTCAGCAGATCGGGTGGGCGACTCTCGCGTGCCCTTTCACTGCGGAGGAGGGCGTGGGGGACGCGCCCGACTCGTATGCGTTTGATGGGAAGAGGGTGCGGAAGTGGAGTGGGTGGTCGGCGCAGTATGGGCAACCATGGGCCGCGCATGATGTGATTGGGTGCTGTATTGATTTGGAAGGGGATGGGGGTGGGGTGGGAAGTGGGAGTGCAGGTTCGGAAGCCGCTGCTGCTGGTGCTGCTGGTTCTGCCGGTGCTGCTGGTGCTGCTGCTGCTGCTGCTGCTGGCGCTGCTGTTGGTGGTACTGCTGTTGGTGGTACTGCTGCTGGTGGTGGTGGTGGCAGAAGCAGTGGTGGTGGTGGTGGTGCTGCTGCTGCTGCTGCTGGCAGGGCAACCAGTGGTGGAACGGCAGTGGGGAAGGTAACATTCTATCGCAACGGGGAGTGTCTGGGAGTGGCGTTCACAGGAGTGAAGGCGCTACAGAGGGGCCTGGCATACTTCCCAGCCATCTCCATCTCCCACGGGGAGCGCTGTGAGCTGAATTTTGGCGCCCGTCCCTTCCGTTACCCGGTTACCGGGTTCCTCCCATTGCAGTCGCCGCCTCGCCTGTGCTGGCCTGTGCCCTCTGCTGCTACAGATTCACGGGATGCTCATGCTGGTGCTGCTGCCACGGCTGCTGCTACTGCTGCCCCCGCTGCTGATGTTGCTGGTGCAGCTTCTGCCCCTACCGACAGTGCTGCTGCTGCTCCCGTGCACTCTCCTCCGTCTCCCATCGACCCTGCCTCTCTCCCCACCCACGTGGGCCACTTCCTCCTGCCCACCCTGCAATCCACCTCACCCCACCCCCACTCCCATCTACTCACACCAGACAGCACAACAGGCACATCTCGTGTTGCAGACTTGGATGCAGCTGCGTGCTCCTCCTACCTCCTCCACTGCCTTTCCCGCCTGCTTCACCTCACCTCCCTCCCCTCCTTATTGTCCTCCTCTGCACCACGTAAATGCCGCCTCTGCCTCGCATTCCCGCCATAGCCTGCCGCCGAACCTGCCATTCCGAACTTGTCCGCTAGGCCCAGACGACGAGGTTCTCCTGGCGGAGCTGCTGTGTGAGAGGCTCGGGCCGTTGCTGCTGGCCGGTGGGGCACGAATGGAGGTGCAGAGGCAGATGGGGAGGAGAGCGGGGGAGGGCAAAGTTGGAGGCGGGGGAGGTGGGGGAGAAAGTGTGGGGTGGGTGCGAGGGGGGTATGCTGTATGGGCCGCCCTGCTTCCCTTCCTCCTAGAGCTGGCACCCAGACAGGGACTAGGCGCAGGCATGGGTAAGCGGCATGCAAATAGAAACAACCAGCAGGCACAGCTGCAGCAGCAGCGTGGGTGGAGCATGGTGGACAGGGTGATGGACTTGCTTCACCTGTGCCTGGAGGAGCATGAGTGGTCCGGGATCATTCCCGCCCTCATGGACGCCCTAGCCTTCCACTCCCGAACCTCCCTCGTAGGCTCGGCAGCACTTACCGTGCCGAACTCCGGTGCAGGAGCAGAAACAGTTTCCGGCTCGGGAAAACCACCAGAGGTTTGGCAAGGGGGGCGGGATCCGTACCCGTACCTATCCCTGGCCTGCCACTTAGCTAAGCGACAAGAAGTACTAAGCGCGTGGTGGGCTGCAGACGGATTCTCCACCAATTTAGAGGCGTTTTTAACCCGCAAAGTAGCCACGAGAGTGGATCTGCAGAGGCTGTTTCCCTCGCTGTGGTGGCCTGGGTGCAAGGAGGAGGACTGCAGTGCAGCAGCGTTGGAAGAAAGCAAACAGGCGCTAGTCAAAGCAATGACCAGGGTGGAGCTCTGTCAAGTGTCGCTCTGCCGCTCGCTCCTCTTCTTTGTCCCCTCTAAGAGCATCACAGGGACTTCCTCGACTTACTCGCTTGCGACTGGCGGGGTGCTTGCTCCGTTTCTGAGGAGTCTCATTCGCAAGAACCGGGCGGCGAACAGGAATATTGTGCCCCCCGGGCTCTCGGACAGTAGCGTGCTGGTGACGGCGTTTTTTGTCCTCTTGCGGTTGCTGTGGGCGGGACTGGTGGGCCGTGGATCCGGGAAACTGCAGAAGGCAAAGAGAGGTGGGGCTTTAAGAGGGTCACAGGGCGCAGGAGGGTCAGGAGGTGTGGGAGGGTCGGGAGCAGGGGTTGAGAGGGGTGAAAGAGGAGAGGGCCTGGGTGAAGCAGGGGGGAAAGGGGTTGGACGGGAGGGAGAAGCAGAGGGAATGGATGTAGACGTGCATGTAGGGGAGACAGAGAGGGAGCATGCACGTGGGGGGGAAGCGGAGAGAAGGGCTTGGGCAGAGGAGGAAGAGGAGGAAGAAGGAGAAGAGGAGTATGAGGAGGAGGAGGAGGAGGAGGAGGAGAGCGGGGAGGTATCGATGCTACCATGGCCAAGAACTCCCTCTGGGGCCGTCAGGAGCAGCTGGAGGGAGCGACAAGAGGCAAGGAGCGCCCTGAGAAGCAGCAGCAGCAGCAGCAGCAGCAGCAGCAGCAGCAGCAGCGGCACAGCAGCCACTGCAGACGCCACTGCCGCCACTGCTGCCATCCCTGCAGGGGGTTACCTGCAGCGCTGTGGGCGGTGGAAGTTTCCTGTGGCCTTCTTCCTGCACCCCGACCTGCACTACTTTGACTTGCCACGTGTGGGCGGGCTCTTCAGCCACGTGGCCAAGACCTTCCCCCTCTCCACGCCCCAGGACTTTGCCAGCGTGGCATGGAGTGATGCTGACGTGGATGATGATTATTGGGCGGCGGGCGAGGATGGGGAGGGGGAGGAGAGGGGTGCGCGGGAGAGGAGGAAGGAGGAGCGCGTGAGGGGGGAGGCAGGTGGAGGGGAAGGAGGGGGAGCAAGCGGGGGGAGGAGAGCAGAGGGGGTGCAAGAGAGGGGAATCGGAGGAGGGAGGAGTGAGGGAGGTCGAGAACGTGAGGGGAAGGAGAGGGGTAAGGAGAAGGTAGAGAGCGGTAAGGAGAAGGGAGAGGAGGATGAGAGGGATGTGCTTCTGCTGGACATGGCCGTGCTGCTGTTCCACCTGAGAGGCGTCGCTGCCTTCAAACAGGTTAGTCAGTCAGCCCCAGTCAGTGAGTGAGTGTGCCTCAAGAGCCGTGGCCACGATCATTCTTGCTGCTTCTGCTGGACATGGCCGTGCTGCTCTTCCACCTCAGGGGCGTCGCTGCCTTCAAACAGGTCAGTGAGTGAGTGAGTGAATGTGCATGAAGAAGAACCATTTGAGAGCCATACACTCACTTGCTCATGCTGTTACTGGCTGCTTCTGCTGCTTCCGTTGCCACTACACTCGCCTTCTCTCCGCCCTCCTTCCCTCTCTTTTGCTGGTTATCACCTTCCCTCCCCTTCATCACCTCCCTCCCCCTCCCCTTCCCCCCCAGGCGGCACTACAGCAGCAGGGCATGGTGCAGGCGGTGGGACTGTTGGAGGACGCGGATAGGCAGATCAGAACCTTCATCCAGCCCTCCTTCTCTTCTGCCATCCCGCCTTCTTGTCCCTCCCCCTACTCTTCTCCCGCTCCCCCTACTCCTTCCCCCCCCCCCAGGCTGCGCTACAGCAGCAGGGCATGGTGCAGGCGGTGGCACAGCTGGAGGACGCGGACAGGCAGATCAGAACCCTCTTCCATCACTTCTCCTTGCCTTCTATCCCATCCCCCTCCCCTTTTCACCCCCTTCACAGGCAGCACTGCAGCAGCAGGGCATGGTGCAGGCGGTGGCACAGCTGGAGGACGCGGACAGGCAGATCGCTGCTGCCATGGGGGGGCGCGCGGAGGGAGGTGCTGCAGGGGCAGGGGCAGGGGGAGAGGCAGGCACAGGAGCAGGGACAGGGGTAGGGACAGGGGCGGGGGCGGGGGCAGGGGCAGGGGCAGGGGCGGGGGGGGGCGGGGGCGGGGGCGGGGGCGGGGGCGGGGGCGGGGCGGGGGCGGGGGCGGGGGCGGGGCCGGGAGCAGGAGTAACGAGAGTGGCAGGGGCAGAGGGGGGGTCTGACGTGGATGCTGCAGGGACAGGTGTAGCAGCAGGGGCGGGGGTTCCCACAGTGACAGCACCAGGGGAACGTGCTGGCGCATCTGGGGGAGGTACAGCTGGAGGGGTTGCACGCAGGGGAGGGGAAAGTACAGCCACGGGAGGTGCATCTGGGGGAGGTGCATCTGGGGGAGGTGCATCTAGAGGGGGCGTGGGAGGGTCAGTGCGGGCGCAGAAGCTGAGGGAGGCGAGGCAGGTGTTCCGAGAGGATGTGGATGAGAATGTGAGGCTTGCAGTGTGGTGGAGAGCGGTGCTGGGCGGTGCGGCGTGGAAGCAGAGGGCGCTGGTGGGGGTGAGCAGGAGGGTGAGCTCGCTGCTGCTGGCTGCCAGCAAGAGGCGGCACATCTTTGCCTATGTGCCGGAGGTCTACCTGGAAGCCATGGTGGGTTGTTGTTAGTGTCTTGTGGGTTCATGGTGGTGGGTGGGTAGAGAAAAAGTAGCTGCTGCTGGCTGCCAGCAAACGAGGCCACATCTTTGCTTACGTGCCGGACTTCTATTGGAAGCAATGGTGGGTTGTCATGTGAAGCCATAGTGGTTGGTACTGCTGCCATGGTGAGTGTGGGGATGATGCATCTTCTGACTCGTTTCTCGTCATCCCTCCCTCTCCTTCCACAACACTCACCCCTTCCCTCCCACCTTTCCCACCCCCCCTCTCTCCCGCACCCCTTTCCCCCATTTCGCTGTGGTCTTCATGTCGCTACCCCTGCAGGTCGAGGCATTCCATGCCTTCAGGCGCTGCGACCCGCTCTGTTGAGATCACTTGTGAGAATTCTCAAAGTGTCTCCGCCCATCTTCCCCCGGTTTTCTCCCTCCCCATCGTCATGTCTCGCGCCCCTGCAGGTCGAGGCCTTCCATGCCTTCAGGCGCTGCGACCCGCCTCTCTTGCCACTGCTGCCGGTTTCGCACCCCTTTCCTCACATCTCCCCCCCCCCCCCCCCAATCGTCATCTCTCTCCGCACGCCCCTGCAGATAGAGGCCTTCCATGCCTTCAGGCGCTGCGACCCGCCTCTCTTCCGCCTGCGCCACTCCGTTCATCACCTCGCGCCCTTCGTAAGCCCGACACCAATATTCATCACACCTGAATCTCTCCTCTCAGATGTACCTTCACTTGCACTTGCACCCAACATGGGTGAAAATGCGCGTCCTCACGCCCTACCCCCGTCTTCACATCACCATCCCGTGATTGCACGTCCCATCTCGTAATCCCATGTGCTTGTCGCTCTCTCCTTCTCTCTCTCTCTTGCAGATATCCTTCCTGCTCACGAGGTTCAGCGATGCAAGGATCGCCAATCCAGACACCAGGGACCAGCTGCTACAGACGCTCTCTGTGCTGCTGCAGCTGCCGCCCTTCTCCGTCGCACTAGAGACAAACAAGGCCGCGCGCACCTGCTTCATGCCCAGCCTTCTCAACGCCTTTGACCAGCGCTTCTGGATACCCGTCTCTCAGGTGATTCGTCAGGCGTCTGTGCCTCTCAGGGTGGTTATGAAACACAGGTGATTTTTCAGGTGTGTGTGCCACTCAGGGTGGTTGGTGCCTTCGCCTCTCAGGGTGGTTCGGACATTCTCAGGTAGTTCAGGTGCCTTGGCCTCTCAGGATGGTTATGTGTGAGCGAGCTTACCCTTTTCTTGCCTTCGCCAAACATTCTTTCCCCCCGCCCCGTCTGCACCTCATAGATCCTCCTGCGTCTCTGTGTGAGCAACCCCTTTGGAGGCCCCTCGAGCTTCCCCTCCCTCTCCCTCTCCTCCTCCTCCTCCACACCCTCCCTCTTCGCGCCTCTCTTCCAGCACTCCCTCCACCAGTTGTACCTGCACCAGCCACACCTCTTCTCGCCCTTCCTCAACCGCCTCTTCAACACTCTCAACTGGACGCTCACCGAGTTCCTAGTGGCTCTGAAAGAGGTGCAGGACCTGCAGCAGCAGGAGGAGGAGCAGCGGCGGCGGAGGAGCAGGAGGCACCAGCAGCAGCAGCAGCAGGAGCAGGCGTGGGACCTACAGCAGCGCAAGTGCAGCGTCATGTTTGACCTTACCTGTAACCTTGCAAGGCTGTTTGAGGTTCTCTGTGAGGCTGCTCCTGAGGTGTTTTTACCTGTGGGGAAAGGAGGTCGGGGGAAGGGAGAGATGGCTCTAGAAGGAGGTGAAGCAGGAGGAGCAGCAGCAGTAGCAGGAGGAGGAGAGGGAGGAGGGGGAGGAGGAGAAGGAGGAGAAGGAGAGATGCAAGGAGTTTCAGGAGGAGAGGAGGGGAGCAGGGCAAGGGGGGAGCGAGTCACCCAGGGCGAGGGAGAGGGAGAAAGAGAGCACGTTGAAGCCCAAGGAGAAGCAACGGCAGCTGCAGCACCCGCCACCTCGCCTGCTTCCGCCACGTCTCCTGTGCCGTCTGCATCCGACAGTTCTTTGGACCCGGAGATGAACCGCATGCGCCTGTTTGAGCTGCTGCTCTTCATCCTCAACCACACCTGCTCCGGTGCCGATGCGCGCGCTCTTGATGGGTAAGGTTGATGGAGAGAAGAAGCGGGTTTGTGAGGCATGGTAACGGTGTCCTGCTCGCGCCCCTTGTTGGCATCATTGGCGGCCTCTTTTTCTATTCTCCTGTTGTCACATTGTCACATTGTCTCCCCCTCTCTCACTCCTTCACTACAGTGTCCTGCAGGCCCACGTGTCCCTGTCCGACCAATCATCACGTCCCCTGGTGCTCGCGCCCCTCGTGGGCATCGGCCTCTTTGTCCCATTGTCTCATGTCCCAGTGCATAATATCCCATTGTCTCTCCCATCCTGCAGTGTCCTGCAGGCCCACGTGTCCCCATCCGACCAATCATCGCGCCCCATGGTGCTCGCACCCCTCGTGGGCATCGTGGGCGGCCTCTTCTCGCACGCGCTGCGGGCCAATGGCAGCGCGCCAGCTGGCATGGTGCGGTCGGTGCTGCAGGCAGACCCCTCCCTGGACTGCCTGGCGGGGCTGGGTTACCTGTTGGGGTTCGACTGGGTGAGTTGGGTGAAGCGAATAAGGGAGGGAGTAGGAACCGAGTGGGAAAGTTAGTGAGAGAGTGATGGGGGAGTGAGAGGGTGGTGCACACTTTTGAGTCGACTCAAAAGTCAGCTGAGTAGGAACCGAGTGGGAAAGTTAGTGAGAGAGTGATGGGGGAGTGAGATGGTGGTGCATGTCGTGCTGCAGGCAGACCCCTCTCTTGACTGCCTGTTGGGGCTGGAGTACCTTCTGGGGTTCGACTGGGTGAGTGGGGGATGAGTGTGGTGCCGAGTGAGTGAGAGAGTGAGAGAGTGTGGGGGAACTGAGATGTCATGATGCAGGCGGACCCCTCTCTGTACTGCCTGGCCAGACTGGAGTACTTGCTGGGGTTCGACTGGACTGGGTGAGTGGGGAAGGAGTGTGGGGCGGAATGGGAAAGCTTGTGGGAGGGGGAGGGAAGTGAGGGGGGGGTAGTTGTGGTGCTGCAGGCGGACCCCCTCTCTTGACTGCCTGGCGGGGCTGGGTTACCTGCTGGGGTTCGACTGGGTGAGTGGGGGGAGTGAGGAGGGAGTGAGTTGGGAGTTAAGCAGTGGTGCCACCCCGACTCTGGGCGAGCTGAGTGGCCTCTGAGGTATCCTGCTACCTCACTCCCTCAGTCCGTCAGTCCCCCAGTCCCTCAGTCCGTCAGTCCCCCAGTCCCTCAGTCCGTCAGTCCCCCAGTCCCTCAGTCCGTCAGTCCCCCAGTCCCTCAGTCCGTCAGTCCCCCAGTCCCTCAGTCCGTCAGTCCCCCAGTCCCTCAGTCCGTCAGTCCCCCAGTCCCTCAGTCCGTCAGTCCCCCAGTCCCTCAGTCCGTCAGTCCCCCAGTCCCTCAGTCCGTCAGTCCCTCAGTCCCTCAGTCCGTCAGTCCCCCAGTCCCTCAGTCCCTCAGTCCGTCAGTCCCCCAGTCCCCCAGTCCCTCGTACTGCCGCCCACCTCACCTTTCCGCCCCTCACCTGTTCTTTAGGCGGGAGCAACTCAGGCGGGAACAGGTCACTCGCAACACTTCTGCCTTCAAGGCGCCTGTCAAACACATTCCTCACTCCCCTCCCACCCACCACAGGAGAGTGAGTTTAGCAGCCCCCCATCAGCCTGCCTGGCTGATCTGCGCCTCTTTGTGGAGCAACTCAGGCGGGGGCAGTCTGCTCGCAGCACTGCACTAAAGCACGCTTCTCTCAATCCTCTCAACTCCCCCCACCCTCTAACCCCGCACAGGAGAGTGAGTTCAGCAGCCCTCCCTCAGCCTGCCTGGCTGATCTGCGCCTCTTTGTGGATCAGCTCCGGCATGAGCAGGCTGCTCGCAAGGCTGCTGCGGCTGCTGCTGCTGCCGCCGCTTCAGGTGAGCATGCACGCACTTACACTGGAGGGTGGCAGCATGAGAATAGGCAGCATGCGATTTGCCACAACCCCCTCTCTCCGTCTCCTTGCCAGCTTGCCCATCCCTGCCCCCATCCCCCTCGTCTTGCATCCAACTCACCCTTCTTCCTCCCTCTCCTGCTCCTCCCAGGTCGCAGCAAGAAGGGCAAAGATCACATGCAAGAGCAAGGACCCACCACAGAGGGGATGGCTGGGGTTGGTGCTGCTGCTGCTGGTGCTGGTGCAGGTATGGAGGAAGGCGAGGAGGAGGAGGAGGAAGGGGAGATGTGCAGCATCTGCTACGCTGCTCCCAGTGACACTCAGTTCATCCCCTGTGGCCACTCCTCCTGTGAGCGCTGTGTGGCACGGCACCGACTTAACAGCCCCCGCTGCTTCTTCTGCAACGCTGTCATCGAACGACTGGCGGCGAGGAGTTGAGAAAGCTGGAGGAGGCTGAGCTGGAGATGTTTTACAAGTTGAAATGGAATGGACGGTGCTGCTGCTTCTGCTTCACCTAACATGCTGCCGCGAGCAGCATTTTACTTTGTTACCAGTGCTCACTCTTTTTCTTTTTGCCTGTTCTGCATTAGGCAGACCTGCACTGTCTGCGTCAGTACGGCTACAGCAAACCTGGTTCTTAGACTGAATGTCTTGCTTGTGTCATCTCTGCTGTTGCCCTGCTGGTGCTATCTGGTTTGTTGGTTGCCATTTATCAGCTGAAAGTGGGCTGTAATATGGACAGTAAAAAACGGCTTTGCAATGATGCAGCCGCCAGGCCCAGTGCTGGTGCCATGTATATTACTGGTATATTCCTGGTGCTATTTCTTGGTCCAGGCAAGAGGAGTCCAACCAACCAGACCGGTAACATGCAGAACATAGTTAGGGTGGCTGCAATGCTGAATGCGGAACTAGTGAAACGCATGCTTTGCCAGCAGATAGCAGCACAGCCATGCGGGACCCAAAGCGGGTTATCGTCCTCACATGATCACATCACATGTTACTGCATGGTGGTTACTAGTGCGAAGCAGGTGGATGGGTGTTATTGTGCAGAGTAGGGGGAGAATGCATGGGAGGGGGTGTGGAAAGGCGAGGCATGGGAATGATGAGGATGATGGTGGTGGCGATGGTGCAGTTGCCTCTGGTGCAGGTGGTGAGTCGATGCTTCCTCAATCTGCATGACGCAAGAGAGAATGCACCGGCATAGGAGAGAGAGAAGAAAATGCAGAGGTTGGGGAGAGAAGGGAATATGCACAGGCACAGGAAGAAAGGCAATGCGCGAGAGCAGGGAAGCGGGAAGCAGTCATATAATGAAGCGTGGGGTGGGGAGCTGAGTTGGGAAGGTATGTGCACCGTGCAGTACCCACCTCCACCGTCACGTGTGTGATCCCAACCGCTCGGAATACATCCGAGACGCGCCGCCTCAACGACTGCCGCAGCTGCTGAACCGCCTCCAGCCGCCGCTGCTTGTCCCCGTACTCGCTATAAGCATCTCCGTTATGTGCTGCTACACCTCCCTCGTTCGCTCTATCTTTGAGGCTATCTGGAGATATGAGCACGTGGATTGAGCCCACGAGCATCTTAGGAGTGAAGGACCAGAAGTGCCGCTGCCGCACCACCACCACCCCTGCCATTGACTCAATCTGCCATGGGCAATGGGATGATGGGTCGGGCATCGGAAACACATGTGGATGACTTTGATTAATAAGAGAAAGAGTGACAGGCGTGGTGCATGGAATGGGGCGTGGGGGATGAAATGGGGTGACGGTGCCTAGATCTGGAACCCTGAAACTCACTGGACAGTCAAAACAATGTAGTCCCACCCACCCGCTCACCTTCTTCAGGGCAGCTGAGATCTGGTGCTCTGCTGCCCGGGGCACTCTTTGAAGAATAATTTCAGCAGAGTTTTGCAGCAGAGGGATGACAGTGCTGATGATGAGCGCTGATATGAATATGGAACACGCCTGGTGGTTGTGCGGAGGAGAGAAAGGGGAGAGGAGGAGAGGTGGGGAGAGAAGGGGAGAGAGGGGAAGATAGGGAAGATAAGGGGAGGTACAGGGGAAGAGAAGGGCAAGGAGAAGCCAGAGGAGGAAGGATGAGCAGAGGGATTTCAATGTTCACGATGAGCATGCCTCGTGATTCCAATGACATGAACATGGAAGATGCCTCGTGGTGTAGTGGGGCAGAGAACGGGTTGGAAAGGGGCAAAAGGTATGAATATGGAACAAAAGGGCCCGGCCAGTCTGGAAGCAAGCATGAGTGCCTTACTGCAGATAAAACGTTGGACCTTGTGGATTCTCACTGGGTCTGTGAGCATTCAGCCCTTGTACTTGATAAGAAGGGTCAATACCCCCACACCCACGCTCACACACCCACACACTGCTAAACCCTTGCCCTGCCGTACAGGCATGCACCCCTGTATTTCTCTCCCATTCAACCTCTCCTTGCCGGGTCTGTGAGCATCCAGCCCTTGTAATTGATGAGGAGTGTCGATATCACCACCCCCACACGGCCCATTCGAAGCATGTGCAATGGCACACCCACACCCCCTACAAGCAAGAAAAAACTGGCCCTTGTTTGCCCCCTCTCCTCACCGGGTCTGTGAGCATCCAGCCCTTGTACTTGATAAGCAGGGTCGATATCACCACCCCCACACTTCCCAGTGTGTCTGCCAACACGTGCAGGAAGATTCCTGGACGGAGGCCATGGGTGGGACGTATTAGAGAGTAACGAAGTGTTGAGCGACAGGGGTAAAGGAGAGAAGGAGGGTATGTGTGCGAATGTGGAGACAGAAAACGACCCAGGACGTGAGAGAGGGAAAAAGGAGGGAGAATCCAACATGTGGAGAGAGCGGGAGCGCAGAAGGGAGAGGGAGAGGGAGGCTAGATTAGAGGGAGATAGAGGGAGGGGGAGAGAGGCAGGAGAGCTCACCACGCATGTTGTGGTCCACATGGGCACTGCCGGATGTGAGCACCTCTTGCACACATGCCTCTCCTCCCTCCCCGTCTCCACCTCCCACATCCCCATGCCCATGCCCACCTCCCACATCCATGCTCAACGACGAGCATGATGCATCATGGGTCATGGCTTTACTCTCATGCTCATGCTCATGTGTGTGCCCATTCCCATGCTGATGCCTGTGCTTATGCCCGTGCACATGTTCATGCGGATTTTCTTCCCCATCCAACTTGCTCTCTCCTGCCCACTCCTCGAAATCCAGCCTCACGGGCAGCGCCTGAAAACTTTCATCTCCTACTGCAGCAGCACCCCCTTCCCCTATTCTCCTCCTCGCTTTGTGCACGGCCAAAAGTTTCTCTGCCCCTGACGATGGTAGTGCTGGTGACTCAAACGAAGGTGATGATACAGAGATGGGTGATTGTAAGAGTGATCTGGTGGTCATGGCGCTGTTGCTCCTGGCATCTTCCCAATTCTCCTGCTCCCATTCGTCCCCTTCTAGTGCACTCCCCCCCTCATGCCTATGCCCGTTTCCATGCCCATGCCCATGGTCGCATCCATGCATGTCCTTATGATGATAATGTGGCGTGTGGTGCTCATGGTGATGATGCTCCTCGTGCTGGTGCGCATGTCTTTTGCAATCATGATCGTGCGTATGTGCATGCTCATGCCTATGGTTCAGCTCGTGCTCATGCTCATGCTTATGCTCATGATCGTGGTCGTGGTTATGGTGGGAATGGTTATCTTGATGCTCGTGATGATGATGATGATGGTCGTCATGATGGGAATGGGTGCATGACCCACCATGGGCATGCCCATGCTCATGCTTGTGCTCGTGCCCATGGTGCGAATGAGAATGGGAGTGGTCATGCACATGCGAGTGGGAGTGGTCATGGTCATGGGAGTGCGAGCAGGTGCCCCCATGTGCGTGGTGGTGGGCCTCATGGAAAAACACGAGTCCCACCATGTTCACCACCAGGCCCCCCACCGACACCGCCAGCAGGTTTGCCGTTGATATGTCCGGTGGGTCAAGGATTCTGGAGTGAGAAAGAAGGAGTGAGAAAGGGACAACACGAGGAAGGCAGGAGGGTGAAGAAGGCAGGATCTAGACAGAAAGGGAGACAGGAGTGAAGCTCTAAAGCACGCTCAGAAGCGAGCTTTAAACACGCTCTGAAATAATCAAGCTGTTTGGTTTGAACGACATGCAGGAGATAGTTGTGTTTCCACACGGCGAAACACAAGAGAAACGAAAACCATGGACAGAAGGAGGGCGCACCTTTCAATGGACTCAAAAACGATGAGCGTGGCGATGAGTACGAGGACGACTGCATTCAGCCCGATAGCAGGAGAGTTTGAAAAATAATAACTAAAAAGTCTCCTGCATAATCAAAGGCGCACCTTTCAATGGACTCAAAGACGATGAGCGTGGCGATGAGTACGAGAAAGACCGCATTGACAAAGCCCGATAGCACCTCAAAGCGACCATAGCTGCACGAGGGAAGCCGCGCAGATGGCATGGGAAAAGGGTGGGAAGGGACAGGAGGCAATGGGATGGGATGGGTGGGATGACATAAGAAATGGTGAAGAGAGATTGAGTGATATCTGGCGACAACTCAGAGCAGCAAACGCGGCAGGAAGGCGAGATTTTCACGAACCCGTAGGCAAACATAGAAGGGGAGTCGAGGCGGGAGATGTAGGAGGCATATAGGCCGATGGCGAGCGCAGCACAGTCGAAGAGCATGTGACAGGCGTCTGATATGAGCCCGAGACTGGTGGTTGTGGGAGGAGGGTGTGGGAATAGGACGAGGGAGGGGAAGAAGCAGAAATGAGCGTGGGAGAATGGCATTAACACACAGCCCCAGGGACCTGTGTTACATGGCATTTGCACACTACTGAGGAGCCATGGATTGAGCAAGCCTCGTTTCATAGCACCAAGCAGCACTACGCAAATCTATTCCTAGTCCCATGCAATCAGGCCAGCGAATGAAAACTTCCAAAACCAGAATCGATTTAACCGGAATCAGTCCAGCCCAAATAGGGTCAGCCCAAACGCACCTGTTGGAGAGGAAGCCGACGGAGAACTCGACGATCATAAACGCTGCGTTGATGAGGAGAAAGACTGGCGGCGGGGAGAGCGGCGAGGCACGTGGAATGGGAGGCGGGTGGGAGGAGAAAGAGGAGGACAAAGGGAGTTAAAAAGGAGGTTGACAAAGGTTAAATAAGGAAAGAAGCTCGAGGTAAGGGAGGAAAAACTTAAGGAGGTCATGTGTGAGAGGACGTGCAGAGTTGATGAAACGAATTAATTCGCATACTTATTTTTTTGAAGGGCCTAGAATATCTAACCTAAACCGCTCCATGCACTCCCGATTGTAATTGAGATAACATGTCTGACTATTTCTGGTTTCATCAAGACTCAAATTCACCGTTTCTCATATCTAACGCATGCGAAAACTTTTGGAAATCGAGAAAGCACCATGGAGCAGGGATCGTGCTGCTATGATTCATTCAGACAGGCCCACATCCCCATTGCACCACTGTTGCAACAAGTACGCGTGTCTGCTTGCTTCCTAGCCCGTGGCCATACGTACGCGCAATACGGTGTGACTTGGAATCAGACATGACGTGGTCCATGGCTCCCTGCGGGTGTGTGCACAACACGTCCCACGGCAGGAGAGGGCAGGATACCACACGTCAGTCACTCTTCCAAGCCAGGCTCTTTTTGCCAACGCTCGTGAGGAAAGAAAGGGTGCAACAAGGAGGAAGTACTAGGTACGGACCTATAGGAGAAAGACAGGGAATATAACGGAAAAGTGGGCCCCGCTGACTGGACGACCGGGGCAGCTTAGAAAAAAAAAAAAAAAAAAAAAAAACGTCAAACATTGCGGCTGCTTTCGAATCAGACATGACTACGAGCGGTGCTTTCCCAGTGTGTATGCAAGCCCCTCTGGATTAAGCAACTTCAGCTCATTTAAAAACAAGAGCCAGTTCAGGTCAGACTCAGCAACGAGAGCTGGACCTCACAGGGTTTCGATTCAGCCCATGCCGTAATGCTTTCCCACCCACCAACCTTGCACCAGATAACCCATTTGAACCCATCACTTCTGGACGATTGGAAGTGCGAGTGCACATGCTTGCAGCATTCTGTTGCTTCCTCCTTGCCCCACACACGCACTGACCTGCAGCATGGCGAGGGCCGCCGTTCTGCGCCTCTCCTTGGCCGCCACCCCATCCTCTGCCAGCGACCCCGCTGACTTGCTGCGCTCTATGGCCGTGGACCAGTGCAGGCCTGGTTGGGGAGAGAGGGCAGGGCAGGGTTGAGACGAAGACACTTGACTCTCAGAGAAACGACCCCACTGATTGGCAAGAACCCGGTTGCCTTGTTAACATTGACATGGACTCCTCAATCAGAAGGACGGAGAGTGTGCATAAGAAGGGAGAGAAAAAGAGGAAAAGAAGAAGGGGCGTGTGGTGGGGTTGCAGGGAGGAGGGGCTGTGGGGTGTAGTGGATAAGAGGGAGGCTGAAAGATGGAATGTGGAAGGAGGTGCAGGAAGGAGGTTACCAGCGGCAAGGAGGAGGGCGATGAGGACGAAGGAGAGGGGGCAGAAGTGCATGCGATAGATGAGTAGCAGCGCCACCACCGCCACACTCGTCACCAACAGGTGCTTCAGTGATGACGGGCCGATGCGCAGCCTGCAAGAGGGGGAGAAGGGAGGGAGAAAAGGGGGAAGGGGGGGTCAAGGAATGGGGGGCGAAGGGGGTGGGGAGAGGGGGGGAAGACGGGGGGAAGAGGAGGGGAAGGGAGGGGAAGAGGGAGAGAAGGGGAGAAAGAGGGGTTGAAGGAGGGGGAAGAGGGGAGAGACACGACCAGCATAGAAAAGAACACGAGCCCCAGCAGGATCACTTTCCAGAGGCCCCAAACCCACTTCTTTCCCACCCCCCCACTCCATCCCCTCCCATCCTCCCCCCCCACTCCCCTCTCCCCCCCCCCTCCGCCCACCTCCCCCATCCCTCCCCCTTCCCCCCACTCACTTGTCTTCCGCCAGTGTGTCGACATAGAAGGAGAACACGAGTCCAGCCAGGATCACCAGAGCATACATCTGCAGCGAGGTGTCTTCGGAATAGAGTCCTCTCCCTTTCCCTCTCCCTCTCAACCCCCCTCGTCTACTGCTCCCCCTCCTCCCACTTACTTGTCTTCCGCCAGTGTATCGACATAGAAGGAGAACACGAGCCCAGCCAGGATCACCAGCGCATACACCTGCAGCGGCCGCCCCCCTGCCTCCAGGTCCAGAGCTTGTGCCCCCTGGCGGATGGTGTGAGCGAGAGGAGAAGGGAAGAAGTGGGGAAGCGCGAGAGGAGATGGGAGGTTTTGAGGCGCCTGGAAAGGGCTGCGCCCCCACCTCCAGGTCCAAGGCTTGCGCTCCCTGGCGGGTGGTGTGGGCAAGTGGGGGAGGAGTAGAAGAGAGAGAAGCGATGAGGGGGCTTTGGAGCACAACAGGGGGAAACGGAGGCAGAGCAGGGGATGGCGCACAGAGAAGAGATGGGAAGAAAAAGGAGGCCTAAAGAAAGCTCTCTTGGAAGGCTCATCGCTCAGGCTGCTTTTACTTTTCCACAGTGGCAGCCTGTTCACTCTGCCACGTGGCACTCACCCCGCTGAGCTGGAAGATGGCGATGGGCAGGAGGAAGAAGACAGAGGACACTGCCGTGACTGCATGCAGTCGCTTCTTCTGCTGCGACTGGCGGATGGGAGAGGGAGAGGGCAAGACAGGAGGTGGGACGAGGGAAGCAGGGAGGGGACCCAGGTGACTCGGTGTAAGAAAGCAGCACCTAACGCAGCAGGTCAGATACAAATAGACAATGCGAACATGCAGATGGAGCACAAAGGGAGCAAGCATGAAAATAGATGATGCAGTGCAATGCGATGAAATGCAGGGACACCTGACGTTTACGAAACAAATATCATCAATACCACCAGATATATTTGCTTGCATCAACAGCAAAGCACCCGGCTCCTACAGATTTCGTACTGGAGCTTCGCTCATACCTTTCCTAGCCGGGCAAGCAGTCGTCTCAGCGCAAAGAGCACTCCAGCAGCCACAGGCAGCAGCATGGCAGTCAACGGATTCCCCCCACCTGCTTCCACCATCCCACTCCCAGACATCCGCGCAACCTGCCACGCCAACAACCCCGTACCTCCCTCCCCTCCTGCCGCCCCACCTCCCGCTGCCCCTGCTGCTCCCCCCTTGCTGCTGCTGCCTGTGCTGCTGCCAGTGCCGTCGGCGGCTGTGCCGGTGGCAGTGGCGGCGGCAGTACTGTCTAGGCCCAAGGGGACGGGATTGGCGGGAGGTGGGAAGTCCGGTGGAAGAGTGGGGCCCAGCGGAATTCCGGAGGCGAGGAGATAGAAGGCAGCGAGCATGGCAATGGCGCCGTACAGCTGCACAGGGGAAGGAGGAGTCCGGGAGGAGGAAATGTGGGGCCGACGGCAGTGGTTGGAACAAGCATTGCTATTGAACGGCTGCACTGAAACGTAGCCTACGACTCTCTCATCAAGATTCGTTCCTTCCTTTATCGGCCACGCCTTACCTTGAGCACGCGGTGACCTCGCCGCCCGAAGATCATTGTGGATACGGTGGCAACCACCGCTGGTAGTCACTTAACCAAATTGTGTGCCTGTCTGGGTGCCTCCATTTGTGATGCGACCACCCGCGCTCACCTTGAGCACGCGGTGACCTCGCCGCCCGAAGATCATTGTGGATATGGTGGCAACCACCGCTCCCGAGTACTCCGCCATTACCGACCTTGATGGACGGGGAATGAGCAACAGTTCAAGGAGAGGGACGAAGGCCGTGAGGGGATTTTGAGCCGCCTCAAAAATCGAATATCATTGTGGATATGGTGGCAACCACCGCTCCTGAGTACTCGCCATCACAGACCTGATGGACGGGAATATCCACCATTGAAGGAAAAGCCGGGAGGCTGTGGGGTGAGGGAGTGGCATGTTTTTGGGGAAAGAGAGAGCACATGCCACTTTCACGAACTTTTCACGGACCATTCACTTCTAGCTTCACTCACTTCTAGCTTCAAGGAAACTTGAAAGAACTGGAGACTGGAGACTAAAGAGGGAGGGCGTACTCACCTTAAAGGACCACACTGCTTCAGACCGTACGCCCATGTGACAACAGCGAGGGCCAACACGCCTCCATTCATCACTGAGATGCCCCACTGGTCATGTGACACAAACGGGGTAGCAGGAAGGGACCCGGGTGGGGGGAAGGGAGGGGGAAAGGGGGTGATGGATGAAAAGGAGAAAACGAGGGAGAATGAAACCGAGGGAGAAAACGGCAGGAGCAGGACCACAATGGGGGTGAGCAACGGAAAGAGCAACACACGTGAAGCTTTACACCGAGAACACGGCCAGCCCGTGCAGAGATCTCGAACGCTGGCTTACGGATAGCTCGAATATCAGTGAACAGGGACTACTTGAGGTGGATGACGCGTTGCCTGGGTGCCGAAAAGGCGTTGCTTTGGTGTCGGCAAGGTTTACCTGGGTGTTGGTGAGTCGTTTGCCTTTCCAGGGCCGTTGGAGGAGGAAGAAGAGGATGGCGGCGCCGAGGAGCGAGAAGAAGGCGAAGAGCAGCACCGACACGTCCGACTCCACCAGGAAGCGGTACGCCGCGAATACCGACAGCACGCGCAGCGACCGCCCCACGACGTAGAACGCGTGAAGCGGCGCGTGCGACTGCTGCTGCACCCTGTGCGAGAGATTCGCGGGAAAAAGGATGGATCGAGTAGGGAGATAGAGGCACGCATACGAGGTAGAGTGGGTATTTCCTGTCGGAACAGGTTTGGTAACTTGCAGAAACGGACAATCGAATTTTGAGTGTAACCGGTGATAGGTGTCGTGTGACTGTAACAAGCGGTCGCACCTCGATGTGCCGGGACCCAGGTGCCATCGATTCAGTCGTGCGACGCCTTCGCCGATGGAACTTTCGTCGGACAGCATCGCACATGCGACGGCGACGCGACGAGGTCACAGCTAACAGTACAACGTGGTGAACAGAATCAACGCGAAATCTACACGATCCTCTTTTTCTCCTTGCTTTCGTAAGGAAGGCGGGATCTTCGAAGCGCTAAGGCGACGGTGCTGTCAGAATAACTTCTTGGCTTTGGATGGCTCCTACGGTCGCGATCAAGGAATCCAGAGGCTCCTCACAGAAGCCTCTTCCATTGCCCGTGCACTACTTATCATGTCTTCGCTGAACGAAGTTTAGGCCGCTAGGCGTCCCGCTGATAACCGTAAGATTAAGCAACGTTACTGCTTCCCAGTGCAACGCTAAGCCGGCACTTGAACACGCCAGTGATGACTCATGCGATTGCTTATGCGCAGAACGAAGACTGCCGGCCCCGAGAGCAGTCAGAACCAAGATGCGCGTCTAAAACACACGCCGTAAGCTCCCAGTGTTATCGCGGATTCGAGGATCAACTGAAGGCTTGAGCGTACTAAGTCCTGACTGATCACAGGTATAGCAATCTCAGGGGATCCTCGATGTTGGTCTGACAGATCTCCCGCTCCTGGCAATTCTCGAGGGAGACAAGATCGAAACTGGGAAAACTGCTAATAACGAGTCGACGAGCCCGTACTCCATGACTTTCATCCTACAAAAGGAATCATGGTTCATAAATCTAAGTCCTATTAATCAATTGGTGATTCTTCTAACCATTATTACACGATAGGCCTGTAATGATGTTTCTGCTTACCTATAGCACAGCCGCCATTTACCAATTCCCAACACATTGAAAAGGTGAAAAGGGCTGCATCGGGAAATCATGTTTTCCTGTAACCATCATTCTTTCCTGGCCCACATACACCCTGCAGCCTCAAGATCGAGTTTCAATTTTAGCGCGGAAAGCCTGACCCTCCTCTTCCCAACTACCTTGGGATCGTCGCCAATTCACCTGATCATCCATAGCCTTTCCGTACGACCTGATCCCAAGAATAGCAGCAACGCGAATAATTTTCAGGACCACTTCTGAGTAATAAAAGAAAAGTGTAAGTTTCTGGACCACAGCGCGTTAAACGTGAGTGAAATGTATGTTTGTGTCTTTCACAGCGTTGCTAACCGAGGCGCTCAGCGCATATCGCTACATTGTACGTCGCACTGCAAAGATAACTGGATGTTGCCCTAGGAAGCAAATCGCGCGCGCGAAGTTATGACGACTGGTCCCGAGGAGATTCCTGTTTCTGGCCGTGTCGATACCACCGCTGCAGACGCCAGTAATGCTGGTAATGCTGGTACTGCCAACGCAGCTACCGCTGCTGTTAATGCTGGTACTGACGCTCCTTCTGCGGAGGAACGCCAAATCCCAGAAGCGAGCGGAGCAGCTGGGTCATCCTCCGAGTCAGTTCGGCAGGATGCTGGGACCATACTGGGATCAGAGCAGAATGCTGCGACCATACTGGGATCGGAGCCAACCAGAAACGAAACGACCCGTGAGTCAACTCTGGAGTCCGGTCAAAACCCACCAGCCGTAGACACAGGTCGAGGGGAGAAGGCGGGGGGAGGACCAGCAGCGAATGAATCATCTAGTCAAGCGCCAACGGTAGGGGATACAGTAATGCTGGAATCTGGAAGCAGTTTAGTGGCCGGTCGCTCAGGAAACGGCAGGCTAGAAGCAGCCCTACCTAGAGAATCCAACACGACTGCTGATGCTGGTTATACGGGTGCTCCAATCCGCAATGACGCGACGGCGGCTAAAGCAATGGGGCCGTCGTCGTCAACTGGCGGAGTGCTGCCTTCGACAGCATCAGCAGCAGCAGCTTGCGCACCTGACAGCAGCAGCAGCAGCGGCAGCAGCGGCAGCAGCAGCAGCAGGCTCAGCCCCATCAGCAGCAGCGGTCTCCACAACAAGTTTATCGGTAACAGCCATCTCAACAGCAGCAGCAGTCCCAGCAGCAGCATCTGCCCCCACTACAGCAGCAGCAGCGCCAGCAGCAGCAGCAGCAGCAGCAGTGGCAGCAGCAGCAGCAGCCCCAGCAGCAGCTGTACCCACTACAGCAGCAGTCCCCAGTGCGGACACAGGAGGTGCAACACAGATGCGGCGACGAGCCATCCCTACCTTGACCGTTGACTTGGACAGCACCAACGCTGCCAGCAGCCAGCAGCAGGGTGGAGAAGGGGACCAAGACACTCCAGATGACTCCTCTAGGGCGCGTTCCTCTGCTTTGCCGTTCCGTTTCAGCATAGGGCTGCCTTTTGGAGCGTTGTGGGAGAGTAGAGTGGTTAAAGCAGTGGCGCCTGTGGCGGAGGGAGTGTGGGAGTGGATGGGGGGGAGTATAACCCCCGTGGGAGCGGATGAGGTGGACGGGGAGGGAGTGCGGTATGAGGTGGTGGGAGGTGGGTTCTACGGGATGGACGGGGATGAGACGGGGAGTGAGAGCGGTAGGGACACGCCTGGGTCCGCTCGTGCTGGTGTAGACGGGCTTGGCTGTCAGCCAGAACGTGAATCAGTCAAGCTTAGGTCTGAAACAGCAGCAGCAGCAGCAGCAGCAGTAACAGCAGGGGTGAGAGGAGACGGAGGAAGTGCGAAAGCAAACAGACGAAGGGGATGTTTACAATGGTGCTTTCTCAGAGGCCGCCGCAGCAGCCTGACCTCTTTCCTCACAGGCCACCGCGAGTCTCCTCCCACCTCCCCATCCGCCTCCCCAAGCCGCAAGCGCCGCCGCTCCCGCCACTGCTGCCGCATCCACCCGCTGCTGCTCGCCCCGCTGCTGCTGCTGCTGCTCGGGTGCGCGCTGCTGGGCCTGTACTTGCTGTCTGCACGAGAGGGCGCGCTGGTGGAGGGGATAAGGAGCGCGGGGGCGAAGGTGCGCAGGGAGGGACAGCAGGCAGTTCCTGGAGTTGGGGGTTGGGAGAGGAGCGGTGGAGGGGTGGGGTCTGGACAGGGTGCATGGGAGAAGGTGGGAGGGTTGGGAGGGACGGGCTGGTTGGGAGGGGGTGTGGAGGGAAGAGAGGGGGGCGCGGAGTTGGGGGGTCAAGTACGGAACCAGGAACGGGAGCAGGGGTTGCAGGAGCAAGGGTTGAGAGAAGGCGAAGGGGAAGGGCAGGTGGGAGATGGCAGGGAAAACAGAGATGCGAATGGAGGGGCGGGCGGGGGCATGGCAGCAGACAACGAAGAGCAGGGAGGAGACGGTGGGGGAGCGGTTACAGAGGGGATGCATGAGGAGGCCAGAACAGGAGGAGAGAGTGGGGGAGGGGAACAAGGTGGGGGAGGTGTAGCAGAGGCGGTGCATGAGGAAGCAGCAGCAGGAGGGGAAAGTGGGGGAGGGGAAGGAGGTGGGTCAGAGTCAGAACCCTCGAGTACCGCCACTCAGGGGGACTCGGATCAAAACGAAGCTCACCAAGAAACACCAGAGCAACAGGCGAACTCAGAGCAGAGCCAAGAACAGCCGGCAGACACGAGCAGCACTAGCACCAGTAGTGGTGGCGACGGCGGCAGCGGCGACGGCAGCAGCACCACCTCCACCCTCAGCGAGCTGTGGCGCAGACCAGCCTCGCTTATGTTCCACACGCGCACGTCCCGGCGGTGCAGGGAGCAGCGCACGATGGCAGCGTGCGGGCCACGGCAGGGAGTGGTGATCGCACGGGGCAGCCTGGAGGAGCGCCTGGAGGCCGTGTGCGCCGCTGAGGCGCTCACTGTGCTCGCCAACACCCGCTTCCGCGCCCTCTGGACCCTCCGCCCCCGCCCCCGCTCCTTCCCCAAACGCCCCCACACCCTCCCCCAGAGTCGGAATGCCGGAGGGGTGCTTGGGGGAAGGGGGCCGCACCGGCGGAGGCTGTTAGGGGAGATTACAGGAGAAGAGGAGCTTAGGAGGTTGAGAGAGGCCAGACGGAGGAGAATGAGGAGGAGAATGAGGAGGAGGAGCGGGGGAGGAGTGGGGGGAGGGGAGGGGGAGAAGAGACAGGGGGCGGAGGCTGGGGGTGGGGAGGCGGAGGGTAGCATGGCGGGGGAGGTGGGGATGGTGCGGTTTGGCGACCTGTTTGATGCGCGCATGCCTGTGGACGTGCAGGAGAACGCCACTGAGTTCCTGCTCAGGCATGTGGTGGCGGGGGAGAAACTCATGCGGCGAGAGGTGAGTCAGTTCTTGGATCCTCAGTGCCTGAGTGCCTGCACCCACGGTTTGGGGACCCGTATGATGCAGCACGCATGCCAGTAGACGTGCAGGAGACGCCACTGAGTTCCTGTTGCGTCACGTGGTGGCTGGAGAAATTCTCGTGCGTAGAGAGGTGAGTCAAACCGCTAGCTGTCAACGATATGGCTATCAAAACTCCACCGCACAATCCTATCCAACCCCCTTCCGCTTCTCTCCTTCCCCTCCCTCCCTCAGATATCCTTCATCCGCTGCCCCGAGCCGGCAGGCCCCAGGGTGGCAACAGGAGCAGAGCTGCTGAGGGTGACACCAGACGTGCGCCGATACGCCCAGGAGGTTTCCCGCATGCGCCAAGCCACTGGCTGGACTCCCCAGCAGGGAGGGAATTCCAATTCCAATTCCCAGGAAGTGGTGAATTCCCAAGGGTGGGATTCCCAGGGATCCGCCAGCAGTAACAGCACGAGGGTGGAGAGCGGTGCAGACCGGTACGGGCACTGGACGGCGCGGCTGCAGCTGTACACTGTGCGGGGGCTGGAGCTGCCGGACTTTGCGGACCGGCGCGTGGCATGCCGGTACGAGGAGGAGGTGCGGGCGTGCCTGGGGAAGCTACAGCCGTCCGATGCAGTCCTCGATCTGATTCGCCAGGAGGAAGAGGAGGGTGGAGAGGGGGAGGAGCAGAGGGAAGGGGGGGAAGGGAGGGGTGAAGGGGCGGAAGGGGCGGGTGGTGAGGAGAATGGAAGTGAGGGGAGGGAACAGGAGGAGGGTTCACGGGGGCGGGGAGTGGGGGAGAAGCGGGATGGCAGCAGCATCGGGGAGATTGTTGCACGGAGCACAGCAGTTTATCTGGAGGTGAGTGTGTTGCATAAGTGGAAAGGAGAGGAGTGACGATGCAAGCTGGCTGCATGCCTTGTTTCATGCTGCCTGCCTGCCCCTTCACGTCTCAGCCGCCCGCCCTGACAATGCAACCACCAACATCCCCAAACGGGACGGAGTCGGAAGAGACAATGCAAGCTGACTGTGCGCCTAGTTCCGTGCTGCCTGCTGGCCCTGCCCCTTCGCGTCTGACCTGTCTCCCTTCCCCCTCCTGCTGCCCGTCTTCTCCCCACTCCAGCCCACCCCCCCCTGGACGCTCCCCCAGGCCCGTGCGCTGCCCTGTGCGGGGTGCCCGCCCGCTGATCTCCTAAACTGCACCATGCGCCGCATCGCATACCACTACATGCGCACACATGCTCCTTCTTCCTCCTCATCCTCCTCCTCTTCCTCCTCCTCCTCATCCTCCTCCTCTTACTCCTCCTCCTCGTCTTCTTCCTCCTCCGACCCCTCCCGCTCGTTGCCTGACTTCCTAGTCGGCGCATACTGGCCGTCGGATGCTCAGACGCTCATCTCAGCCTTCCATCCGCTCCGCCGGCCGTACCTCCTCAGGCTGACACGTCAGCGCCAGGTGGCATGCCCGTCACCACCGCCTCTCGCCCTGCGCCCCGAGCGGGGATCGGTGCGGTCTGAGGAGCAGATGGGGATGCGAGGAATCAAGTATAGGCGGGTGGGATGGCGAACGCAGGGAGCAGCAAGAGGAGGGACGCAAGGAGGAGACAGGGAGGGGATGCAGGGAGGACAGGGCGCACAGGGCGCACAGCGAACACAGGGAGGACAGCAGCAAGAGTCGCTGCCACAGCTGCCCCAGCAGCAGCAGGTGCGGTTTGTTGACCCGCCGAGAGCAGCAGGGCAGGGCGTGGCTCTGGACCTCAGAGTGGTCAGTGCGGTAGGCACGGGCGCTCAGAGCACTGACGGAGGCTTGCAGAGAGAGTTGGGGCAGGGAGGAAGTTCACAGGGAAGGGACGGGCAGGGAGGAAGTTCACAGGGAAGGGACGGGCAGGGAGGAAGTTCACAGGGAAGGGACGGGCAGGGAGGAAGTTCACAGGGAAGGGACGGGCAGGGAGGAAGTTCACAGGGAAGGGACGGGCAGGGAGGAAGTTCACAGGGAAGGGACGGGCAGGGAGGAAGTTCACAGGGAAGGGACGGGCAGGGAGGAAGTTCACAGGGAAGGGACGGGCAGGGAGGAAGTTCACAGGGAAGGGACGGGCAGGGAGGAAGTTCACAGGGAAGGGACGGGCAGGGAGGAAGTTCACAGGGAAGGGACGGGCAGGGAGGAAGTTCACAGGGAAGGGACGGGCAGGGAGGAAGTTCACAGGGAAGGGACGGGCAGGGAGGAAGTTCACAGGGAAGGGACGGGCAGGGAGGAAGTTCACAGGGAAGGGACGGGCAGGGAGGAAGTTCACAGGGAAGGGACGGGCAGGGAGGAAGTTCACAGGGAAGGGACGGGCAGGGAGGAAGTTCACAGGGAAGGGACGGGCAGGGAGGAAGTTCACAGGGAAGGGACGGGCAGGGAGGAAGTTCACAGGGAAGGGACGGGCAGGGAGGAAGTTCACAGGGAAGGGACGGGCAGGGAGGAAGTTCACAGGGAAGGGACGGGCAGGGAGGAAGTTCACAGGGAAGGGACGGGCAGGGAGGAAGTTCACAGGGAAGGGACGGGCAGGGAGGAAGTTCACAGGGAAGGGACGGGCAGGGAGGAAGTTCACAGGGAAGGGACGGGCAGGGAGGAAGTTCACAGGGAAGGGACGGGCAGGGAGGAAGTTCACAGGGAAGGGACGGGCAGGGAGGAAGTTCACAGGGAAGGGACGGGCAGGGAGGAAGTTCACAGGGAAGGGACGGGCAGGGAGGAAGTTCACAGGGAAGGGACGGGCAGGGAGGAAGTTCACAGGGAAGGGACGGGCAGGGAATGCGTGGGCAAGGAGGGGGCGGGCAGAAGAGCCAGTACTGGGCGATGAAGCAGCGGCTGAAGCAGCTGGCGCAGGAGCGGCAGAGGAGGAGAGGCGCCCGTGGGGGGGACGGTTCAGTGGGCGCTGTTGGAGTCTCTGGCAGTGGGGCGTCGAACAGGCGAAGGCTTTTGGGTGCTGAGTTGGCGACTTTAGAGACGTCTCAGGAGTCAGGGGGCGCTATTGGGGGGTCTGGCAGTGGGGTGCCGAAAAGGAGACGGCTTTTGGGTGCTGACTTAGCGCTGACGTGGCAACAGCTGGCGGAGTTGCAGGAGGAAGAGGCGGCTAGGAAGGCCGGAGCGTCCAAGCGGAGAGATGACCAGCTGTGTGTGCGACTGAGGGTAGGCATGCAGGGCATGGTGTGGGGACTTGGGGGACATGACCGGCTGACTTTTGAGTCGACTCAAAAGAGATGACCGGCTGTGTGCTCGATTGAGGGTAGGCATTCAGGGCATGGTGTGGGGACTTAGGGTACATGACCGGGTGTGTGCTCAACTAAGGTTAGGCATGGGGGCACGGAGGCATAGGGGCGTAAGGCATGTGCGGCTGTGTGTGCTTCGATATGACATGTGACATGTGACATGTGACATGTGACGAGTTAAAATCTGACCAGGTATAGGCATGGCATGAGCAACAACCACTCCTCATCAGTCCCTCCTTCACTCCCTCCCTCTCCCCACACCCCCAGCTGGCGGAGCTGTATTGGCTGTCACGAGCGCAGGCGGTGATTAATCTGTACAGAAGCACGGCAGCCGACTTCATTCGCGCCCAGATGGCCTTCCGCCTCCTCCACAGTTCCACCACCACCACCACTGCCACCACCACACTCGAGGAGGGCGGGAGCCTGGATGATACAAGTGCCACCAGCTCTGCTGCGGATGCTAGTGCTGCTGCTGCTGCTGCTGCTGCTGCTGCTGCAGGGACGGGTGGCGAGTTGAGTGTGTGCCAAGCGCTCCCGCTGCCGCCTGTCATCAAGAGCCGTGCAGCACGGCACATGATTGTCGATGGTGACACTGACACCTCCTGCCTTTCTGCTGCTTCCATGCTTCTAGTTTGTCTCTGCTGCTTCCATGCTTCTAGTTTGCCTCTCTGCCCAACATGGCTACCAGACATGCCTCTGTAGTCCTGGAACATCAAGCATCTATCTTAAGCCACACCCTCCAGCTGCCATGTTGCTCCCTTGTTCTCTCTCCCCCGTACCCCCTTCCCCTTTGTGGCCCCCCTTTTCCTCTCTCTTTCCTCCCTCCCTCGGCGTTTCCTCAGAGCGTCTCAAGGCCATCTACTGCTACATCCCCAAGGTGGCCTGCACGAGCTGGAAGCTGTGGTTCCAGCAGCAGCGCGGCCGCACCACCCCTGATGACATAGAGCATGTGCATGATGCTGACGCCAGTGGCCTCGACCAGCTATGGTGAGTTGTTTGGCCCCTGATGCACTTTGAAAGATGATTCAGGATGGCATGACGTGGTGCATATCTATTAATGATGCTGACGCCAGTGGCCTGGCTGGACCAGCTATGTTGAGTGAATCGAGACGAAATACAGTTTAACATGGCGTGACATGGCATACATGCATGATGCGCATGTGTGCACCATCCTCTTTTGCTCCACCCTTGGCCTACCGCCCTTTCCTTTGCCCTCTGTTCGCTGCCCCCCTTCCCATTCCCCATCCCCTCCTTGCTCTGTGTTGTGCAGGCACGCATTCACAGAAAGGGAGGCCATCCGCGCGCTCACCCACCCCAGCCTCTTCCGCTTCACCTGTTGCGCACAACCCCTGGATGTCCCTTCTGTTCCCCTTCACCCTACCATCGTCCTCTCCCCTCCCACCCTCCCCCCTTGCTCTGTGTTGTGCAGGCACGCGTTCACAGAGAGCGAGGCCATCCGTGTGCTGACCCGCCCGAATATGTTCCGCTTCACCTTTTTTGCTCAACCCTTGGATGTGCCTTGTGTTTCCCTTTCCCTTCCCATCCCCCTCTCCCCCCCAGGCACGCGTTCACAGAGAGCGAAGCCATCCGTGTGCTGACCCGCCCAGACATGTTCCGCTTCACCTTTGTGCGCAACCCCTTCTCCCGTGTCGCCTCTGCCTTCCGCAACAAGCACGTCGCCTGGGCCGACCCCAAGGATCGCCTGCAGTGGAACAAGGTGCGCACTGCACCGCACAAAGGCACTGCACTCATGCGCTCTCTGCCTACATCATCAAGCACGTCGCCTGGGCTGACCCCAAGGATCGGCTGCAGTGGAACAAGGTGCGCACTCACACTCACACTCACTCTCACGCTCACTCTCACATTCACTCGCACACTCACTGTCACACTCACTCTCACACTCACTATGGCAAACTTGCAATTCTGATTTCAGGTGCATCAAATACGCCGTACGAACAAGGCAGGCTCCTCTGTCACACCGCACCCATCCTCGTGCCTCACTTCCCTCCTTCCCTCCTGTCACGCCCCCTTTCCCCCGCCTGAGTGCAGACCTTTTCGCGTGAAAGGGGCCCAGGGTGCTGCAAATGGCATCAGAGGGGGCGGACCACAACATGACCTCTCATTCCCTCATGCCCTCGCCCTTTTCTTCCCCACCTGCATGCAGAGATTATTTGGGTGGAAGGGCGCCAGGCTGCTGCAGATCGCACCAGAGCGGGCGGATTACAACATGACCTTCTCCACCTTCATCACGCTCGCCCTCGCCACTGTCAGCAAGCACCGCGCCGACATGGAGCCCCACATCGCACCCCAGGTCGGTGTTTGAGGCGCCTTAAAAGTCATGGAGCCCCCAGGTGGGTGCTTTCTTGGACACTTTGGAAATGGCTTTTGATACGTCTCAAAGGTCACCTAGCCCTTGCCACTGTCAGTCAGCAAGCTCCGCCCCGACACGGAGCCCCAAATCGCACCCCAGATTGGTGTTATTTAGAAGCTTTGGAAAGGGCTTTTGAGATGTCTGAAAAGTCGCCCTTGCCACTGTCAGCAAGTATCGCATTGGCATGGAGCCCCACATTGCACCCCAGCCCAGGTCGGTGTTCTTGGAGGTTTGTGACGAGATCAAGTGGGTGCATGCGTGACTGCTCTTACCATTCTTCTCCTTCACATCAGATTCTTTCCGCTGTGCCTTACCTTCTCTCGGCCTATACCTCTTGTTCCCTCTTTCCGTTTGACTCTCCACTAGGTGCCCCAAAAGTCAGTTCCATCTTCCACCCCCTTGTTGTTGCTTCCAGGCGGATGTGTGTGACCTCGATAGCGTCAAGTACGACTATGTGGGGAGATTCGAGCAGCTGGAGGAAGGCGTGGAGTATGTAATGAACCACCTTGGGACTTCGCCCTTGAAAGCCTTTGGGGTGGGCAAGGAGGCTCATCGCACCGATGCTGATGCACACCTGCGGGGAATGTACACCAATGTAATGTGATTGATTTAAGTCTGAAATGCTGGGAGGGCACCTGTTGATGACCTGTTGATTTGCATCAATGCATGGCATGTGAAACTTGTCAAATGTTGCGAGTTTGTTCTCCCTGTTTCCCTTTGGTTATTGTGCTCAGGAAATATACGAGATGGTGAAGGGGCTATATGCGTCGGACTTCAACATTCCTCTTAATGGTATACATTACGAGCCTCCATCCGCTTTGAAAGATGTTTTTGAGCAAACTTCTTACTGAAAGACAAACAACAATAACTGAATGTTCTGCCTGGTCGTTCTTAACAATACTAACTACAAATTACATAATTTTTTGTTTGTGAATTCTTTGCACATGATACAATCAGGACATAATCAGGACATGATATATCCAGGACACCGGATGCCCCCTAATTCCGCATTTAGCCGTTAAGTGACTGCTCACAAGAGGAGAACAGCCGTTGCGAGGAACAATCGTGGTTACCCAAAACAGCGATATCTCGCTCGATGGTTTTCGTGCATCCCAGTGCATTCCCTAGGTTGGAGAGGTGGTTCTGCTTACAACGCGCAAGCTTTTCCGTGGAATGTTGTTCATGGTTGAGTGCCAGATCCCGCTGTTACACCGAACTCACCCATCCCATAGCTCGAGATTTGGATCCCCACGCCCTTGATTCTCCTCCTAGCCTTGTAAATCGGCTGCCGATCTTAGCTTGTTTTGCCGGATAATTGTTATATTCTGTACAGTCCTACCGTAGTTAGGATATGGAGGGGTTCGACTATGAGGGCGATGCTGGAGTCGAGCAGCAGAATGCATCTGCCGCTGATTTCCAGTCGTACAACGGTTTAGGAGACCAGCAAGAAGCTGCTGCTGGCGAATATGCTCCCCCAGCGGAGGAAAACGGCACCTTTGACGGCGGAGCGAAGCTTCCTCCCCCCTCACAGATGGGTTCCGAGGAGTCGATTTTGCTAAGGTGACGATTAGGTCAGATAGCATGTTGTTCGTCTTCGAGCAGCAAGACATCTATGCCCTCATTTGTACTCTCTATTGTCCCCGTCAGGGAATGGAGGAGGAAGAAGGCCATCGAGCTTGAAGAGAAGGCTCGCATCTCAAGAGAGAAGCATCAACAGGTGAGGATCGTGATAGCAAATCGACTTGGTTATTTAGACTGCGATTATCAATCTTTAGATTCATTCAATGGACTGCGGAAATGAACAACAGACAGGGATTATCAAGGTTAGGTCGTCGATTTCATAGTCTTGGACCTTACTCGGATTGTTCAGGTGCTGGAGGACTCGAAAGCCGAGCTTGAAGCATTTTACAAGAAGCGTGAGTTCCAAGTCACACAGGCCAAGGCGAACAACAGGTTCGTGGATGTTTTTCTGTTCTAGTTCTGAAAATCAGGTACAAAATGAGCTGTTCCAGTTCTGAAAAGATCTATTGATTTCCGTTGTCAGGGAGAAGGAGAAGGCATATGTGGACAACCTATTGAGCCTCAACTCCAAGCAGGGTGGGAACTATTGGGAGAGTGTGTGTGCGTTCACAAACTTTGATGTATCTATCAAGAAGGAGAAGGCAAAGAAGAAGGACGAACCGACTCGCATGTCAACTCAGCTTAACGATGCTAAACCCGGCAAGCACACTGATCTAGCCCGCATGCGCCAGGTAAGCCAAGCTGTACTACCATTTTGGGTGTAGGACGTGTAGCATCATCATTCTAAATTCATAATTGCAATGTTTCTTTCTGTCAGGTGTTGCTGAAGCTGAAGCACAATCCTCCCCCTGCCTTTGCGGCTGCTGCCAATACTACTGATGCTCCTGCTGCTGCTGCCACCACGTCTTCCAAGTCATCTAAGTCCACAAAGGCAGCTGCAAAGTAGATATTTCAGCAGTCATTGTTCTGACAGCTCGTGTGAAGTACCCTTTCTAATGTTCTTGGTTTCTTATTCAGGCTGCCTATGTCAAGAATAGTAGCCTTAGGGTTTGGGGTAGCGTGAGCGAGAGAAACAGGAAGGTGAGGTTCACTACAGCAAGGTTACAAGATATAGCAAAGAAAGGTGAGCACATTGGTGCACCACCACTGTAGCTACACTAGAACACACAGCAAGCAGGGTATATAACAAAACTTAACACACCCCCTTAACCTGCTTGCCGTGATAACTAGTACAGGTACACGTGGCGCAGCGGAAGAGGGTAGAGAGGTTAGGAAGGAGGAGGAGGTGAGAGGAGAGGAGAGGAGAGGAGAGGAGGGAAGAGAGAGAGGGATAAGGAGAGGTGGGGGGCCAGGAGCGGCGGACCCGCTTACGAACCTCAGTTTACAAAGGGGGTTGGGGAGGAGTGAGGGAAAAGGAGAGAAGGTGGGGGGCCAGGAGCGGCGGACCCTCTTAAGAACCTTCAGAACTCAACTCAACTCAACCACCCCCCTTTAACCTCACTCCATGAATCTGCCATCCCCCCAATGCTCACCCTCACACTCCAGTCAACTTCACTATCACCACCCCCTCACCTTCTGCACTTCTCTCCCCCCCCCCCCCCCCCCTTCTCTACGGCGACAATCCCTGCAGTAAGAGAGAGGGGAGGGACGGGCTGCAGGCAGCTCACACACGCCACCCACACATCTCCCCCTCCTCCCTCCCCACGACGGAAGCAGCGGAAGGGAGGGCGGGCGGGCGGGGGGGGGGGGGGGGGGGGGGGGGGGGGGGGGGGGGGGGCGGCGGTAGCTGCTGCTGGCGCTGGCGCTGGCGCTGGCTGGTGCGCAGGCGCGAGCGGCTGGCCGCGGTGGTGGCGTCCGCGCTGACGGGCCACGCTCGCGCTGGCGCCTGCGGTCCGGGCTGGCGCGGGCGCTGGCGTCCATGCTGGTGCTGGCGCCCGCCGGCGCTGGCGTCCGCGGCGACGAAACGGGGGGCCCCGGCGCGTCGAAACGGGTGGCCGCGGGGCGACGAAACGGGGGGGGGGGCGCGGGGCGACGAAACGGGGGGCCGCGGGGCGACGAATCGGGGGCCGCGGGGCGACGAAATGGGGGGCCGCGGGGCGACGAATCAGGGGCCGCGGGGCGACGAATCAGACGGGCGCAGGGCGCGACGGGACGAAGAAAATAGCGCATTTCGCGCTGCATTAAGGGCGGGCCCATGTTTCTGAAAAAAAAATGAAGGTTCTAGGAAAGAACCAGCTCTGAAACCATGTCAAGAATAGTAGCCTTAGGGTTTGGGGTAGCGTGAGCGAGAGAAACAGGAAGGTGAGGTTCACTACAGCAAGGTTACAAGATATAGCAAAGAAAGGTGAGCACATTGGTGCACCACCACTGTAGCTACACTAGAACACACAGCAAGCAGGGTATATAACAAAACTTAACAGCCTACATAATCCTGAAAAGCCTAGTGAAGTCATCCAAGCATCAGCATGACACCCGCCTTGATTACCTACAGCTAAGTCACACAGATGGAGGGTCACTCTGAAACTGACGCTACCTTGTAACCTTGTAGCTCTGCATAAAGAGGGGCAACCAGGAAGGGAATCAGCACAACCATGTACAGCAGAAGGGCAACGAGGAAGGGAAGGAGCTCCTGGTAGCCATGAAAAACTTGTCACTTACCTTCACTTGCGCGAGCAGTTTCTTTGCATCAGGGTTCGTCTTGAAGTGGTCTCGTACAGGCTGCACAGCAATACTCGAGGTCAGGAAAAGAAGCAGCATACAAGGGCAATGAATGAAAGGGGAGTGGTGTGTAAAGTGGTCCATAGAATCACCTGGAGAATCCTGTTGAGTGCTTTGGAAAGAGCCAGCTTGAGGTCACCTGGGTGGAGTTTACCCTCCTTGTAGTCTGCACACAGCTGATCAGCATCAGTGTAGATGCTGAGGAGGGAAGGGGGAAAATGAGTGGGGAATAACAAGCAGCACAGGGTGAATATGCTGAACTAATGCGTAGTCCAGCCATTGGCAAGCACGACGGTGAATGACAGCATGAGTGTAGAATTTCACAATTCACTCACACGTTGCCTCCGTGCTCCTCCTTGCGCTCCACCTCAAACTGCTTGAACCAGGGCAGCACAATGTACTGCACGTAGGCAATGCACGGGTTGCCCTCCACCTCCCCTGGTGGACAGAATGCCTTCTTGATCTTCACATTCACTTCAGCCTGCCAGAAACAGTGCAGGGTGAAATGTGGAGTGGATGACCAGATACACCAGCAACTAGATAAATCCACAGCTCAAGCTTAGAAAGGCACTTTCGGGTTGGTGGCGCAGTGCCTTGGGTGACACTTTCCCCCTGACCAAGATTTCGGCTCGGTCCTCCCGTCCTGCATCCGAAACACCTCACCTCCTCGTCCTCCATGAAGATTGCGGAGTTCGGGTCACTCTTTGACATCTTCTCCTGCCCTTGCAACAACCCCGGCAGCATGTCTGCATGCACACCAAATCCCAGACAGTGAATGCACGGAGGGGCCACAGAGGCATAGCGCCAGGGAACGAGTAAACAATACAGACAGACAGAGTGTAGTAGGACGAGTTTTCAAGAGCACAAGCCTCTACAGCCAGCCATGCAGCGTTGAACAGAAGAAGAAGAAGTAGACGAACAATGCTTACGGTGGGAGAGGATGATGGGCTTCATCTTCCGCTTGATGTCATCGCAATACTCCCTGGCCAGCACATTCACCTTGCGCTGGTCCATGCCCAGCTGACAGATGTCCGCCTGCCATTGGCGCATGCAACAGAAAAGGCAAGATGACCCACAGCTGGACGAAGGAATTAGAGAAAAGAAAAAAACGCTTGGCACGCATGTCAGGCACATATGACCTGAGATCCATTGCTTTATTCTGAAATCTGAACAGAATTCAAGTTGCGTCAAGAGCCAAGCGGACCTTGAGGAAGAAGATGTCGGCACACTGCATGCAGGGATAGAAGATCTGTGCGGCCGACAGCTCGTCCGTCTCACTGCGCCCCATGATCTGTGAACACCTGCAGGGCTCCAGAAAAGGCGGGGGTGCAGGAAAAGAAAGAGCAGAGGGAGGGAGGAATAGGAGGGGGAGGAAGAAAGCAACAGCAGCTTGCTTATCACTGCTCTCCTGCACAGTCGTTTCTCACCTAGCACGCTTTCCCTCTCCACGGTCCCCTTTCTCCTCCACCGCCCTCCTTCCTCTGTTCTCTCCATATTCAGGTCAGCACAAAACTTCCTCTGCCTGCCCACCTGAGAATCCGGGGCAGCTTGTTCTTTCTCGCTATGTCCATGACAAGCGGCCAGTACTCGCCAGCGCGCCCGTTGATCTCCTCAGAGGACCACAGGAACTCCACGCGCGTGAGTTCCATGCCCACTGCGCTGAGGAAGAGCAAGGCCCATGCGATCCCTACCAACTCTAAGCAAGGCCTCTCCCCCTGCTTCTTGTCTCCCACTCCACCCTTTCCTTACTCGCCCACCTGAGGATCCTTGGCAACTTGTTCTTTCTGGCGATATCCATAACCAAAGGCCAGTACTCCCCTGCGCGCCCGTTGATCTCCTCAGACGACCACAGGAACTCCACGCGCGTGAGGTCCATGCCCACTGCGCGCCACACCTCCATCATGTAGCGACCAACGGTCTGGATCTTCTTGAGATCGCCGCCCATCTTGTTGTTCAGCTGCGCGAACCAGTCCGCCACCCAGAACTTGAAAATGCACCCTGATTGGGTCAGCTTGTTCACGTTCAGCGCCTTCATCACTCCCTGGAGAGGGGAGGGGAAGGGGGAAGAGGGGTCGGGAGTGGTGGAGTGGGGTGAGGGACGGTGGTGTGGGGAACCAGTCCGCCACCCAGAACTTGAAGACGCACCCTGATTGGGTCAGCTTGTTCACGTTCAGGGCTTTCATCACTCCCTGGGGGGAGGTGTGGGGGGGGAACGAGGGAGAGGGGGGTGAGGAGGAGGGGGGAGGAGGAAGGGGGAAGCGGTGGAGTGGGGGGTGTGGGGACGGGGGACTCACTTGTGCGACGTGCGACTCACCTGTGCGATGTGCATGCGACCAGAGGGCTCGAAGCCATCGTAGGCGATGGGGTCCTTCTTTTTGAGCAGCAGGTTGCGCAGCTCGTCCTCCTGAATGCACGATGTGCGCCCCACATGTGCGACATGCGACCCACATGTGCGACATGCGACCCACATGTGCGACATGCGACCCACATGTGCGACATGCGACCCACATGTGCGACATGCGACCCACATGTGCGACATGTGACCCACATGTGCGACATGCGACTCACTTGAGCGATGTGCATGCGACCGGAGGGTTCAAAGCCGTCGTAGGCGACGGGGTCCTTTTTCTTGAGCAGCAGGTTGCGCAGCTCGTCCTCCTGAATGCACTCCTCCCCCACGCTCCGCACCAGCGCGTACCGCTCGTCCAATGTCATCCTGCCACGTGGACGGCGAAAGGGGGGAATCGGCGAAAGGGGGAAAAGACAGAGAAAAGCTGACCGAGAGCGAGGGAGAGAGCGAAAGGGGGAGTGAGGGGTAGCGCGAGGGGGAGAGCGAAGGGGAGAGCGAGGGGGAGAGCGAGGGGGAGAGCGAGGGGGAGAGCGAGGGGGAGAGCGAGACTGCGCAACCCTGAACCCCTGCTACGCCGTCCGTCCTGCATCGCACCAACCGAAGAAAACTCTTTCGGAGTCGGAGCGACGACATGAAGAGGATCGCTCTGCGGGCCAGACGCATAGCACTGGCCGAAAGCGAGTAACCTCGGGAACGGACCAGCAGGGAAAGGGTGAGCAGGGTGAAGGAAATAGGGAATCTAATCGCACCCATTGAACGACCCTGCAAGCTGATCCACGTCAGCAGCGGGAGCGGGAGTGGAGGAGGATTCTGGTGCGGCCTGCGCGGCTGCCGCCGCCTCGGACCCTTCCGCAGACATTGCGCGCTGGGGAAAATTCGCAGGATTCGATGTGGGAGAAAGTGGGAAAAAGTTGGGGGAGTGGGATATTTTCTGTGGTTCTTGTGGGACTGTATGACTTGGTACTCCCGAGGACGTGGTTTGGACAGCCGCGGGCGTGGCGTGGAAACGCAGTTGCGATTTCGCCAGTTTTGAAAATACTTGACGGTTACCGCAGTCGTCGAGATTTTATGTGCCCGTGGCGATCTTCGCAGTAGCGTAGCCTGCATTCCACCTTCTTGTAATGTTTCACGCTCTCGGTGTCCCCGAGGACGTGAGCAAGCATGACAAATTGACATTTTCAGTATACAGCTCCTTCATCCAATTGACATCTTATATGTGCCAACGTTCGGTTACACAACGTTCTGTGCATGGCATCTTATGTGTGCCACCAATCCAATCTATCATACAATACCGTAAGCGCCACCAGCAAGCCGTGGCCTAACCAAAAGCCCTAAGAATCACTATTTCCCTCATTTCTTTGCGTTCTATGCTTTAACTACGTCGCTTATTGCGACTGGCACGGGCCTTATTTACTTCCCCAAAGAGCTCAAGTAATCTTGGGGGAGGTGAAAACGATATGTTGTTCAGCGGCACTTTCATGTCCATGGAGAGGAACTCAGTTGCTTCGTCATACGCTTTCTGCAAAACCACCAACCAAACAGGAAGAAAACACGATATGGGAATGGTGTATACAAGTGAAATGGAACCACGGGTGATGATACCTACCACATATACATGAACTTACCTTGTCAAATAGATCAAGGAATTTGTCACGAGCATTAGTGGGGTGTGCTGATTTCCCAATGGAGAATGCTTCAGACGTGATAGTGCGATTCAGCCGCTGCATCACCACCGGCACGTCCTCTGCCAGGTTCTCAAAATGACCCACAAAATCAAAGCGAATGTCGTTCAGCCGGCACACATCCACCTGAAAACAGAAATAATTTTTAGAGAGGGGTTGGGATGGGAGGGGAGGTAGGGGGAGCAGGGAGAGGATGCAAGAGGCGAATATTCATTTGGAGTTTTCCACACACATTAGTGCATGAGCACAGCAGGTTGTCAGCAGGGGGCCTTAACCAAGGCAAGCCAACATGCGATAGCGGCTCAACGTGCACTCGTCCACAGTCCACCCAGGCGACAAACAGCATGTGGCATGAAAAGGAGGCGGTGGTGGTGAAGGTGCTGCACTCACAGACACACATATGCTAGCATAATGCCCAGGCTATACAGGGTAAGGCAGCGTTGGATAACGTTGGGTGAGGGAAGTACCCACCTGGGGTGCAACATGGGGGTCCATGGTACGTCGCCTCCTCTTAAACATGGTCCGCAGCAGCCCCACAAAGTCCCCAAACTGCAGCAAGTCCGACCCCCCCTGGTGCTCCACCAGCCACTGGAACGGCCGCGTCCCGTGGAAGAACCTCTTGTTCCAAAACGCCCGCCCCTGCGGTGGCCCCCCGTTCACATGCTTGTTGAGGTAGGCGGACGCGAGGCGCGCAAACGGGTGGCGCACGAACGTGAATTTGAAGAAGTCCGGGCGGGTGAGGAGCGCCATGACGGCAGATTCGGTGTATCCGGACGCGAGCACGTGTAGGCCCGAGTGCTTGGTGGGGGTCGTGTGCGAGGTAGACGTCTGAGATGTTGGGCAGGTTGTGCTGCTGGCGGAACCACACCTTCCAACTCGTGCACGCCGCCTTGGGCACAAAACAGTAGATGGTCTTCAGCTCCTCTGGTGAATGGGTGTGGGGACGATGGGAGTGGGAGAAAGAGGTGGCAGGGAAGGGGAATGAGAAGGTGGGATGGGGAAGAGCGGGGGGAGGAGGAGGGGGAAAAGGAACACATTCCTAACAAACGCCCAGTATGGCAATCATTGATGGGTGAGGGGTCTGACATATGTGCTGGCTGCAGGAAGCACTCACCATCCACGAGATACTGCCGCAGGAACCACATGTTCTTGAAAGGCGCCACCTCAGGGGCTTCACACACTGACGGGTCCACCACAAACGAGGATGCAGATAACGGTGCAGTGGAGAAACCAGTTTCGCCTCCAAGCGCCACAGCAGCAGCATTGTCAGCGGCAGGAGCAGCAGCAGCACTAGCAGCAGAAGCAGTGTGTGCGTCCTGGTTGATCCGCGCCCTGGCCTGCGCGGCAATGAAGAGAGCCTCCACAGAGGGGCGCGTGTGAAGGAGCCCTTTAGCGGACGACAGCAGCAGCAGCTCCGCCAGTTGCAGCTGCTGACACTCCGTCTGGTCAGCAGCAGCGCTGCTCGTGCTAGCACTGCCTGCGGTGCTGGCAGTCGTGGCGGTGCTGACAGTCCCACTGCTACTCGCAGTTTTGCTGCTCCTGCCTTTTCTTACTCGTCTGCTGCCGCTGCTACTGTGGTTGCCACCAATGCTGTCATCACTGTCGCCCATTTCTTTCTTCATGAATTGCCCACCAACCCCCTCTACTCCTGTCACCTCTTCCCTCTCCTTCGTTTCCTCGTCCCTTTCCTCCTCTTGCAACTCGTCTCCTTCCTCTCTCCCATTCTGCCCTCCCTCCGCATCTCCTCCCTCCGCATCTCCTCCCTCCGCATCTCCTCCCTCCGCATCTCCTCCCTCCGCATCTCCTCTCTCTTCCAGCACCCATCTTCTCCGAGTTGCCTTTGCCGGGCCTCCTTCGCCCGCGCTCTTCTTCCCGCCAGCGCTCTGCTGCCCGCTCTCCCTTCCATCCTCACCCTCATTCCGCTCCTCGCTCCCGGTTCCCTCCTCCTCCTCCCTCTGCTGCTTGCCCTCCCTCTGCACCTCGTTTTCCAGCTGCTCCTCTCTCCCGCTCTCCTCCTCGCCCTCACTGGATTGTCGCGACGCGGTAGCGAGTGGAGGAGGAGAGGGAGCAGAAGAAAGGGAGGAGGAGAGATGGGGAGAGGCAGGGCAGCCGAGGCTGATGCGCTTGCGGGTGTGGGGGAGGAGGAGAGGGGCGCGCAGGGGATGGAAGGTGCCGGCGACTGTAGCAGCGTCTGTAGCAGAGGCAGCTGCTACAGTGAAGTCCACGTCAGACGAGTTGGACGGCACGCGCAGGTAGCGCCACGTCAGCGTGCGAAGCGTGCAGTTGAGTAGAGGGTCCTCGGGGCACCCTCCGCACGTGCCACCTGGCATCACCTGATTGGCCTGTCAATCAGCACAAGAACATATCTACAGATAAAATTATTGTAAACAAAACAGCATGCACTGTTGAATGCAAGGAAGATGAAAGTAGCAGAAACCAATGATCGATACATCTTGGTCCCCTTCCCTCACCTCAAGGTACACTGCTGTACTCGATTTAAGCCTGGAAAGAAGTGACAATGAATTTCCTGCTCCTTTGATCTGATCCTCCTGCTCCTCCCCCAGTTCCCCAGCCAGTAATCTGGTGACATGTGGCGAGGGCTGGAGAGCGCCCAGGCACGACTGGAAGAGGCGAAGGGCAGAACATGCCTCGGGGGGGGTCTGGGGGGAGAAGCGGAGGAAGAGGGGAGGGAGGAAGGGGGCAGAGTGAGAAGTTTGGGGGAGGAAATGGAACAAGGGAGGGGGATGTGGGCCATGTGTGGGAGAGGGGGAGGACGGGATAAGAATCGAAAGCAAACTGTTACCTGTCCCCACGCCATCCGATGTGTTTGTCTTCCTCCCAGGCACTTGATTCCGCCCCTCACTCGCCATGTTTCATTCATGTCCGACCCATCTACCACCACAGGACAACCCATTCCACCGGATTCAACGCACCTCCCCCCCACTGTCAAACCAGACCTAGTGTCTTAGCATCAACGGCATCCCTACGCGCTTCAAGAATCGTCTCGCCTCATACCGCAATCAAGGTACTTCCCCACTGCCTACCCAATCCTGGTGCACCAGCGACTTCAGGTGACGTGGCACTCGCAGGGACACCTTCCAGCCCGGATGCACGAATCCCGTGCCAGGTGTCGCGCTCCCGTTGGTCGCATCTTCCGAGCAATGGGGAACGTTCACCTGGGAAACACGATGCGGAGGGAGTAAGTTTGTTTTTTGGCCACGTGCCCCTGAGACGTCTGGGCCACGTCTGGGCCACGTCCACGTGGAACAAAGGATGGGAAGAAGCACGCGTGTTTGAAGCGGTGGGGAGTGAATGGACGAGAAAAACGGAGAGGAAGAGGGATGCGGAATGGACGATGGAGAGAAGACGACGATTTCGTGAGCAAGGTTCAGTGTAACAGTCATTTACAAAGGACGATATAACAAGGCATTAAATCAGGCGGAAGAAACGACTGTCGTGGCGCCTCGAACGACTTCAATTTTAGAATGCCATCAGTTGGACAGGGCAGGGTAGTGGCCTACTCACCGTGATTTCCTCCATCCCCTCTCGCGATTCGTTATCCCCCTCTCCGCCTTCCGCCACCCGCACGTCCGGCCAAGACTCCGCCAATCCGCGGGGAAGGTCCATTCGGCTACGCACGGGCGGACCTTCAAACAGCGCGCGGAACGCCACATCCGCTTTCCCCCCTTCTGCCCCGCCTTCCGTTGCTTGTTGCGCCCACACAACCGTCATGCGCTTCCCCTCACCCTCCCCTCCCGCCGACCCCGCGCGAAGCCCCAGGCGCGTGCCCGCGGGTTGCGCCCACCCCTCCCCCGTCCGCTGCTGCTGGCGGCGCCACAGCGCTGCCGCCACCGCGGGCGCGAGACAGAGGGTCTGCAGGCGCGCGGGAAGATCGCCCTGTTGGGGGAACGGTGGGGGAATGCGGAGAATAACGGTGGGGGATTGCGGAGAAGAACGTCGGGGAAACGAGGCGAGGAACGTTGGGGAACCGAGGAGCCCAAATGCGCGTCAAGCAATGATTGCGCCATGCCGTGCGGCCTACCGAATTTTCAGCTACGAAAATGTTTGTACTTCTGCCTGCTTTGACTACCTATAGATTTGACACGTTACTATAACAACTCCCCCCCTACTCGTTAGTACCTCTGCTATGGCGACAGTCACTTCGCTAATTGTCTCCGGCATGCTGCTTCGTTCCGCGCGAATCTCATATGATCTCCCATCTATCGCCGCATCTGTCGCTGCATTCGTCGCCGGAAGAATCGAAAGCGACGAGGACGCTGAAAACGCGGACTTAAGCAGCAGCTTTTGCGGGGACTGCGGCGAAACTATCATCACAGCCGTGAGCGCGACAATCACCGCCGACGCGAGGGCCAAGGACACGAAGCACCCGAATCGCACGGATTCTGTGAAGTCTTTCTTTCCTCGAAACTTCTGCCAGTATCCGGGGCTCGGGATAGCGGGGGACCCGCGGGAGAATGTAGAGCGGGCGATGCTTCCGCCATCGCGACCGTGAGACTCGGGTAGCCCTGGACTTCGTGCCATCGCTGCAATGGTCTGTACGCGCTACAAGCTTCACAAGGGAACCAGGAATGTAATTTATTATGGCGATGACCGTTTGCGGGAGTTTTCAGAGGAAGTGCGGCCTAGACAGGAATATGCGAAAAGGTAACTCGTGTCAAGAGGCAACCACGATGCTTCGAATAGCACTGATTAACTCCCTCGAGAAAACGACTATTGTCACGATGGAACACACAGAAGGCCTAGGCGTCGTGCACTGGCTTTGCAATGACGGATAAACTAAAACGTCATGGACCAGACTGACGCCATGATCAATGGCCTAACGGAACAAAACGCCTTTCCGAAAAAGTTCAGCAATCCAATGAACAAGTGATAAGGGGAGCCTTGGGAACTGCAATGTGATGGCCGGCTGCGCAGATTAGTTCTGATTCTGAGTCGATGGGAGCAAGGGTGAACGTGCTGGTTTCCATCTTGCGAGTCGGCCGGGGGACGACTTTTCACCGTACTGAAACACTGGTACTCTCTTCTGACACCTTATAAAGCCGTTTTCAACCACGTGGAGCTGTTATGAGCTTGGCAGAGAGAGGGTGGAACTTTGACCCTTCCGCCTTAAAAATCGGCTAATTAACTGAGAGCGCATACGTCGAATTTTATTGGTTGCGACTGACACAGCTACCCTTTGACAATCCTTGCGACTCATACGACACCAATCCCCCCTCCCCCTCAGTCGCTCACGAAAACCTTCCCCGCTTCGTGTCGCATCACCGGCAAAATTAGAGTACAGTACAAGCCCAATTACGTCGGCTCAAGCCTGATTGCGGAACGCGTCCCCTGGACATTGCCGCGCGTCATGGTATGTTGGCGAATGAACTTGCCAATTGACATATTTGTGCGACTCGGGCATTGGAGATGGGCGCGCTGGTTTCGTTCGCATGGGCCAAGGCAACAGTCAAACTCTGCAGGGTCATCGCACATGCCTTGGACGAGACGACGCTCCAATTTCCATCCATACGTTGGACGTGTGACGGGCGACAGTGCATTTAGCAAGGTGAAGTACAGAAGCACGATAATGAAAGCGGGTGCGTTTGCACCAAACAGTAACATATTTATTTATTTATTGGGCTCCACGCTAGAACCAAACTTGTCCAGAAGACCTTGTGGTGGTCCATATTCTAGACCATTAAGAGGCAGACTGAAATCTGTCTTATATGCGACCATCGCAGCCTCAAATGCTCCCTGCACATAACAATAAGGGATAAAAAAAATTGTTGGTTGCATGTTTGGACTGATTATGCAAGCTCAATCACATCAAATGATTGCACACCATTCAGACTCACCTGGTCATATAAGTCGAGCAGCTTATCTGATGCATTAGTTGGGTGTGCCCCACGACCAGTATGAAAGGCATCCTTCTCCTCCTTTTCAAAATGCCGCATCATCTTCGCCACATCCTCCTCTAGATTCTCAAATCGCCCAATAAAATCATATCGGATCGCATCCAGCTTGCAAAGGTCAATCTGCGCATTTGTGACCAAAGGAGGGAACATGACTTGCAGCGAGCACAAACAATAACCACATAGGGAAATGCTCGGATTAAAAGTACAGGGTGAAAGATAGGGTTTGCGAGGAGTACAGGGAGTGGGAGGGTAGGAGGGAGGGAACGGTTGGCGGGAAAGAAATACCTGGGGCCGCACAAACAAGCCTGCACATGGGGGAATGACCTTTGAGGCGCCGCAAGAGGCACGGAATGCAGGGGAAGGGTGGTGGGAAGGAATTACCTGGGGGCGGACATGGGGGTCCATGACCTCTACAGATCGTGTGGCTTGCAGCTGGAGGAACGACATGAAGGTGGAGAAGGGAATGAAGTCGCTGCCATTCTGGCTCGTCATAAACGTCTTGTACGCCTGCAGCCCTGCAAAGAAGCGCTGCAGTGAGGGAGAGAAAGGCAGGGGAGGGGAATGTCTTCTGAGGCACCTGAACTGGCTCTTTGCAAACGGCTGCAGCCTTGCAAAGTGGTGTTGGAGTAATGGAGAGACACAGAAAAGGGGATTGGGGGGGTTGAACAGAATACAGGAACAGTGCGGAAGAGAAAAAAACGGAGAGAAGTGGGAGAGGAAGAATGCGGGAAACGAGGGGATTGAGCAACAGAAAAAACAGCTTCATTCACTTGCTGCATCCCAGCAATCCCCACAGCACACGAGACACACCGCGACCCAGCCAATTCCAGATCTTTCCCTTTGACTTCTCTGTTCCCATAACACATATTGAAAACATCAAGGAAAAAACGCCCTCACCTCATTCCAGTACTTGCGGTCGTGTGGGTATCCCCCATCCACATGCTTGTTCAGATACGCCGACGCAGTCCTCGTAAACGGGTTGCGCACAAACGAGAACTTGAAGAAGTCGGGCCGCGTGAGGAAGCGAATGTTCTCGTGCTCCTCAAACCCGTACCCCATGATGCTCAGCCCGCTCTGCTGCGGATTGTGCACGATGATTCGCTCCGGCACGCCGTACGACTTCATGCCGCCCACCCGATTGGACAGCTGCCCGCGGAACCACACCTTCCAGCTCGTGCAGGCTGCCTTGGGCACAAAGCAGTACACCGTCTTGAGCTCCTCTGGTGGTGGTGGGAGGAGGGTGAGTAAGGAGGGTGAGTAAGGAGGGTGAGTAAGGAGGGTGAGTAAGGAGGGTGAGTAAGGAGGGTGAGTAAGGAGGGTGAGTAAGGAGGGTGAGTAAGGAGGGTGAGTAAGGTGGGTGAGTAAGGAGGGTGAGTAAGGAGGGTGAGTAAGGAGGGTGAGTAAGGAGGGTGAGTAAGGAGGGTGAGTAAGGAGGGTGAGTAAGGAGGGTGAGTAAGGAGGGTGAGTAAGGAGGGTGAGTAAGGAGGGTGAGTAAGGAGGGTGAGTAAGGAGGGTGAGTAAGGAGGGTGAGTAAGGTGGGTGAGTAAGGAGGGTGAGTAAGGAGGGTGAGTAAGGAGGGTGAGTAAGGTGGGTGAGTAAGGAGGGTGAGTAAGGAGGGTGAGTAAGGAGGGTGAGTAAGGAGGGTGAGTAAGGAGGGTGAGTAAGGAGGGTGAGTAAGGAGGGTGAGTAAGGTGGGTGGGAGAGGAGGAGGGGGTAAGAGTGGTTGAGCTTTCTGGTCATGGGCACACCGTGCGGCACCATATCGCTGGCGGAACCACACCTTCCAGCTCGTGCAGGCTGCCTTGGGGACAAAGCAGTACACCGCCCCTTGAGCTCCTTTGGTGGTGGTGGGAGGAGGAAGAGGAGGGTTGAGAGCGGTTGAGCTTTTGAGTCACGGGCACACCCATGTTGCTGGCGGAGCCACACCTTCCAGCTCGTGCAAGCCGCCAGAGCACATATGTGCGGACGGAGGTATGCATAGCCGTGCACAAAAACAAAAGGAACTTGGTCACGTAAAGCACAAGGAGGCGGCTCACCATCGACCAGCATCTGCTGCAGGTACTTCTGGTCGACAAACCGAGCAACACGAGGGGCAGCGCATACACTCTCCTCCACCGCAAACGCAGCTGCCGGGGGGCCAGCAGGGGCGTCCGCATTGTTGCTCTGACTCGCCCTGAGCCGTCTCCCCTGGGCGGCAATGAAGAGCGCCTCTATGGAGGGTCGTGAGTGGATGAGCCCTCGAGCCGACGACAGCAGCAGCAGCTCCGCCAGCTGGTGGTGTGGGACGTGAGGAGATTGAGGGAGAGGGTGAAGAGGACAGAGAAGGGGGCGAGGTGGTGGTGGATGGTGGGAAAAAAGGGTAGGTGAGAGGAAGGCTGGGATGCGTGCATAAATCCATCCCTGTGTACATGCATCTGTACATCCGTTCGTGCTTACATCTATACATGCATGCAACGACCAGCACCCTTGCATACCTCCAGCTGACTGCAGCTCCATTCACGCCCTTCCTCCCTACTCGCCCCATTGCTGCTGCTGCTTCTGCCACTGCTCGTCCCACTGCTGCTGTCACTACTGCTGCTCCCAGAACTCTCAGCTGGTGAGCCAGGCTTCTCCTGCTTCACTTGCTCCTTTTCCCCTCCTGTCAGCCCAAGCAGTCGTCGCGACGATGATGATGACGACGGTGGTGGTGGGGAGGAATCGGAAGAGGCAGAGGAGGCAGAGGTAGTGCTGGGCGAGGAAGGGAGGGAGGAGGAGGAGGAGGAGGAGGAGGAGGAGGAGGAGGAGGAGGAGGAGGAGGAGGAGGAGGAGGAGGAGGAGGAGGAGGAGGAGGAGGAGGAGGAGGAGGAGGAAGAGGGTATTCTCAAGGGGCAACCCATGGCCGTTCTGACAGCAGTGTGGGGGAGGAGGAGGGGGGCGCGCAGGGGATGGAAGGTGCCGGCGACTGTAGCAGCGTCTGTAGCAGAGGCAGCTGCTACAGTGAAGTCCACGTCAGACGAGTTGGACGGCACGCGCAGGTAGCGCCACGTCAGCGTGCGAAGCGTGCAGTTGAGTAGAGGGTCCTCGGGGCACCCTCCGCACGTGCCACCTGGCATCACCTGATTGGCTTCCAGATACACTGCCGTGCTACGCGCTAGTCTCTCCCTAAATCCCCCCTTCACCCCTCCCCTCTCCTCTTTAATCTCCCCCTCAGATGTTCCAGCAGCTGCTCCCGTTTCCCCCAACGCCCCCTCCTCCAGTAATCTGGTGACACGTGGCGAGGGCTGTAGAGCGCCCAGGCACGACTGGAAGAGGCGGAGGGCGGAACATGCCTCGGGGGGGGTCTGGGGGGAGAAGCGGAGGGGAAGGGGTAGGACGGGGAGGGGAAAGGTTGGTTCTCGGAGAAGAGGAGAAAAGGAAGGGCTGGAGGGAGCCCATCCAAGAGGAGGCGTGGGGGGGAGGAAGAGCAAGAGAGGGGGGACGAACGGGATGAAGGGGAGTGCAATATTGTTGCGAGCGAAGTTAGAGCAAGATGCATGGTGCAGGAACCTACTGAGCTTTAGATAGGAGATTCCAAACAGCTTACCCAGTCCCTGCTTGCCACGTCGCTTAGTCCAGAAGGGAACCACAGCGATAGAGTCAACTCAGGCACCTCCGCGCTGCTACTGTTGCTGCTGCCATTTGTCGCGCTCCCATTGGTCAAATCAGACCCCTCTTCCACACAGGCCGGCAGGGAGACTTGCAGCTCTGTCCGTGACTCTAAAAGAGGGGCAGCGGAGGCTGATCCCGTTACAGTCACACTCGGCCAAACAGCCTTATTCTTCGCATCTAACCCCAATGCATCTACACCGGGAAACCGGCTGAATAAATCAAAGAACCCCTCTCCTGCGGGTCGCTTCTTGGGACTGCCGCCAGAATCAGCATCACTTCTGTCCACGTCAGCATCTGCAACCGCTGAGTCACTCCACACAACGGCTACCTCCCCCGCCTTTTCCCCGTCCGTCTTCCCCGCATCCGCCTCCCCATGTGCGCGCGCGCTCCACACCGCGCTGACGGCGGGCGCAAGGCAAAGCGCCTGCAGGCGTGCACCTAGGTTGCCCTGGGGAAGAAGCAGGGGAGAGGGGGGCGCGGGAGTAAAGACGGATGCGGAATCAGAAAGGGCGGGTTAGCGTGGGTAGAGAGGGACACGGAGCGCAAATATGCGTATGCACTTCACCGAGCGTGCGTACGAACGTGACACATGCGTACAGACATGAGACGTGGTGACATGACGTCACCAAGCGTCAGTGAGGTCGCACCTGGGCCACAGCGATCACTGCCGCGTCGCTAACTCCAACCCCTGATGCCGTCTCCGCCTCCACTGATGCCTTCTCCGCCTCCTCTGACGCCGCCCCCCCGTCCCCTGATGCCGTCCCCGTGTCCCCTGATTCCTCTCCCGCCTCCTCTGATGCCCACCCCGCGTCACCTAATGCCATCCGCGCTTCCCCTGATGCCAACTCTGCGCCTCCTGATGTCGCCCCCGCCTCCCCTGATGCGTTTGGCTCTACCGTTGCTTCTATTTCCCGTGCGACATCCGCTTCCCGTGCGACATCTGCTTCCCGTGCGACATCCACTTCCCGTGCGACATCCGCTTCCCGTGCGCCATCCGCTTCGGCTGCTAGTGCCCCTGGGCTGCCACGTTCCCCCTCGTGCGCGCCAGCAGCTGCCTCAGCCTTCCCCTCGACCTCCTCCTCCTTCAGCGTGTTCCTCCCACTCTCACGCCCTCCCTCCTCCGTCTTGCTCTCCTGCCGCGCGCTGCCTGTCTGCGTGCTGCTGCTATCCCTCTCACTCTTCTCCTTCTCACTGTGATCTTTTTCCCTCCCCTCGTCCCGCTGCCAATCACGCTGCCCCTCCGTTCCCCTGTCCGATCCCTTCAATTCCTCCTCGCGGGAGCCACTCTCCGCTTCATTCGTCAACCCCTTAACCTTGATCACCATCTTACGGTCCCCCTTCTTCCCTTTCTCCTCCGCAATCTCAACATCCAGTTCTTTCCCTCTTTTGCTACCCCGATCACCCTTTGCCGTCGCATCCTCTCCTCGCTTTTCCCCCACCTTCGATTTTTTCAAATTTCCCTGCTTGCCTTTCCGCCGTTTCGCTTCTCGCGGTTCTTCTAGAACCTCTTCCACAGTCACCACCTCCCCGGCGAACGCGCCTCGCCAGCTATCCACCCCGTCAAATTCGTTTCCGCCATCCACGGCGCTTTTGCCGGCGCCGACACCCTTCGCAATATCTTTCCAGTCGTGGCTAGTGATGGCTACTGTGACGTCATTCGACGACGAGAGAAGGTTCCGCGAACCCTGCATGTTCTGCGGGAGCGAAAGCTGCACGACTCTCCCCATGGCTGCTAACGAAGCGACAAATACTATGGCGAGGACAACTCCGATTGCGATAAACGAGTGGACCCCCGCAACCGGCGCTGGTGGCGAATCGTCGCCTTTGTCGCGTTTCGAGCCGCATTGACTTAATTCCTCCAGGCTGAATGGGCGAAAGTTTCCCGAAAGAAGGCTCCAATTTCTTTTCCCGCTGCGATTAGTGGAACCTATCCGAAGAGGGCTCGCGATAGGCTCATCGAGAGAGTTGCGAGTTTGCGCTGGTAGCGGCGAATAGGCACGCCTCTCCATCACTTACAAAAAAAATATCTGCTTGATCCGTCGCTCGAGTGATCAAACTTTCCTCAACGGGCAGGAAGGAGCAAGAAACGTGTACGAATCTGTAGCAAGCATGTCAACATAAGAAACACGTATTATTATTTGTCTTCCACTTCTTATAAGATGGCCCAGCAGTACTGGTGGAGGTTGTGAGATGCATAAGAACCAGAGCTGCGACCTGATGAATTGGCTGCTTATGATTATGTTAGTCAGCCAGGCCAGGCCTGGGAGTTGAAATGATCGTGTGTAAGCGGGAGAAGAAACTGGAGGAGCATCCACATGTGATTGCAAATGTGCAGTCATGTTCATCAGGTTTAGGTTGTCTGTATTGTCAGGCAATCGTAGCCAGAAGTCCTCAAGAATGTGCGTGCTGGGAAATGCGACTCGGGACGCCTTAGAGAAAATTGAATCCCGAACCATTCCATTCGGTCCGGACCCCATACAGTGCCACTCAACCAAAGAAAATTCTGTAGGTTCTTCTCACCTTGAAATCTCCGAAGCTGCACCCAACCAGGATATTGTCATACAACCAAACAAGCCGAGCCTCGACCCGAGCCTCTTCAATACCTTGGTTTGTCAGAAGCTGAAGCCGTGCGACATCGCCACGAAGTATGGTGCGGTACTGTATCGGGCGACTCGTCGTTGGAGCATGCTTGGTGCCACCTAGCCAATGGGACGATGTTCGGCAGAACAGGTGCCGTGACAAGCGTGCACACACGCACGCAAAATGGATCCTACGACTTTGGCGGCTTTCTTGCAGCGACGTGCGTGCGATGAACGGCGTTAATTGTCTGCCTGATGTTACCACGCACTCCACTAAGGGGATGGACAACCCATTGGCTAATATAATCACATTACAATGGCACACCTCCAATACCTAAGAACTATTGTATACCTTTGCAATTAGGAGTTTCGTTTTTTTTAACTTTGTTACGCTCTTACAGCTCTTTCCCTCGTCTAAAAAGGGAGACGACCCCCCGAAATCCTCGTAATTCGCTCGGTCGTGCCTTTGTACCCCTCCGATATATTATTTACATATTTTTTGGAATAGTATATTCAAGAATAAAAACTCCCCATGCCTTTTAAAAAAACTAGAATGGATGCACGACCGGTTCAAGTGAAAAAAAAAGGAAAATGCAAATTTCATGATATTGCATCTCTTATTTCTTAGTGTAGACTTTTTAACCTTGAGTTGAGTACAGAGCTTGGCCCATATCAAGGCAACAGGAAATATCAAATTCTGGCGGGAAAGCACATTGTGCGACAGAGGGACTTGAACTGGTACCTTCTGATAAGTCATTCTGATTGGTGGTGTCAGTGCCGAGAGTCAGACTGCAAGATGCGAAGGGAATACACTGTAGTGTGTTGATTAGTGCAGCTGCTCTGACGGAGCGCTATTGTGATTGCACGAGTTTTGCTTCGCTGGGGGGAACTCGACAGTTTCTTCTGGGCTTGTTCAATGCACTCGCGTCGCGAATCAAATGGTCCTGCTATCAAATGAAGGGGCTAGCAAATGAAAACAGAGAATGCTAGAACCGAAGCAAACAATGCAAACAAAGCGCCCACAACCTTTGTTGGAGCAATTCTGCCGGCTCCGATAGCGGCTCGGCTTGTTGCCTTAGGTGCCGTCCCTTTACTTACCTGTCACGACAGTACAGTGCGGCACTGCCGTCCCGTGTCACGAGTCGCACGTCTTGCGCTTCTGACAGCACAAAGTAGTGAAGAAGCTCAAATAGAGGCTCGGCTTGTTTACTTTTTGTGCCGCCCCCTTCATTTACCTGTCACGGGTGTACCATGTCTCGGATGGGAATCCCTGGGTGGGTGCAGCTTCAGAGGTTTCAAGGCGAGAACCCTCTTTGGGTGAGAGCCTTCAGAACCAGGCCTGCCGACTGATATATCCATCAGCAGCCGACTATTAGTTAATACATAATAGGTTGCTGCTGGCCATCGTCAAATTTGTTGAGAGGATTTTGACACCCCGGTAGCCCGATTCGGATTCGTGCGCGCTTCTTGTTCCTTCGTGATCGTTGCGAATTCGAACAGTTTCCGTTACTCATGGAGCGATGTGCCTACTCAATAAGTTCGCCGTTACCAGCGCAGACCTGCGACTCTCTTGATGATCCTGTCGCGAACGCGCCTCGCATAGCTCCTACCAGCCGCAGCGGGAGAAGATATTGGAGCCTTCTTTCAGGGAACTTTCGCTCCTTCAGCCTGTGGGAATCAACTCAATGCCGCACGAAGCGCGGCAAAGGCGACGATTTGTCGTCACCGCCGGTTGCCGGAATCCATTCGTTTGTCGCAATTGGAGTTGTCCTCGCTATAGTGTTCGTCGCTTCGTTAACAGCCATCGGGGGAGTCGTAAACAGCCAGACCAGCACGCCGCGGGAGATTAGGCTGGAGGAAGGAGGACGTAAAGGTGGGAGCGAAACGCGGCAAAAGGAGGAGGCTGAGGGGAAGGCGGAGGCCGCTGCTGGCAACTCCGCAGCCCGGAGGCAACAGCCAGTCGAAGCAGGTGGAGAGGCGGGGGTTGCGGGACATGCGGGTGCGACAGTTGAAGCGGACGTCGCAGGGGGAGCGGACGTCGCAGGGGGAGCGGACATCGCAGGGGGGGCGGACGTCGCAGGGGGAGCGGACACCGCAAGGGGGGCGGACGTCGCAGGGGGAGCGGACGTCCCACGGGAAGCGGATGTCGCAGGGGAAAGAGAAGCAGCGGGAGAGTCAAAGGCAATAGCGGAAGGGGGGGCGGCATCTGCGGGTGGAGTTAGCGCCGCGGCAATAATCGCTGTGGCCCAGGTACGACTGTCACTTCCAGACACTTCATCGCACCTTGAGACGTCTTAGAGTCGATTTTTAGACGTGTTTCACAACATGTGCAACCATGTGCGATGTCATGTGCAACCATGTGCGATGTCATGTGCAACCATGTGCGATGTCATGTGCATACGCATGCTTATGCTCCCTGTCCCTCTCTACCCCCGCTTCCCCGGCCCTCTTGCACCCTTCTCTGCCTTCCCCACCTCTTCCCCAGGGCAACCTAGGCGCACGCCTGCAGGCGCTTTGCCTTGCGCCCGCCATCAGCGCGGTGTGGGGAGCGCGCGCACTGGGGGAGGGGGACGCGGGGAAGGCGGAAAGGGAGAAGGCTGGGAAGGTAGCGATTTTATGGAGTGACTCAGCGGTTGCTGACGTGGACGGAAGTGCTGCTGATTCAGCTGGCGGCAGTCCCAAGAAGCGATCCGTAGGGGAGGGGTACTTGGATTTATTCAGCGGGTTTCCCAGTGTAGACGCATTAAGGTTAGACGAGAAGGAAAATGCTGTTTGGCCGAGTGTGACTGTAACGGAAGCAGCCTCTGCTGCTCCTCTTTTAGAGTCACGGAAAGAGGTGCAAGTCTCCCTGCCGGCTTGTGCAGACGAGGGGTCAGCATTGGCCAATGAGAGTGCGACAAGTGGCATCAGCAGCAGCAGGGCGGAGGTGCCTGAGTTGACTTTGTCGCTGTGGGTCCCTACCGAACTAATCCACGTGGCAAGCAGGGATTGGGTAAGCTACTCAGAATCTAGGACCATGTGTCTTGCTCCATCCTATCCTTCCACCCTGTTGCGTTCCTCTTCACCCCTTCTTTCCCCCTCTCTTGCTTTTTCCTTTTCCCCCAGCCTCTTCTTCCCAAACCTCTCTCCTCTCTGATCCCAAACCTCTCTCCTCCCCGTCCTACCCCTTCCCCTCCGCTTCTCCCCCCAGACCCCCCCCGAGGCATGTTCCGCCCTCCGCCTCTTCCAGTCGTGCCTGGGCGCGCTACAGCCCTCGCCACGTGTCACCAGATTACTGGAGGAGGGGGCGTTGGGGGAAACGGGAGCAGCTGCTGGAACATCTGAGGGGGAGATTAAGGAGGAGAGGGGAGGGGTGAAGGGGGGATTTAGGGAGAGATTAGCGCGTAGCACGGCAGTGTATCTGGAAGCCAATCAGGTGATGCCAGTTGGCACGTGCGGAGGGTGCCCCGAGGACCCTCTACTCAACTGCACGCTTCGCACGCTGACGTGGCGCTACCTGCGCGTGCCGTCCAACTCGTCTGACGTGGACTTCACTGTAGCAGCTGCCTCTGCTACAGACGCTGCTACAGTTGCCGGCACCTTCCATCCCCTGCGCGCCCCCCTCCTCCTCCCCCACTCTGCTGTCAGAACGGCCATGGGTTGCCCCTTGAGAATACCTCCCTCCTCCTCCTCCTCCTCCTCCTCCTCCTCCTCCTCCTCCTCCTCCTCCTCCTCCTCCTCCTCCTCCTCCTCCTCCTCCTCCTCCTCCTCCTCCTCCGCTTCTTCCTCCTCCGCACCCTCTCTGCCCATCACCAGCTCTGCTCCGTCTGCCTCTTCCGATTCCTCATCACCACCACCACCACCATTGTCATTATCACCACCATTGTCATTATCACCACCAACATCATCGTCGCGACGACTGTTGACACTGAAGGGAGGGAAGGAGCAAGAGAAGCAGGAGACGGAGCCTGATTCGCCAGCTGAAGCCTCTGCGAATGATAGTTATGGGGGCGACAGCAGTGGGAGCCAGAGCAGTAGTGACAGCAACAGCAACGAGATGAGCAGCAAGAGTGGGACGGGCAGGAAGAGTAGTGAGAACAGCAGTAACGGGCCGAGCGGGGCAGAAGGGCTCGAATGGAGCTGTGGCCAGCTGGAGGTACGCATGGTTGCATGTATGTATGTATGTATGTATGTATGTATGTATGTATGTATGTATGTATGTATGTATGTATGTATGTATGTATGTATGTATGTATGTATGTATGTATGTATGTATGTATGTATGTATGTATGTATGTATGTATGTATGTATGTATGTATGTATGTATGTATGTATGTATGTATGTATGTATGTATGTATGTATGTATGTATGTATGTATGTATGTATGTATGTATGTATGTATGTATGTATGTATGTATGTATGTATGTATGTATGTATGTATGTATGTATGTATGTATGTATGTATGTATGTATGTATGTATGTATGTATGTATGTATGTATGTATGTATGTATGTATGTATGTATGTATGTATGTATGTATGTATGTATGTATGTATGTATGTATGTATGTATGTATGTATGTATGTATGTATGTATGTACGTATGTATGTATGTATGTATATACGTATGTATGTTTGTATGTATGTTTGTATGTATGCATGTATGTATGTATGTATGTATGTATGTATGCGTGCATACGTGTATGCATCCGTGCATACGTGAATAAACGTACGGAAGGATGCAATGCATGTAAGCAAGCATTTCAGCCTTCCCCTCACCTGCTCTTTCCATACTACCATTCACCATCTCACCACCTTCTCTGCCCGCCGTCTCTCCCTTCTGATCTCCTGCATCCCCTCGCTCAATCTCCTTCCGTCCCACACCACCAGCTGGCGGAGCTGCTGCTGCTGGCGTGGGCTCGAGGGCTCATCCACTCACGGCCCTCCATAGAGGCGCTCTTCATCGCCGCCCAGGGAAGACGGCTGCGGGCGAGTCAGAGCAGCAGTGTGGGGAAATATGACGTAGCCTCTGCAGGGGCAGCTGCAGCCGTTGTGGCTGCAGTTCCCCAAGCAGCTGCGTTTGCGGTGGAGAAGAGTGTGTGCGCTGCCCCCCGTGCGGCTGGGTTTGTCAACCAGAAGTTCCTGCTTCAACTGCTCGTGGACGGTGAGACGCCTTGCCCTCCATTTGACATGCCGTTATTGCTTGTGCGCACTGCTTTGCACATCCAGGCCCAAGCCCCCCCTCCCCCTGAGTGTATCCGTTTGTCAACAAGCCACAAGGCACCTGCAACCAGGTACCTGCAGTAGCTGCTCGTGAATGGTGAGCTTCCTTGTGCTGCGGGGGTGCGCACCGTGTGCCCATGACTTGAAATCTCAACCACTCTTAACCGTTTCTCTTCCTCCTCCCCCACCACCAGAGGAGCTCAAGACAGTGTACTGCTCGGTCCCCAAGGTGGCCTGCACAAGCTGGAAGGTGTGGTTTCGTGAGCAGCTGTCCGAGCGGCTGGGCGGCAACAAGTCGCCCAGCGTGAAGCGGTTCGCACGCCTCTCGGTGCACAGCCCACTGCAGAGCGGGCTGAGCATCATGGGGTACGGGTTTGAGGAGCACGAGAACATTCGCTTCCTCACGCGGCCCGACTTCTTCAAGTTCTCGTTTGTGCGCAACCCGTTTACACGGATAGCGTCGGCGTATCTGAACAAGCATGTGAATGGAGGAGGCTTGCACGGCCGCAAGTATTGGAACGAGGTGAGGAGGGTGACGTGTGAGTTTGACTGGACTCAGCAGTCGGCCTTTTCACATCGGCATGTTTGAACAAGCATGTGGACAGAAGCGGGTACGTACAGGATTGGAAGAATGGAACGTTGTGAGGGTTTCCTTCTCAGGTTGGCATGTGCGTCGACTCAGCAGTCACCCGTGCACACGTTGTCCTGGGAGGTTCACAAGGAGCGTAAGAAGGCAGAAAGAGAGGAAACATGCTGGAAGCGTCTGGAGTGTGGCGGCTGTGGTGTGCTGTGGTGTGCTGTGGTGTGCTGTGGTGTGCTGTGAGAAATGTTGGAATGTGGTGAGGCAAGAGAGGTGTTGCTTTCGGTTGCTCTCATCCGTATACCCACCCCCCTCCTCCCCTCCCTCTCTTTTTCATCTCCCCTTTCTCTCCATCCCCATTCCCTTCCCCCCTGTTCCTGTCAACTCCATCCAGCATCCCGCTCAACGCCCCCATCCCCCTCCCCTCCCTCTTTCCCTTGCTGCAGCGCTCCTTCGTGAGAATCCGGGCATACGAGGCGTTTATGAAGAGCCAGACTTTTGAGGTGCAGCAAAACACATTCCCCTCCCTGCCTCTCTCCCTTGCTGCAGCGCTTCTTTGTGGGAATCCGGGCGTACAACGCATTCATGAAGAGCCAGAACGGCAGCGACTTCATTCCCTTCTCCACCTTCATGTCGTTCCTCCAGCAACGAGCCACACGTTGTGTCGAGTGCATGGACCCCCATGTTCGCCCCCAGGTACCTTCTCCCACCCTACCACTCCTTTTCCCCTTCTCAGCCTTCATGTCGTTCCTCCAGCAACGAGCCACACGTTGTGTAGAGTGCATGTACCCCCATGTCCGCCCCCAGGTGCCTTCCCCACACCCGTCCCCTCCGTTCCGTCCCTTTCCCTGCACTCCCTTCTCAAACCCCGGTTTCCTCCCTTCACAAACCCCCTTTCCCTCCTGTACATTTTGTGGTTTTGATCCAAGCCTTTTCCCACGTGGTCACCCTCTGTGCTCTGATTGGTTGCATTCCCTTCCACTCCCTACGTTCCCTCCTTTCGGTTTCAATGCTCAGATCGACCTGTGCAAGTTGGATGCGATCCGATACGATTTTATTGGGCGGTTTGAGAACCTAGAGGAGGATGTGGCAAAGGTGTTGCGGAAGTTTGGAAAGGAGGAGAAGAATCCCTTCCATGATGCCCATTGGGCGCACCCAACTAATGCTTCAGCTAGGCTTCTCGAGCTGTATGACAAGGTGAGAAGGAAAAAGTGTGCATTCATATTATTGAAGTTGCACTTCATGGCCCAACAAGCAACAAAACCTTAAATTTTATTCCTGTTTTGTCTTGTGCAGAGCGCATTTGAGGATGCTACGAGTGCATACAGATCAGATTTCAGTGTTCCTCTGAATGGTCTAGATTTTGGACCGCCACAAGCTCTAGTGGACAAGTTTGAGTCCAAGAGCTAAAGACATACGCTAACATTGTGTAAAATGTAGTGGAGGCAGAAGTCACGATGCTGAAGGGGCTGAGTATGGAGCAAATGGAGGAGTGTCACCAGCATAACATACATGGGCTTCATTGCATGATAATCTGTATACACAAGCCAGAGGGTGGACCAGCCAGTGCATGTTCAGCAAGTGCATTCTTGCCTTCTCAGACACCGTAATCCCCCGCATATAGGACCCCCCCCCAGTTGTAGACCCCCGGGTCTATAATACGGACCCGGGTACTCTATTCGAGTACATCTGAGTTATACCCCCCTAAATGGCTCCTAACATTATAAGACCCCCCCCACATCCTAGAGAAGTGCGGATTTTACGAAAATGCAAGTGAAAATGGTCATATTCCATGTTGATTTAGAGAAATCACACCCATGAACGCACATTCTCACCCATGTGCAGCCCGCACGAAGCGTGCATGGGGTGTGAAGGGCGAGGCGACACTGCGCGCTGGGCCATCAAACGGTGCCTTGTGCTGTTGTGTGAACACCAAGTGGTAGTGTTCGTGATGACGTGGGTTCGGCCCGTGTGGAGACCAATTCGAGTATTTTTGGGAGGAGCTAAAAACGGAGCAATTACAAATCACTTCTTTGAGCTCCAAATATACCGTACATTCTTATAAATTTCAAAATGACAAGATCCGGGTCTTATAAAAAATACACCATTTAATTATACCCCCCAGCCTTTTTAGGGGTGATTATCATAAGACCCTAGGGTCTTATATACGGGGGATTGCGGGTACCTACCCACAACGTCACCCAGCCCAGCTACCAGGTCTTATCTGGATTCTGTTAAGTAAAACACTCTGCCTAAGCCACCCGGCCAAAAGGGCTGCTCAGAGGTGCACAGGTTACTTGAAGCGGCGGTATACATTTGGCAGGATTTCTGGAAGCGGGAGTTTGGTGAAGTTGAAGTACGGCCCGTGAGCGATGGTGAGCGTCAACCTCTGCTCCTCGGAGAAAATCGCATTCGCTGCTGCAGCGTCCGCAGCAGCCGCGACCCATTGGGAAAAGGCGAGCATGACGTGACGTGTAAGAAATTTGGATGGAATGGCGGATGCCTGCCTTCGGAAGAAAAGCTAGCTGAGATCAACAATAATGACAGAACGTGGTTCGGTGATAGCCTTTTATGCTTCTCGCTCTATCCTCTGCCATCGTTCTGGCTAACCCGGCGAATGTCCTTGAATGTCCTTGTTCTACCGTATTCTGACAATCTCTTAGCTTCTGGTAAGCCGAGACAAAGAAGTTCCGCACAAGAAAATCAACATTCGTCGTCGCATCGCATTCGCATTGAGTCATGACGGCGCTTGACACTGGCTGTCACTGTAGCATGGTAGTGCCGCAGATTACGTGTGGCTCAACTGGGAGACGGGAAATAAAGCCGAGATATCTGAAGATTCCGCATGGACAGAGATACATGTGTGCATAGAAGTGTCCGTCCTGTCCTGAACGGGCTCCTCCCAATTGAATCGAGGGAGAGGAGAGGAAATTTGGGAGGGATTCTCCCGGGAAATTTGCCAGACTGCCACACCTGTTCCATGTTTCCATGCCACCGCCTGTCATCAAGGTTGCATGCCAGCATGCTCCCTCAGCGACAAAATGGAGTGGTTGGGCCTGAGGTTTTTGCAGGACACCATCACAACCGCAACTCAATCTGTGCGAATGAAGAGGGCCTGCGTGTTCCATTGGCGGACGAGAGCTTAGCAGTGCGACGTGCGACGAACAGTGGGTGTAACACACGAAGTTACACCTCGCCAAAAGGGGTAAATGATACCCTTTGTTGACCCTGAAGCTATACCGAAACTCGGATTGGTTACGGGTAACTAATTATGTTTCGTGAAGGCAGTGACGCACGAGAAACGAGCCTCTTCCCGAACCGAACTATTTCCCTGCCACGTAAGTGCGGGGCGTAACAACCAGCCTGAACGTGGCAGAACCACTGCCGAAACCCCAACTACCCTCGTTGCCTGCGTGGATTTTACATATTCACTTACAGCTGTCGATAGCAGCGTTACTCACTCGATGCCGTCCGATCAAACGAGGGTTTCCAGCCCAGCACTTCCATGTCAGTCCCAAGGCCAGCGTGTAGAAGGTCGGAGCAGACGAGGGTTTCTGGGATCCAAACTATGGCCGCTCCCTGCCTGCCATGTCCTCCCTCCCTCTCCACCTGTGCACGCTTTTCCCTTCAGTCCTTCCCAGTACCTAGGATGATATGGCAGTTTTTTACTGAGTCTTGCTCGCCTGACCAACCCGCCTGCATTGCTTGCATCCCACACCGCGCTACCGTGTCGCCTGCGAACCAAAGCATTTGAAACAACATTTAGAGAACTTGCTGTATTGCGCTTGAGCTATGGATATGCTGCCGACCGAACTTGCTGGTTGACATAACGCTTGTTAGTTTTCCGACCAAGGAAGTTGTCAGTTTGCTAAAGCAAGATTAGGTGTCGTGTGGGGTGTAGTTAAGAGAAAGAGGCGATAAGACTGTTTCTTCCCTTCGACAAAGTTGAGATAGGACGTAGCCTGCTGCCGAGGCAATGGCGGAAGAGCAAGCTCAACAAGGCATGTTCCGCGCGCCTAACAGCGACCATATTTTATTTCGCTCGAGCATTCCTTTGTCGTAGGCCTTGGCCTCGATCGTTTTTGGAACGGCCCCCGTCGAGTTATGTCGTGCTTTTCTCGTTTCATTTGATAGCTTCCTTCGTTAAGAGTTCCTTAGATTTCACGTTTTCTCCTTCGTTATCACCCGCAGGTGATGTGACAAAGGACCCCTCTAACGGGTATAACGATTGGGCTGCGGCTGCTATGCAGGTGAGCAGGCTTAGCCACGAAGCAGTATGTCGCGACACCTGTAACGAGTAGGTTGCACCTGTCATTATGGGGAGCACGTTTCTGGTCATCCTACGAACGGTGAGCGATTAGCGTAACCCGAGCGGTCATCGCAGTATAGCTCACTCAAGGTAGTTCTCTATCGTTTCAGTTGTCCTCAAACCGGTCAGCGGACGTCAGCCCTTGTCAGCAGCTCACATCCCAGTCAGTAGACCCTCACAGTCAGTAGACCCTCACAGTCAGGAGACCCTCACAGTCAGTAGACCCTCACAGTCAGTAGACCAGACGTGTCAGCAGTCAGTCTGCAGATCTCAAACCGGAAAGCTCTGATCCCGACTGATGGCGACAATCCCCGCTCTTTCGTCGGTCCTTGCAGTCGTCTAGCCCTGTGCGCTGGAAGCGGATCTTTCCTTTTCGCTTTCTCACAACACCAGTAGCCTTCTTTTCCCGCGCGTCCCGCTTGGCTCCTTTGGTTGACTTCTGAATGAACTGGGTGCAGTCGGAAATTCTCAGTGTCCTAGTCCTTATCGTCCACTAAACGGTCACTGAAAATTTGATCGTGTGGCGTGCAATGGTGGCGTGCAGGCGTATTACAAGTCCGGAGGGCAAGCGGCGCATGCAGGAGGTTACTACGGCGCGCCAATGGGAGGGCATCCCCATCCGTACATGTGGGGACCACAGGTATGCGATTTGGGAGCGTTTGAAACACTCAGTTGTGCACCAGTGGCGCCCAGCTGTTTGTACTAAGTTGCATAAGATGTAACTGCTGTGACAACCTGTTGGTTGTTTCTCCGTTTCATGTTTCCCCATACATATTCTTGTTCGCTCCCCGTTGTTGTTCTATTTCCCTTTGGTCCTGCTTCCCTCTCTTTCTCAGCCAATGATGGCGGCGCACTACGGTGGTGTACCACCAGGTCCCTACGGCTATGCGGCCATGTATGCTGCACCTCACCCGGGCATGGCCCAAGGCGCTGCAGGGGCAGTGGCCCCATCCCCTTACGGCTACCCGCCTCCCCAGGCGGTAAGCTTTGTTCAAAAGTGGTGACCAACATGCCTGCCCTTCCTGCTGCTTCTGCTTCTTCTTCTGCTGCTGCAGCTCCTGCCTCTGCTCCTACTACTTTTTCTGCCTCTGCTCCTTTTGCTGCTGCTGCTGCACCTTCAGCGTCTGCTAATTGTGTTAAAGTTAACCCGACACGCCCTTTTCTTTCTCTCCTTCTCTTATCTTCCCCCATCGCCAGGCGGACGGTTCTGAGGTGCCAGCAGCAGCAGCGATGATGGGGATGACCCCCATGGGTCCCATGGCCATGCCAGCAGCACAGGCCTACCCCGGCATGCCAATGGACTATTCCCACGATGCCATGGCTGCTGCTGCCGCCGCCGCCGCTGCCGCCAGTGGTGCCGGCGGGGCTGCTGCTGCTGGGCCCGCCCCACCAGCAGCTGCAGCGGCTCCTGCTGCGCCTGCCGCCCCAGCTGCCCCTTCGAAGCGCAAAAGGTCGTCTCAGCATGCACATGGTCAAGATGGCGCTCTTGCTACCACTGGGGGGACAAGCCTCGCCCATCCGCATGCGCAGGCTGCTCCAGGCTCAGGCCAAGCCTTGGCCCTGGCGTCAGGCTCGGCGGGAGAGTACACTTCCATGCCTTCAAGCCCGTCCGAAGGCCCATCTGCTTCGGCCGCAGCTGCAGCTGCGGCTGCTGCTGGTGGTGGTGGTGCTGGTGCTGGTGGTGGGAGTGGTCATGCTGCTGCTGGGGGGGCGAGAGGAGGGGTGGCTGGCGGAATGGCCTATAACCCTATGGGTGCGTCTGCTGCGGATATGTGGACTGGTGCTGCTGCTCCTGCTGCTGTGGCGCCCCCTCCCTCGTTGGGGCAGGGCGTTGGGGGGAAGATGGGGGCGCGTGCAGTAGGGGCGAGGGCAGGAGGGGATGCGGGCGACGTAGGGGGCAGCCTGATGTACCAGGTGCCGTTTCGCGGGGTGAGAATTCACCCTGAACCCTGTCGTTTCCTCCTCCTTGTTCCTTTTGGCTTGTTGTGATTCATCCTATTACACGTTCGATTGATGCGATGCTTTTACGTCCTCTCCGTGTGTGTTCCTGCTTATGTGTGCTTCATTTCTCTCCATGCTGGTTCGCAGGATGAGAGGGAGGTGAAGAGGCAGAGGCGGAAGCAGAGCAACAGGGAGAGCGCAAGGCGGTCGCGGCTGAGGAAACAGGCAGAGTGTGACGAGCTCATAGCGCGGCAGACCGCCGTGCAAATGGAAAACATGGGGCTCACTGCGGTATGTTGCCCCTCACATTGGAGTATTCTTAATAGTGTGACGAGCTCATAGCACGGCAGACCGCCGTGCAGATGGAAAACATGGGGCTCAATGCGGTATGTTTTCCCTTACATCTTCCCCTTTCTCTCTTCCGCTCTTCCTTCTCGCTTCATTCCTCTCCCCACTTCCCTCTTCTCTTCCCGCTCTTCTCTCCTCCTCCCTTCTTCTCACTACACACGTGAAGCAGAACAGCAATTCAAACAGCTGCTCCCATCTTTTTTTCTTTTCATTTATATCCTTTACCATTTTATTTTGCCCAATTCTCTGCCGACAGGAGCTAGCGAAGCTGCGAGAGCAGTACGCCTCCCTGTGTGCTCAGAACGCCCAGCTCCGAACCATGGTCAGTTGCCAGCCCTCCTCGCTTCCCCGCCCACTGTCATTTCCTTCTTTCTCTTCCGCAGTCTGCATTCCTTTGCTCAGTGTCTCACCATCACCATCTGGTTTTTGAGAATTCTGGTTTTTTTTTTTAGAATTCTCAAAAACCAGTCTGCATTCCTTTGCTCAGTGTCTCACCATCACCATCTCTCTCCCTTCATGCTGCTTTGCGTATGTTCCTTGCCTCGTCCCACCCCACCTCGCTCTCTCACGTCTCCCTGTTCATGACGTCTCCAATCCTTTGTGTCCTGTTCCTGTCATTCGTTCCTTGTACTTCCCACCAAACCAGCTTCAAGAGTCAGGCGTAGACCCATCCACAGAAGGAGCAGCCTTCCCACCAGCATCTTACAACCCAATGCACAAGTATCAGCTCACCTCCGTACCGCCCAGTACCGCTCATGCACCACCACCACCGCACGAACCGTCAACCGCCCCTCCCTCTGCTCTTCCTCCCCCTTCTTCATCCACGCTTGAACCCCTGCAACCCACGCCTCCTTCTGTCCTCCCTGCCCCTCCCTCTGCGCCTCAATCTGCCTCGGTTCCTGCTCCTTACTTGTCTGGGAAACCCGAGCCTGCACCCCTACCTGCTCCAGTGCTCCTTCAAGATGCGGTTTCTGAGCCTGCGCCCGAGCCTGCGCCCGAGCCTGTACCAGATCCTGCACTAGAGCCTACGCCTGAGCTTGTGCTTCAAGTTCAGGTTCCCGAGCCTGAATTTGTAGGTCCGGTGCCTGGTTTGGCAGATGAACAGCATCTTCTGTTGACAGGGGGGGAGGAACCAGGTTTGGGGGGCGGGATGGGGGGAGAGGGCGGACTGGGGGAGATGGGGGTCCAAGGGGGTAGTGAGGGGTTAGAATCAGGCCGAGTTGGTGAGGAAGGGGCAAGAATGGAGGGAGGGGCAAGGATGGAGGGAGGGGCAAGGATGGAGGGGGGTCAAGGAGGGGAATTAGGTGAGACGGTGGAAAATGCAGAGACCGGGTCAGAGGCAGAGGCAATGGTTGGGGTGGTGGAGGTGCAACAAGGGGTGGCACAGGGAGGGGATGAGATGAACGTAGAGGTGATGCAACAGGCGCAGCAGGAGGAGCATGGAGCGCCGTTTGATCAGGGGAGAGAGGAGGAAGCTGGAGCACGGGAGGAGCAAAAGAAGGAGCAGGCGAAGGAGGAGGAGGCGAAGGAGCAGCAGCAGCAGCAGCAGCAGCAGCAGCAGCAGCAGCAGCAGCAGCAGCAGCAGCAGCAGCAGCAGCAGCAGGAACAGCCAGAAATGGGGCAGCAGCCCGAGCAGCATGAGCAGCAGCTTGAGCAACAGAAGGACGAAGAGGTGGTTGGTGCTGGAGCGAAGGGGATAAGAAGGGTGGATGGGGGGAAGGATGGAGCAGCAGAGGAGGGTGGAAGGCATGAGGGTGCCCCGTTGGTGGGCGGGAAGGAGCAGCAGCAGCATGTGGGCGACAGCAACGGGAGCGGGCAAGGGGTGGCTGAGACAGCAGAGACTGCGCAGGGGCAGGAGGGTGGAGGGATGGCGGAGGCGCAGCAAGAGAAACCTGAAAGTGAGCAGCACCCCTCGAGTGATGCGGATCCTGGGGTCTCTGAGCCGCCTCATGCAGTGGCAGAAGGGACAGAAGGGACAGAAGAGCAAGGAGAGGCTCTGAAGGCTGCAGCGGGTGATGCTGTTGGTGCGGGAGTAGGTACAGATCCTCCCCGAGAAGCAGCAGCTGCAGCAGCGGCGGCAGCAGAGGGGGAGGAAACAGAGATGGTAGATGCTAGTGCAGCTGAAGACTCAGCAGGTGAAAAGGAGAAGCAAGGGGAGGGCGAGACTGATTTAAATGGTAGAGACCGAGAAGGCTCCAAGGTTGGTGAGGGAAGCACGGAGGTTGGTGAAGGTGCAGCAGGCATGGAGCAAGAGGGAATCAAGGATGGTTCAGTTGCAGGTACAGCTGTGACGGCACCAACGAGTATTGGTGAAGCCATAGCAGGTGATGTACCTGCTGAGGCCTGTAAAAGTGCTGAGGCTGCGCCAGTGGCTGATGAGCATGCAGCACCAGTGGTGGGTGCTGCAGGGGTGGGTGGCACAGGGGAGGGCGCTACAGGGGAGGGTGCTACTGGAGAGGGTGCTACTGGAGAGGGTGCCACTAAGGAGGGTGTTGCTGTGGAGAGTGCTGCAGGGGAGGGTGCTGTAGAAGCAACAGAGGGCAAAGAGGTGGCAGGGCCAGAGGCCTCAGGGGGGAGTAAGGGTGAAGCTGAGGAGGTGAGGGAAGATGGGGCTTCCAAGGGCCTGATTGATGATCAAAGTGTTGATGGTGGGATTGGGAGTGTGGAGAATGGTAGCCATACACAATCAGGTGAAAGGACAGATGTTGAAACGGGAGACACAAAGGATGTTTAGAAGTACGGTACCACCCAATTATCTGGGTTGTGCACTTGCAAAAGGGGGTAGATAACGCAGGGGCGATCTTGATTAAGTGGGCTGTTATGATACTCATGCTGATATTGACTGAGACGATACTAATTGAACCGATAAGTGTATGTATATTATGTCTGCTCGTGCTAGTGGCTTAACGCCACCAAGCATATATAAGGGAAGCCATAACCATAATGCCCTGCTTGTCAGGAAGCTTAGTCAGCCATGAATTCTACGAAATTTCTCAACCTTCATTTTCTATATCTAGTTTGTATAGTAGACTGCCTACAACAACGCTTTTTATCTCGATTATGACTGAACTTTCAACCCCAATGAGGCGGGGGGGACAATCACCGTGACGTGTGATGAACAAACTCCGCTGAACCTTCCGCAAAACCCCGACTCCTTTCCCCCCGATCGCCACATTCCCATGCTCCTCCGCGCGCGGAGCAGCACAAATTGGAAGAGCGGGCGGAGCTCAGAGAGAAGGAGGGCTGGGGGAGGGGAAACCGCTAGGGTTTCATCATGGCTCCGCACTTACCTCATTTTCCCTTTCCCTTCCTGCAGTACTCCCTAATCTTCCTCTCGCTAGACCTCTGCTGCCGCCTGCCCTTGCCGGCACCGCCTCTTAAACCGAGTGCTAGCGCTTCCTGTCAACATGGTGAGCCCGCTTCGCGATGTTCTAGTCGTCATAACATCAGATAATTCCCAGGGGAAGTGCATCTCTCAATCTAAGATGATATGTTTGAGAGGTTTAGTGGGGAGTTTAGCAGTTAAGAAGCTCAGCGTCCATTTCTGGGTGATAATAGCTCGTAACAGTGGTTGCAACCTCGTGATCCCCTGATACGTACGCGTTTGTCGCTGTGCTGATTAGTTAACTTCACGCACTCAGATCGCGCGCTGATTACCTCTCTATTCCTGCCATGTAGATCGTCGTTTCCGTCGTCGCGCTTTCGTCTCTCTTTTCCGCCACCGTCGTTTTCCTCCGTTTGATGGCTGTCGCATTCGCTGTTATTCACTGTCATTTTCTGCCATTCGCAGTGCCGTCGCTGTTCGACCGTCGTTTTCAGAATTCCCCCATGAAGCTGGCGATTGTGAAGAAGGTGATGGGTCATACGAGACCACTAATGAGTCGACCGAAAATTCACCTAATCACCTTTCTTGCGACGATCGTCTTGTGCAGGACTCCCCCATGAAGCTGGCGATTGTGGAGAAGGTGGTGGGTCGCACGGGGTCCCGCGGTCAAGTCACGCAAGTGCGCGTGAAGTTCATCGATGAGGATCGCTACATCATGAGGAACGTCAAGGGCCCCGTGCGCGTAGGTGTGTGACAATATAGCGGGTGTGTGACTATAAAGCGAGGTGATTGTAGAGGTGACTGTAAGGTCACGCAAGTGCACGTGAAGTTCATCGATGAGGATCGCTACATCGTGAGAAACGTCAAGGGCCCCGTGCGCATAGGTGTGTGACAATACGACGAGGTTATTGTAGTGGCGATGTTCGTTGATGAAAATCACAAGGTGGTGGGCCCCGCGGGTCAAGGTGTGTGGGTGTAGGGGACCCGTGGGTGTAGCGGACCCGTGTGCTCGTGTGTGACAACGGCGCCCCGTGCGCCAACATGAGTAGCAGCAGCATCGATGGCTGAGTCACGATGTAGAGATTAGGGTTTCCCTAACTCCCGCGTCGGATGCATAGTCGTTCCCTGCTGGCTTCTGAGATGGGACCACTCGACCCTGTGTGATAGTCGGGCGAGAGCCTAGTACATCTCGTTTGATGGAAGCAGCAGCTTCTCATCGGACCCGCTTCACGAGTGCAGGCCAGCCTGTTTAGTTCAGGGGAATCATACAGCCAGATCGGTGGAGTAACGTTCATATTGACCTCATTGCAGCAGTCGTGCTGCCCCGTTGACAGTAAGTTGTACCTTCACTCGGAAATATAGCCACCCAGTTTTCCGCATATCTGGTGATAGGAACCAGACTGACTTGTTAGCACTTGACTTTAGATCACATACGGTCCTTCGCGCGTTGGGCTGATTATAAGGGGGTAATCTGGTCTTACCGGCTGATCTGATCGTTCAGGTGTTCGGTATGATTACCCTGACGGTTAAGCCTATTGTTCCTGTCCCCTTCGAACTATACCAGACGCATTCAAAGTGCCAGGAGTCTTTGGGATTGTTACTGAGTGCTCAGCAAAATTTTGCAGCCTTTATTATCTGATAGCCTTGTTATCGTGTTGTTCCCACTTCATTTCCGTCATTAAGTTTATTCGTCCTACCCCGTCACTGTTATCATTGTCGCAGGAGACGTCCTCACCCTCATGGAATCCGAGCGTGAGGCTCGGCGGCTGCGTTAATCCAAGCTCTTCCCACATTCTTACAGCCGTTGGATCAGCTGTATGCGAACCAACAGCAGCCGTCTGTTCTGAGAGCGTCCATTGCCTGGTTGCGGTATTACAAAGCTGCTCGATATGGGGCTTCGTCTCTAGTGCGTTCCTGCAATGTCACGTGTATGCTTTTATCAATGCCAGCATGTCACATGTCCTCTCTTTCTCATTGAATTCACCTCACTGGAGGATTTACATGAGTGGAGATCCTTTTGCGGCGGCTACAAACTAAGATCACTCTGGCAACAAGTCTGACCAATGCCCCAACTCAACGTCTTCGGTGCATTCAGTGATTGATAATGCTGCTGACAGCTAGAAAACAGTGTGATGCCAGTGGTCACCTAGCTTCTCTATTTCCATTCACTGCTCGACCACACCCACACACTCGGAGGACTAGGATGGCAGCAGAGAGCAACAGAAGCACAAGGAGGCTTGCTGGCAGCACCACCAGCCTGTGGAGGGACAGTGTCAGTGATGCCTGCAAGACTGACAATGGTCCACACAGTGACGGTGGAGGTCTGGAGGAGACAGAGCTGACGGAAACAGATTGCACCCACCGCTGCACTGGTCTCCCTCCCGTCCATCTCTCCATCAGCAGCTGACTTCTGCTGGCATAGGGTTGCAATGCAGAATCATCCGCTGCCTCCCTGGTGGTGCCACTTGTGTTGTTCCGGTTCTCCAGGGCCTCTTCTGATGTCGCAGTGCTCCTGCTGTCTTCCTCCTCCAAGTCAGCTTCGACCCATTCGCTCAGTGCCTCTTCTTCCTCATCCTCCATACTGTCATATTCGTCATCCTGCATGGGCTGGTCTTCCTGTCGTCGCGGATACAGTCGCTGCTGCTGCAAATGTCCCAACCCTTGAATTTCCTGAAACTTCCCCACGAATGTCCATTGCTGCTGCTCCGGCTGCAGCAGTTGTTGCTGCTGTCGCTGCATCCACTGAATCAGCCCAATGACCAGCTTTCTCGCAGCAGCAATGATTCTATGCACCCATTGCACCACCTCACAGAAAGCCATTGTTGGGCCAGCAGGAGGTCCGGCAGTAACAGGGAGGTTGATGGTCTGACCTGGAACCAGCTTGCCAAGCCTCAGGCTCGGGTTGGCTCTGGATAGGTCCGTCAGAGAGACTCCGTACCTGCGAGCAATCATTGCTCCCCATTCTCCTCTCCGCACCACGTTCCTTGGGCTGCTGCACTGCACAAGCAACTGTCCCAGCCGTGGAAACTTGTTAGTCAGTGGGAAGGCCTCCCTTGTAGTTGCATCACAACCGTCACCGGTATCAAGCTTCAGTTCCATGGCGTTCCCCTGATTGAAAGCATCCCCAGCCTCGTTTACCTTAACCTGGGAGTGCCAAGTCACCAGGGCGGCAGAAGGGATGATGCTTCCAGGGGTCACCCCTCTGGTTACCATGGTGGGCGGCCCGATCACTCGCACCTGGGCACCGGTGGCAGCAGCCTCATACAGGTCCCACTCGTCCGCTGGAAACAACCCCACCTCCACAGGGGCTGCAGTGGCGCTGCTCCTGGTGCTCTCGTTCCCTTCGCTGCTCCTGTTGCTCTCGTTATGCCTCCTGGTGCTCCTGTTGTTCTCGCTGATTTTGCTGCCTTTCCTGCCCACCATGAGCGAGTTCTGGTCCAAATGCGGCGTCTGTGGGGATTTACGCAGCCTTCGACGGCATCCATCGAGTCTTGGAGTTATTGGCTCGATCTCAATCGTTTTTCCTGCTGCTGATTCCCCATGGGCCCATGGGGAGGTTCTGTGTTTGTATGAGGTGCTCCTAAAACTACGAGTCTTGCGACAAGAGATCTGAAGAGAAACGACGGGCCTGTCTAATGGGCGTGCGCGGTCTTGCTGGAGCGGAGGTGCAAGTAACAGGCTGGGCGGAGTTTGAACAAGTACTGGTAGTAGCCATGGACCCATGTCCACTCAGGGAGGTCAATTTTCCACAGAGGAGGCTTATGCTAGAAGAAACGATTGACGGCGCTAAAGTTATTTATACGTTTGATGTGACAAAAATTCTTGCTGAGAATGAGGAACCATGACTTATAGTCACGAAGGAGGGTCTAAAGTTAGATGCAGAAGCATGCTGCTGTGTATGGGCCCGAGGCTTTGAGGGAAGCATGTTGAGCGGAAGAAAACTCCGATCGGAGCGATGAAGATGTGATGGGATTGAGGACATTGCGGCTCGGGTCCTGTGATTGTTGTGATGCGTTTGTGGGGGAATTTGAAGCGTGAAGTGCGGAAAGGCCAGGAGGATAGGTTCGTTGAAAGGAGATCGATGTGATGGACGTCTCAACTCAACACCAAATGGGCACGATTATTGTTTAGAGTGATTCGATAAGAATACAATCTGTGCATAATGAAGTACAGTTTGGGCACTTACGAAATCCCCCACACCCTCGGGTCAATTCTGAACCTGGACTCTCACTCCCTGCTAGGCTCCGCAAGCTCATTTGCCTCCTAACACGCGACTCCACAGATTCCCAGCATTCCGGCGCAAGTAGTTCTCGCAAGAAGCTTCTGTTTCGGAAGCGGACGAATCTATGGCTAATACGCTCTGCTGTCGAGGATCTCTTATTAGGAGTCTCTCGGGGTACGTTCCGCTTCGCCGTACGCTGCTCATTATAGTGTCTGCTATCACCGTCCGTTTCTGCGTGCACGATGCAGTTACATATTAACCTATACCCTCATTAGTTTCGTTGCGCGTTCTTCGTTTTTTTAATGCTGTCGTTGACTCCTCCAGTGGCAGGCTCCAACTGGCTAATCAGTTGCGACGGGAGCAAACGGTGAATGATATCCTCAACCGCAAATTACCTTCTCGGACCGCACTGAATGCTGCTGCATCGCCGCGCTCTAATCGAAGCTCCTTAAAGTTACATAGCACGCGTTGCGAGGCCGCAGAGAGATTCATTGGTTCCAGATCGGAAGCGGGAGCAAATCCACGGCTCTCCGTGTTCGGATCACCCCGTCCTTCCATCCTACTAAATTCTTCTGGTTTGTTTTCGGTGCCGAATCTGGGATTTCGTTGAGTGCGCGTGTTACAACTCCCTCAACTCCATCACCACCCACACCCCGCTCACCCCCGTCAACCCTGCACTTCCCCTCAGCCTCTCACTGTCCTCACCTCGCTTGTCTATGAGCCCCCGAGTTTGCTGTTTTATGTGCTCTTTCTCACCTCTCTTCCTTTTACCCCTTGTTGTCCTCTCACCCGCACGCATCCTCCCATCCGTCTCCATCCCTCCCATCCGTCTCCATCCCTCCCATCCGTCTCCATCCCTCCCATCCGTCTCCATTCCTCGGTCGCACCCGACTTCTTCATCATTCCCTTCGTCTCCAACACTCTCGTCTCCATCCTCCCTCCCCTCTCGCCCGCCCACAGCACACACCCCTCGGCACATCGCCAAGGCGCGCAGGGGGTTTCTCTCCGAGCTGCAATCAATCAAAGACGAGGAAAACGTTGGTCAGTGCCGCCCCTATCATGCGTCTGTCTAGCACCATGAATTCAGAGAGAATGAGCGGAAAAATAGGTATTTGCCTGCAGTATGCATGGTAAGGATGGATAGAGGGTGGATGAGCAGCAGGCTATGAATTCCCATCAAGTAACCCCTTTCCTCCATTCCTATTACCCAATTTGTCTCTCCATCCACGTGTGCAGCGGGCCCCATCTCGTATGAGTCACCCCTGGACATAGTGTTGTACCCGGACCCGCGCTTGAGGGCGCCCAACAAGCGAGTGAACGTCTTTGACGAGTCGCTGCAGAAGCTTGTAGCGGAGATGTTCGATGTCATGTACAGGTGAGCGTTTCATGTCTTGTACAGGTGAGCGTTTCGTGTCATGTACAGGTGAGCGTTTCATGTCATGTACAGTTGAGCGTTTCGTGTCATGTACAGGTGAGAGCGTGTCATATCATGTACAGCTGAGCATGTCCTGTCACGTACAGCTGAGGGCGTGATGACATGTACAGGTGATGGTGTCATGCACAGGTGAAGATCCCCCTCTTCCCCCTCTTCCCCCTCTTCCCCCCCTCTCTCTCCCCACCTCCCCACACCCCCCCGTCCCCGCTCCCCCCTCCTCTCCTCCATCTCATGTGTCCCATGTGCCACCAGGACGGAGGGTGTGGGGCTGTCAGCGCCACAGGTGGGGGTGAACGTGCGCCTGATGGTTTACAAACTCGTGGGCCAGAGGGGCAAGGGCGTTAATATAGTTCTCTCCCCCCCTCCCCACTCCCCCCCCCCACGCCCCCTCCCCATCTCCCCTTGCTCGTGTCCCTGATGCGGACAGGACGGAGGGCGTGGGGCTGTCAGCGCCACAGGTGGGGGTGAACGTGCGGCTGATGGTGTACAACCCCGTGGGCGAGAGGGGCAAGGGCGTGGAGATGGTGCTGGTGAATCCGCGCATTGTCAAGTACGCCAAGGCACGGGACGTCATTGAGGAAGGCTGCCTCTCCTTCCCTAAGATTTATGCTGATGTCGAGGTGGGTGTGTTGGTTTCAGGAGTTCTGCAGAGTTGGATATTGTTTTTGTCTGTCGTTTATGCTGGTGCTTGTAGGATGGAGCCTGATTGCTTTTGTGTGTGTGGGTGTATTTGTTTGTTTGTATGTTTTCTGCCATCTTTGTTGTTTGCAGCGGCCAATGGGTGTGAAGGTGGATGCGCAGGATATTAACGGTCGGAAATTTAGCATCAGTCTGAAAGAATGGCAGGCACGGATATTCCAACATGAATATGATCACCTGGAGGTATGCCTCGTGACTCAGCAGAGGGGACCTTTGATTCACTTATCGTGTGAGCTCAACTGCAAAAGAGCTTTGTGCCTGAGTAAGGTGAAGTTGAATGAAAGTGTTGTTGATGTTTGTTTTGTTTTCAGGGGACCCTTTACTTTGATCGAATGACCCCGGAAGTTCTCGACACTATTCGCAGCAAGCTCATCGTAAGTAGTCTATCTGCGTTTGCATATATGGTGCTTTGTACTACATTAATCTATATTATAATGGGGATAAACTTGTCGTGTGCTGCAGGAGCTGGAGGACAAGTATGCTAAGCCACTGGTGCTCCACCGCCTGAGTCGGTTGCTAAAAGACCAGTTGCTGCCAAGGCTGCAAATGCTGATGTCACATCGGCTGTTTCGTCATGACTCGTTCACTCTAGTGTTTCTGTGCCAAACCAGAAGCGTTGTTGAATACATGTTAGTCATCTATAAGAGTTTTTTGGACTTACTAAATGTACTGCACTCTTTTCTCCAATCAAAATGTGGGGCTTCAAATTTCTCTGTTCAAATCGAACCCCTCTGGCTGATTTCACTTCTCCATTGCCGACTCTCGGCCAAAGCTCGCATGCTGTCGGCAATATCTAGGCCAGCTCCGCTGTAGTCCGCCATTTCCGTGTCTCTTCAAAAGCCGGACTTGATTCTCCTGCCAGTCCGCTATCCCTCCGTAAGACAATGGGTCCGGACGAGCGTCGCGTGGGAAAGCGCGACGACGAGGAGGCGGAGCGGCGAGGCGAGGAGGACCCTTGGGACGACGACGAGTCGAGCGACGAGGAGGAGGGCGACGATCGGCGCAAGTGGAAGCGAAACATGCCGTTGCTCTACGACTGGTTCGCTAACCACCACCTCGTCTGGCCGTCGCTCTCATGCAGGTTCGGAACAAACCAAAGCTTTTCGCATAGCAGCCCTTTTTAGTAAGTGACAACGGAATATGCTTATTTTCTAAATAATGCGTGTTCCCTTCATATGTAATCCCTACTCTTGTAAGGCGGCCCCTACTTTTGCTCACCCCGATAACCACCTTGAAGGCTCAAAGCCTTCCGTATGCAACTTTTCTTTTCGCATGCGCGTGCGACGACAGGTGGGGTCCGTTGGTGGAGGACCGAACGCATAAGTACAAGCGACGCCTTTACCTCTCCGAGCAGGCAAGTTTTTTTTTTTTTTTTTTTTTTTTTTTAAGGGGGCGGGGGGTGGGGGGGGGGGGGGGGGGGGGGGGGGGGTAAAAGTGGGTGCGGGAGGGGAGGGGCGGAGGGGATGGGACGAGATTTAGTTCAGTACTGCTCAAACAGGGATTTTTTTTTTTCCGAGCTGCTACGCCCCATTACGCCATTTTTGTAATATGTTTTCTAGTCCGGCTTCCTTGTACCTTCTGTTCCCTCTCGCTTAAATCTGCCCCCTTCATCCCCGCCCCCTCACCCCTCTCCGCCCTCCCCCTGCCCCCCCTCTCCACACCCTCCTCGCCCCTCGCCGTCATTCTTAACGTGCCAAACCGCAATCATTAACATCCGTCATGTTTCTGATGCCAAACAAGACGCACTCCCTGTCCCTTGGAAACATATCAGACGGACGGCACAGTGCCCAACACCCTTGTGGTCTCCAACGCCTATGTCGTCAAGCCTCGTGTCGCCGCTCCCAGGGACATCTGCCGGGTATGCTTCTTTGACAATGCACGCATGGCATGGCAACGGTAATGCATGGATGCATAGATGATGCATGCTTGCCTGGCTGGCTGGCGCATAACTCTGTTTTGACTGACTGTAAAACCTGCACTTCGTCTTGGCCTCACGTTTGCAAGCCCTTAAAGGCGAGAGCCAGTCTGGCTAATGTACATTAGCCAGTTGGGCCCAAACTACTCCCTCCGTCATCTTTCTCTCTCCCTGTCCCTTCCCCCACACTCTCGTGGCAGTTCAAGTACGATCAACGGTCGCCCTTTGTCCGCAAGTTCAAGTCAATCGTGCATCCGTGCAGAGGTGAACCGCAATGAGCAAGTGCCACTTCCCTCCCCCCCTCTTCCCGTTTCCCTTTCCCCCGTCTCCTCCCTTCACACCTCCGTGGCAGTTCAAGTACGACCGGCGGTCGCCCTTCGTGCGCAAGTTCAAGACAATCGTGCACCCAGGAGAGGTGAACCGCATCCGAGAGCTCGTGCAGAACCGCAACATCATCTTCACACACACTGACAGCCCTGATGTGCTCATGTGGCACGTGGAACGGCACCCCTTCTGCACGCCTTCTTTCAACACGCCTGCTTCCACGCCCGACCTGGTATGTATGTGGCATTGGGTCAAGTCAAAGGAGATGAGTGAATGTTGTATGAGAGTTGGTGCAGATCTGTAACAGTTTGCTCCCCCTGACAGTTTGTTCCCCCTGACTTAAACCAATGCACACCAACAGCCAGCCCTCATCTCCGTATCCATCCCCCCTTCTTTTACGCCCGCTCAGATCCTGGTGGGGCACACGGACGATGCCGAGTTTGCAATGGCGACCAGCCCGGTGGCTCCGCTGGTGATCAGCGGCGGCAAGGACTGCAACGTGCTGCTCTGGAATGTTGCTGACCACGTGACGTCGCTGCAGGTGAGTCATGGTTATCCATTCTCCTTAAAAACAGGTCTCGTTGAAACGCCTGAATACTAGCACTTGCTGGTGATCAGCGGGGGCAAGGACTGCAATGTGCTGCTCTGGAACGTGGCTGACCACGTCACATCGCTGCAGGTGAGGCGACAGGTTTTTGAATGCCTGAAAAAAAGAAGCGCATGAAGAAAAGTGCTAATTGAGCGCATGAAAAAGGTATTGCTGGTGAAAAGTGGCAGTAAGGACCACAATGTGCTGCTCTGGAACATGGCCGACCACGTCACATTGCTGCAGGTGAGCACGAGGTGTGCTGAACTGTTATGTCCCTCCATCAGTGTTACAATGGCATGGCAATGCCACACTGCTGCTGTCATGTCAAGGAACCGTTCTGCTCCCCCTCCTACCCTTCCCTCCGCCTTTATCCTGAACCTCCCCCTGTCCTTCCCTTGCCTGTCATCGGCAGTCGTCTGCAGCTCTTCGCAAGCCCCACCCCATCGCCGCCAAGAAGAAAGCCAAGGCAGCTGCTGCGTCCTCAGTCCCTTACTTTCCCTCTCCCTTTGTTTACCCCGAACCTCCTCTTGCCCTTCCCTTCCTTCCCCATCATTGCAGTCCTCTGCAGCTCTCCGCAAGCCGCACCCCGCCGCCAAGCCGAAAGCCAAGGCAGCTGCTGCTTCCTCTGTGCCTTCCCGCTCTGCCCCCTCGGCGCCTCTTTCTTCTCGCGCTCGTGCTGACTCCCCTGCTCGTAGCGGGGGTAGAGGCGGGGGCGGGGGTGGAGATGGGGAAAGCACAGCAGGGGACGCTGAGAAGAAACGGAAGCGGGAGGAGGGTGTGGGGAAGGGAGAGGAAACGAAGGAAGGGGAGAAGGAGGATGGCGGAGGGGAGGGGGAAAAGAGAGGTAGAGGATTGGAAGGGAGCGGGAAGAAAGAGGAGAAAGAAGAGGAGGGAAATGAGGGAGGGGAGGGCAAGCAGGGGGAGGCAAAGAGGGGGAATGGGGAGAAGGAGGAGAAGCAGGAGGAAGGTAAAGTGGAGGAGGGAGAGAAGAAGGCAGTAAAGGAAGAGGAGGGGAAAGGGAAGGAGGAGGATGGGGAAGAGAAGGAAGGGGAGGAGAAAGAAAAGGAGGGGGATGGGGAAGAAAAGGAGGGGGAGGGGAAAGAGAAGGAAGAGGGTACGATGGTAGAGGAGGAGTCCAAGGAGAAAGGTACTGTGAGAGAGGTGAAGGCTGTGGAGGGGAAGGGAGAGCAGAGGAGGGGGCAGAGACGAAAGAAGAGGCAGAGGGGCGAACAGGCTCAGAAGCGAAAGAGGACGCAGAAGAACAAGTGGGGATGGGAACCAAAGAGGGGGGCAAAGAAGAAGAGGGGACAGAGGCGAAAGAGGGGGGAGGGGCAGGGGAGGAGTCAAAGGCACAGCCCGCAGGAGCAGATGCTGACGTGGAAATGACAGATGCTGATGGTGCTGCTGCTACTGCTGACACTGCTACAGCTGACGCTGCTGCTCCGTCTGAGGCTGGTGCTGTTGCCGTTGCCGTGACTGGTGTTGCTGATGCTGATGATGCTTCTGTGGCTGGTGCGAAGGTGGAGGAAGAGAGGGGGAGCGATGAGAAGACAGGGAAAGGTGAGGAAGGAAAAGAAGCTTACGCAGTGAAGGGGGCTGAAGCACAGGACAAGGAGAAGACAGAGAAAGAGGAAAAGGTAGAGGGGGACCTAGGGAGAGAGGAGGCGGGAGGGGGAGGGGAGGAGGCAGGGAGCAAGGATGAAGAGAACAAGAAAGAGGGTGGTGATGATGCTGACAAACCTGCTTCTGCCGCTCCTGCTGGTGCAGATTCAGATAAGCCTGCAGAAGCAGTGAAAGGGAGTGAGGGCATGGAGGTGGATAAGGCTGGGGGAGAGGAGGGCGAGGGAGGGAGGAAGAGTGATACGGCAGGGAGTGAGAAGGCAAGGGGGGAAGAGGGTGCAGTGGGGAGAGAGGAGGTGAAGGAGGAGGAAGCGATTGAGGAGAAGAAAGAGGGGGAGAGCAAGGAGGAAAGAGGAGTTACTAAGGAGGACGGAACAACTGACGGGGCACCAACGGGAATGGTCATTGAGGAGGCAACTGGTGGCGCTGGTGGTGGTGGTGCAGGCAATGAAGACGAAGCAGAGGCAGATGCCCACGCTGCAGGCAAGCCCACTGCTACAGCCCGATCCTCCTCCCCTTCTCCTCCACTCAAGCTCGGATCCGCCCCGAAATCCTCCAGCCTGGCTCCCCGCGGGGTGTTCAAGGGGCACACAGCAACTGTGGAGGACGTCTGCTTCCACCCCTCGCACTCCCAGCAGTTCTGCTCTGTCGGCGACGACGGGAGGTTGCTGCTGTGGGATGCAAGGACAGGGGGAGAGAAGGGGCCGTGCCAGAGAGTGGAGAAGGCTCATGAGGCGGATGTTCATTGTGTGGACTGGAACGGGAGGAATGAGCATATGGTGGTGACGGGGGGTGCGGATAAGAGCGTGAGGTTGTTTGATGTGAGGAAGCTGGGGGGAGGGCCGGTGGGGAAGGCCGAGGGGGAGGCGAGGGGGAAGGCGAAGGCTACGCATGCGTTCCGTGGAGGGCACCAGGCAGCTGTGCTGTCCGTGCAGGTGAGTGGTGCAGTTGGTATGGTGAGTGGTGCAGTTGGTATGGTGAGTGGTGCAGTTGGTATGGTGAGTGGTGCTTGGAATGGTTGTGATCCGACAACCTTTCCCTGCTTGTACGCCTGCATTGGTCTCCCGACAGCCCCATGGTGTTCGTTTGAGACGTCTCAAAAATACCCTCTCTTCACGTGATCTGACAACCTTCCCCTGCATGCTTGTACGCCTGCATTGATCTCCCAACAGCCCCATGATGTTCGCCAGCTGTGCAGACGAAGCGCTGGTCAACATCTGCCCACGATTCTTTCCCCTCTCACCTCTTTCCACCGCACTTACTCTCTTCACCTGCCCTTTGTGCAGTGGTGTCCCGACAGCCCCACGGTGTTCGCCAGCTGTGCAGAGGACGGCCTTGTCAACATCTGGGACTGCTCCCTGGTGAGTCAGACTCAGACCTCAGTTTCCCCTGCTGCTGATGCCATGTTGAGCCACCCCCTGTCCCTTTCTTCCCTCCTCTCCCTTTTACCACCCCGCCCCCTTTGCCCCTTCACCAAACCAATGCCCCCTTTGCTGCTTCACCACCCAACCTTCGCCGTCCACCCTGTCCTTTCCCCACCCCACCTCCTCCCTGTCCCTTCCACACCCCACCTCCTCCCTGTCCTGCGTCCCCCTATCCCCTCCGCTGCACCCCCCCGCTGCGCCCTCCTGCGCCCCCCCTCAGCTGCACGTGGAGGCGGTGAAGTCGTCTCGAGCTGACGGGGTGCCGCCCGGACTGCTCTTCCAACACGTGGGCCACCAGTGAGTGATGTGGGTCACCAGTGAGTGATGTGGGTCACCAGTGAGTGATGTGGGCCACCAGTGAGTGATGTGGGCCACCAGTGAGTGATGTGGGTCACCAGTGAGTGCTGCGCTCCTGCTTCCTCCTTGCCTCCTGCCCTCACGCTTCCTCCCTCCATCCCTCCTGCCCAGCGGGCCTGTTTCTAGTCTGAATTTTAAATGTATATTTCTACTAGAGTTCTAACAGGTGCTTGTTTCTCTTCCTGTGCTCCCCCGTGCAGGGATCGAGTGATTGAGTTCCAGTGGGCACCAAAGGACCCGTGGACATTCGCAAGTGTGTCAAGCAACGTGAACAAGCGAAGGGGAGGAGGCACTCTACAGGTGAGCGCTGATTGCTTGGGCCAAGGACAGTTGTGTAGCGAGTGTTTTGAGTGGACTAGAAACACACCAGGGGAGGATGGTCTCAACAGATGCGAGTGAGGTGAATTGCTGTCTTACTGCTGATTTGACAAAATTGACAAAATTGATTTGTGTGTTTTATTGCTGGATGGTTTGTGCAGATGTGGCGAGTTCTGGACCTCATCTACCGCCCAGCTAAAGATGTGGCTATTGACCTTAACCGTTACGTTTAGTGTAACCCCTAATTGTAGCCTAAGCACATCAATCTGCTGACTTCCAGCTTTAGGCTGGAAGCCTTGACTAATCAATTCACTAACATAGCAGGGTTTCAATTCTTCCCTCAACTCGCTTAGTGGAAATTTGGACTATGTGAAAATTGAAATGTTACGTGCATCTATGATGAACTCAATAACAGAGATTCGGTTCACCTAAACTTTTGGGAAATTATACGCGCAGTCACAATTAGGCCCGTTTTATCACGTTTGGTCACTGGGTCATCACGGACAGTCACAGTACAGTAGATTTCTATCGCGGGTGATCACAGTGCTATCATGGATGGTCACAACTCGCCCCGAAAAGCTATCACGTTTGGTCACTCGATGATACGAGCATTATTAATTTGAAACCACAAAAGAAACTGTAGAGATTTTGGGGAATCCCAATCTCGATTGCTTGTTACCCTCGCGCATGAAATAAGCCTGACATTTTGGGGACTGAAGAAAAACAATAACCCCTAAAGGAGGGCACGCCCTTCGGGAGGCATCAACCCTAAACACCTTGCGACAAGGTGTTTAGGGTTGATGCCTCCCAAAGGAAATCCCATCCGAACGGGTTTTAGTTTTTTTTTTCTCGGGAAGCAGAAATAACATTCGAGTTTCACCCTTCTAAAAGTGATATTCTTAGGGACATTATGCATCGATCGGACAGTGGATAATTCCACAGTGAACAATGCGCAATGAGCCAACTTTCCAATGTTCCAGATGTTTTTAGCGAGTTGACGAGATCGGTCGCGAAAATATTTCGTAACTAATGTCGTCTCGCAACGCTACGGACAAAACGGCGCGCGCGATTTAATTTCCCCTGAATCCAAACAGTGACTCGAGTAGTTACATTTTTCGATTGGGCGTTTCATCTGTGACCAAACGTGATAGACTTGCGGGGCAAGGTGTGACCATCCGTGATAGCACTGTGATCACACGTGATAGTTACGAAGTGTACTGTGACTTTCCGTGATACCCCCGTGACTAAACATGATAAACCGGGCCTAATTGTGACTACCTGTATAATTTCCCTAAACTTTTCACTCAAAACCTTTAGCCCTGAACCATGTCAGACCCCTCAAGTTTCTGGCATTCCTATTCGTTGAGAGTCGTTCGCGTTCTTTCACCACACCACTCTGCAGGTCCTTGTAGCGTCGCGTCGCTTGTTTCTGCTGATAAATCGCGCGAGGAAGTTGAAATCCTGGATAGTCACCTAATGCACCAGGCGGCATGGCGATGAGTACGGACATGGTGCTGCCGGGAACCGTGCTGCACACGGACCTCGCGCAGGAGCTCGCCTCGCGGGGGTTCGTCGACAATCTCCGCCCGCCGATGGCGGCGGCCGCGGAGCTGCTTAGCTCTGTCGGAAGAAGCGGATATGGCAGTAACGAGGATGATGACGTGGAGCTTTGGCTCGTGCAGATGCCAGACGCCAAAAGTGTACGCGTTAAGATTTTCACGAATTTCTCCCTTCAATTCTGTTTCACTTGAACGTGGCCGCGATTTCACTTAAATGATGTTCGGCTTTCCGCTCCCACAACCTCCCCTTCCGTCCCTTTCTTTCACCTCTTCCGCTGCGCTTCCCCCTTCCCCCGTCTCCGCGCAGTTGGACCTCCGCGCGCTGGACGGCGCGCAACTGCAAGTCCAGGCGGGCGCACGGGGGGAATCGGGGGCGCAGAGGGTGGAGGTGTGCCGGTTTGCGCCACCACGAGCAGCTGCCGCGGGGGGAAGCGCAACGGGGGGAAAGGGATTTGTCTGGGGAGGCCAGCCAATCACGGTGAGGCGCTTGGGGAATTTGGGGAAGAGAGCGAAAGGGAGGGGGAAGTAGGGAGAAGGGGGGGGGGGGGAGGGGGGGAGAGGGGGAGAGGAGGGGGAGGGGGAAGGGTGCGGGACGATGTGCGGGGATGTGGCAGGGTATGTGTCACAGGACAGTCACTGCTGACCTGTCACTGTATGCAGTACTGATTGGGTCAGACTTAATCACTTTGTGGCACAATCGAGCCACAATCTACGGTATGTGTGCCTCAATCTCCCTCTGTGCCCCTCCGCCCTCGTTCTCGCACTCTCTCACCCCCCCAGGAGCTCGCACTCGTGGCACACGCACTGCCCTGTGGGGGTCTGGTGGGCTTTCGAGTCGTCTCAGAACTCATCTCTGTGCCCCTCTGCCCGCACTCCCCTTACCCCCCCAGGAGCTCGCACTCGTGTCGGACCCACTGCCCCGTGGAGGACTTGTTGCTGTTCTGCCTGGCTGTGACGGCCGCCCGCCCATAGGTATGCCTGCCCGCATGTGAGGGGCATGTGTGTGACTGGGGCATGTGTGCTTGCGTGTGTATGCTTGTGCGTCACAGGGCAACATGTGCTGTGCATCATGCCTCGTCGCTCTTCTGCCTGCCTGTGACGGCCGCCCTCCCATAGGTATGCCTTCTCGTGGTTAACTGGAGCATGTGTGTGTGCGTGCCGTATGCAGTCGGGTTCACATTCTCCTTTGCATCCCTCCCCGCACTCGTTGCCTTCAGTACCTGACCTCGTCTTTCTCACTCTTCTTTCCTTCCCGACTCAACCCATTCACCTCCCCCACCACTGCTTTCCCTGGCCCCGATTCCGTTTGTCTCCTGGTACCTTGTGCTCTTACCAGTGCGGCCAATCACTCACTCCGTCACTTGTGTGTCTGCTGCTGCCGTACCGCAGCCTGAGTCCACTCCAACACCCCCTCAAGGTGAGCTGGCCTCCTTACACAAGCACTTTCTGATTAACACTGCAAAGCAATGTACTCTGTGCTGGTTATGTATCGACAGATGAGGCATTCTAGTGGGGGTGAGTTTGCCTTGATAGATGTAAGCGACAGTTATTCTGTGCTGACTGGACTCGCTTGCCAATTTTCTGCTTCACTCAATTCTCTTCTGTTTGCACTAAAATCACTGGTCTTCTTTTGCAGCTCAGTATTTTGTGTTGCTTTTTGTCACAGAATCTTTGTCTGCCAAGAAGAAAGGCAAGCAAAAGAAGCTTGCTGATAAAGCAGAAGTACCACCGGTAGGAGAGACGGGTGAGACCCCCAAAACGAAGAAGAAAAAGCGGAAATCAGATGCTGAGGCAGATGGTAGCGGAAGTGGTAAGAAGTCAAAATAGATGAGGGAATGGAAGCTTGATTGACATCATATGAACATATACGATCACTGTATTTGTTTTCTAACGTAAGTCTGTCTAGAGTGTAAAGCTGAAGCCGCATCCGAGGTATAACCTAGCAGTAGTTGTAGGGCACACTGCTAAATATGAAATCTGGGCTGTTTCTAATACGGTATGAGGGAGGCTATAAGTGAGTCTTTAGTTGTGGGATTTTTAACAGCTCGTTACTGTAGTGTATAAATCCAAGTGCCGTCTTCATCCTCATGCGCACTGTTCTGTTGGGAGTCAGCAGGACCTGAGACCATCAGGCCCTTCACAGTTGCGAGCCAAGGGAACGACGAAATGTCGACCATCTCCTCCAGGAACGAAAGTTTCTCTGGGAATCCCGTGCAAGTTTGCTGGGAACAGCACAGAACAAAGCAGGTTCACTGAAAGAGGTTCGTAGCTCCAGCCGTCCCTGAAGATCACCGTGCCATTGCTCAGAGCAGTCATTGTCGTCAGGGAATGAAAGAAAGTAGTACGTGTAATTCGCTGCAGGAGAATGTGGAGTTTTCGTGGTCTAGTAGTTGATACGAGATTCTTAGCATGCAGGAGATTCTTCAGTTCGTCATCCTCAATAGCGTCGCTGAATGAATTTAGCAGGACTGCAAGCGGCGCCGAGGTTCATGTGCCTCTGAAAAAGAGTCCGAGAAAATCAGACAATCGCTAGGTTCGTGCGTAGATCGCTAGACAATCGCCAGTCCACCGCTTAAAATTCTGAAGATCAGGACTTTGTTTTCAGTGTATCGGGTCACGGCGGGTTTAATTCAGGACAAACCAGTCACCTATTGTTGACGTGGCTGAAGAATAAAGCAGTTCAGACTCCCACGAGGATTCGAGCGGTCTCGTAAAGCAGACTGACTATGACCCGTGCATTTTTTAGAATAAGCTTGAAAGCCTAAGCTCACGCGTTTGACCGGATCGCAAGATTTCCAGGATGAACCGGTCTTGTAGCGAGGGGACCTTTGATACTGTTCGTAGTATCGGCGGCATTGGCGAAATTTCCTTCGCCAAGGATCGCGACGTCGCCAAAATCCCGTCAGCTCCTGACAACCCCTCTCCTCCTGCTTCTGATGACATGCGTTTACCAAAAGAGAGTTTTGATGTCATTTCATTTAAACCAGCCGTGCCAACTCAAGACATGGAAAGCATCTGTACCCCAAGGGTCTCGTTAGCCCCGCCGAAGAGGGAGCGCGCGTTGACGAGCTTGCCAGAATCCGTCGTTATCGCTGACGGTTTCAGTTCCCCGTCTGGCGTGACTGAGCGTCCGCTAGCGGCAACAGCATCAGACCCTCTCGTCAGAGCTTCAGGCAGACAGATACCCTTCCATTTCACCCTCTCAGATAGCAACTTGCTTTCGCTGTCTTCATCTGCGGAGGATTCCGTCGCTTCTTCTTCTGTTACCGCTCCTGCGGAAGCTGTGACACCATATACTCAAGCTCTAAAGGACAGTTTCCTTGTTCAAGTTTCTGGTGTCCACCAGAGCGTGTCTGCAAGCCCTGAGGGCCTTCTGGAAGGCAGGAACAAAGTACTATCTGGGCCGTTCGTTCCGATCGCTGCTGATGCGGACACAATCGACGATTCTGAAGAGCCCAGGCAGGACATGTCGCATCCCCGTCGCCTGCACCACAGCGGGCCAATCAGCATTGCCAACCGGAAGAAAGAGCTGTTCGCTGCTGCTCTCGAAGCCAGACGGGCCAAGAGGAGCGGTGCCGCGGTTGGGGCTGTTGATGCTGATGCTGCCTCTGCTGCTGCTGCTGAGGGTGTTGTTGCTGCTGAAGCTGGCAGTTCTAGTGACGCTGGTCGATGTTCTGTTGCTGGCAGTGGCAGCAGTGGTGCTGAAAATGAAGCGGATGATGGTGGTCGCTACGTTGCTACAGTTGCAGAAGCCATAAGTGGTGGTAACAACGTTGTGGCTGCCAGTGCTGAAAGGAAAGGAGGAGGGGGGAGCGGAAGCCTTACCAGTGACCCGTTTCGCTTTTTGAATCCTTTAAAAAGAATTGGTAGGCGTCACTCAGCTGGCAAGTCTGAGTTCCTAACGCTGCGGGAGACTGCAGCTGCTCATGTGGTGTCCAAACCCCAGGGGACGGAGGAGGATCATCAACGATCACAGCAGCAATCGCCGCAGCACTGGCGCCATCGGTGGCAGAAGCAGGCGGAGCCTACTATCAGCGACCCATTTGATCATCTTAACCAGGGGGTTTTACCCCAGACTTTATCCACCAGTCCCTTGTCACCCTCTCCCAGCCCCCTCGCCTCTCCCCCCTGGTCCGCCAAGCCACCACATTCCCCCAAGCCAGGCGCACATGTAACCTCGCCGCCGTCACACACCAACCATGCCATTAAGCGTGCCACAAGTAATACTCAAGAACATCACGCCACAGATGGTGCGCGGGGTGGGGTGCAGCAGCAGCAGCAAGACGTGAAGTACCCGCCATGTGTTTCGGAATCCGTGGTGAATCAGAAGCAGCAGCGGGCACGGTCGCCTCAGCTGGGATTCAGGTTCTTCTCCAAGCACAAGAGCTCTGACAGCCGCAGTAGTGGCGGTGGTGGTGCTGGTTGCGGTGCTGATGGTGGTGGTGGCGACTGTGGTGCGGTTAGCAGCAGTGGTAGCGCTGCGAATGACATTTCCAACAGCTTGTATGGGACCAGTGCTGACACTGCAGCGGAGCATTGCAGGCAGTCTGTGGGTTCGCCTCAGTCTGGTGGTGACTTGGCGACGCTGGCTGCTGCCTGTGGAACCACCATTGACACACGTAGCTGGAGGGAGCAGCAGCAGCAGCAGCAGCAGCAGCAGCAGCAGCAGCAGCGGCGGCGGCAGATTCAGCAGGAGGTGACACGCGAGGGTGAGGCTACCACAGGACAGCCATCTCCTCCCAATCCACTCTCCCCTCTGAGCGATGGCTCCTCTGACTCCGACACTTCCTCTCCTCCACATGCGCTGGGCCGGAGCGTGACAGAACCCTGTAAACACAAGTCAACGCTTTCACCAACCTCAGCCATACAGGGCACGGACAGAGAAGCAGAGGGGGTTGAGGACGCTGAGGAGGGCGAGCGAGGGCAAGAGGAGGGGGCGGGGAAAGGATTAGGGGCTGGGGTGGTGCGGCTGCATTCGAAAATCTCTAAGGCAGTGGACAAGAGAATGTCGGCTCGTGGGGGTGAAGCTGGATTTACTTTCATGCGAGGCTTGAATGGGAGGCGCAGAGAGAGAAGAGGTGGTTCTTGTGCTTCCTCTTTGGTTCTGGGCAAAGGAGAAGGCGAGGGAGGAGTAGTTGGAGCAGGAGGAGGAGGAGGAGGAGGAGGGGGAGGAGGAGGAGGAGGAGGAGGAGGAGGGGGAGGAGCAGGGGGGCTGCGTTTCCTTCCGCCTGGCATGGCCCGGAACCATAGTGTACCGGTCGGCGCTGGCGAATATGCACGCCCTCCCAAGGTGGATAAGGTCGTCTACGGCCCACCTGTGCGTGTCCCGATCGATCCCAGTCGTCCAATCGCCCTGTCGATCCGTCCACGCCCTCGATTTGGGGCCCTGCCTCAAGGCACACCCCTTGGCAGCCGAACATGCCTGCTGGTAACCCTAGATTCGGCGATTTTCTTGGTTACAGATGATGGGATCAGGGTGTGGGATATCCAACATGTGATGACTCCCGATGGGGCTTCGGGATTGGGAAACCCAAGGGGGGATGAAGAGGCAGCAGCGTTCTTCTGGGTGCCATTCGGGGCAGGTGTATCTGCAGCCAAGAGCATTGCAGCAGACATCAAGGGACGGATGGTTTTCACCGGGCACAGGGATGGAAGAGTGCTGGTGTGGAAAATGCGGGAGAGGGGAGCCGAGAGAGAGGGTGCGGCAGAGAGCGAAGGAGCAGCACAGGCACAGGGTAGTAGCAGCAGCAGGGGGGCGGGAGGAGGATGGGTAAAAGCCAGCGGGGGAGCAGCGATAGGCAAGGACGACTCCAGCGTTGGGGGAGGGGAGAAGGAGCCTGGATGGAAAGTATGGGCAGAACTCGTGGCAGAGTGGCAGGCACACACCACCACTGTGACAGCCCTAGTAGTCACTTCTTACGGCGAGCTCTGGTCTGCAGGGGACAGGGGCGTGATCAAGGCGTGGCCGTGGCCCAGCCTATGCAGCGAGCTCTCCCGAGCCTCATCCTCGCCCAGCCCAGCGCCCATGCCGTCCGCTGTTCCTCTTAACAGCACTGCTCCCCTCCGTGCTCCTTGTGTGATATGTCCTGCCTCCGTGCCTGTGCTCCTGCACGCGCCCGCAGCTGCCTCGTCTAACGGCCAGCTGCCACGGAACCGAGTTGCAGTGGCGTCTTCCTCAGCTGCTGCTACTGATGGTGATGGTGATGGTGATGATTCTGGAGCAGCTGGTGGGACAGGAGAAAAGACTCCTGAAACTGCAACAGAAAGAAGCGGCAATGGCAATGGCAGTGGGAGTGGGAGTGTAGCTGCTGTACCATTGGGTATTGGTGGGGGAGGCAGTGGCAGCAGTGCTGCTGCTGGGACCGGTGGTGAGAGCGAGGGTGGCAGTGGGGGCGTGGCGTATGGAGTGACCTCTGTGCGGCGATTGGTGTCAGACCCGGCAACGGGGCAGGTGTGGAGCATTGGGGCTGCTTCCATCTCCATCTGGTGAGCTCATGCGCTCGCACTTACTCAAACAAGCCACTTTCTTGCATGTTATTTCACTCCGCAAGTCGCAGGCCAAAGAGCTAAGTCTTCCTGCAGGTCCCTTAGCTCCAATGACCTCTTTATTTTGGGAGCACACTCAGCTTCAGATTTGGGTTGCGTCTAAACTCCTGGGTTCCCCATCCTCCACCTTTCCGTCAACCTTCCCCTCCAGGGATGCGAGGAAACGAGCGCTGGCGTGTCATGTGAAGGTGAAGGACGAGGAGAGAGCAGCCGCGGATACCTCCTCTGGCCCTGTTGCCTCTGGAGCCAACAGTGCTACAGCCGCTACATCCGCTACAGCCAGCAGCGCCACTGCCCCTGCCAACAGTGCTACTGGCGTCGCTAGTGCCACCAATGGTGGTGCATCTATCGCTTCTAGTGTATCTATTGGTTCAGCCCCGACTGCCAGCGGCAATGCTGAAGCACCAGTGGTGGCAGCAGCGCCACCACCGGGTGAAGACGAGCCCTTGTCTTCCTCCTCTTCCTCCTCTGCCTCCTCCTACTCCTCCTCCTCCTCCCGCCCCCCCAAGCGCAAGCTACACGCGGTGGCGCCAGCTGGCGACGGCACGGTGTGGATCGGGCACGGGTCGGGCATGCTGAGGCAGTACGACTGGGCGGGCGGCAGACTGCAGGAGGTGGTGATGGAGGCCGGCGTGTGTTGTCTCTGTGTGGTGGGGCTGCGGCTATGGGTGGGCACAGCGGATGGGAGCATCACAGTGCTGCATGTGCGCACTGGGAGGGTGATCGGGGCATGGCAGGCTCACTCTCCCCCACCATGCTCCAAGGCAGCAGCTAAGGCCGCACGAGCAGCAGCAGCAGCAGCAGCAGCATTCCCTTCCCCTTCAATTGGAACCGCATCAGACCTGTCTCAACCTTTGGATGATTCAACCCTCTCCTCCCAGGCTTCAACAGCGGCAGCGGCAGCAGCGGCGACACCAGCAGCGATCCGGCAGCTGGCGCGGTGTAGCAGCTTCATAGTGTGTGTGTCCCGCACGGGGCAGGTGAGTGCGTGGCTGGCGGCTATCCCAGGCCCGGTGGACCCGGCACTCCGTGCCACCCTCTCCTCCTCCTCCGCTCTCTTTACATCTCGGCAGAGGTTCCGCCTTGCTGCGTGCACGTGGAACGTCGGGGAGGAGAGAGCGGTGCAGAGGAGTGTGGAGGCGTGGCTGGGGGAGGTGGCAGGAGGGGGGCCAGAGAGGGAAGGAGCAGATGGAGCAGACCGGGCGGGGAGAACGAGTGTGGGGAATAGGGCTGGGGAAGCAGTGGATGTGGGGAATGGGGCAGGGGGGGGAGCGGATATAGTGGCAGTGGGGTTGCAGGAAGTGGAGATGAACGCGGGGGCGATAGCCATAGCAGCAGCCAAGGAGTCGGTGCGTCTGGGCCTGCAGGAACGGGGTTCGGCGCTGGGGGCGCACTGGGTTGCGACGATTGGCGCTGCTCTGGCGTCCAGAGGGGCGTTCGTGCGGATCGTGTCGAGACAGATGGCGGGGATTCTCATCACTGTGTGGTGAGAGCGTGGGAGGGAGTGTGTGTGGGGGGGGGGGGGGGGGGAGGAGGGAAGGATAGGGAGTAGCTCATCTGAAAGCACACATGAACTTCCCCAGCCAGCGCATTTTGAAGTGAAGCACTGAATGCACATAGAATTACATAGTTGCAGCCCTGACTAATACCTTCGTATTAAGTGTCAGGCTCAACTGAACGTCTCTCAAACTCGCCCTCCTTCACCCTCACCTGCAACCTCGTCTCAACCTCTGTGGTCGATTCTATCCTCCCTTGTTCTCGTGTCGCTCAGGGCGAGGGCATCGTTTGCCCATCTCATTCGGGACGTGGAGGTGGGGGCTGTGCCTCGGGGGTTTGGCCGCACATTGGGCAACAAGGTGAGCGCCACGCCGAGGAGGCAAAGACTGCAGTTTTCACGAATTATCCTTAGCAGCATATCTCGCACTTCAGCAAACTTGGGAGAAAGTGTGTTATGGAGGAAAATTGGAGAAAACTTGGTTGGAACTTGGAAGGATATTTTTTTTACCTTCATGCCTACTCCCATGTGCCTACTCCCATGTGCCTACTCCCATGTGCCTACTCCCATGTGCCTACTCCCATGTGCCTACTCCCATGTGCCTACTCCCATGTGCCTACTCCCATGTGCCTACTCCCATGTGCCTACTCCCATGTGCCTACTCCCATGTGCCTACTCCCATGTGCCTACTCCCATGTGCCTACTCCCATGTGCCTACTCCCATGTGCCTACTCCCATGTGCCTACTCCCATGTGCCTACTCCCATGTGCCTACTCCCATGTGCCTACTCCCATGTGCCTACTCCCATGTGCCTACTCCCATGTGCCTACTCCCATGTGCCTACTCCCATGTGCCTACTCCCATGTGCCTACTCCCATGTGCCTACTCGCATGTGCCTACTCCCATGTGCCTACTCCCATGTGCCTACTCCCATGTGCCTACTCCCATGTGCCTACTCCCATGTGCCTACTCCCATGCGCCTACTCCCATGTGCCTACTCCCATGTGCCTACTCCCATGTGCCTACTCCCATGTGCCTACTCCCATGTGCCTACTCCCATGTGCCTACTCCCATGTGCCTACTCCCATGTGCCTACTCCCATGTGCCTACTCCCATGTGCCTACTCCCATGTGCCTACTCCCATGTGCCTACTCCCATGTGCCTGCTCCCATGTGCCTACTCCCATGTGCCTACTCCCATGTGCCTACTCCCATGTGCCTACTCCCACGTGCCTACTCCCACGTGCCTACTCCCACGTGCCTACTCCCACGTGCCTACTCCCATGTGCCTACTCCCATGTGCCTACTCCCATGTGCCTACTCCCATGTGCCTACACCATGTGCCTACACCATGTGCCTACTCCCATGTGCCTACGCCCATGTGCCTACTCCCATGTGCCTACTCCCATGTGCCTACTCCCATGTGCCTACTCCCATGTGCCTACTCCCATGTGCCTACTCCCATGTGCCTACTCCCATGTGCCTACTCCCATGTGCCTACCCCATGTGCCTACCCCAGGTGCCTACCCCATGTGCCTACTCCCATGTGCCTACCCCATGTGCCTACCCCATGTGCCTACTCCCATGTGCCTACTCCCATGTGCCTACTCCCATGTGCCTACCCCATGTGCCTACCCCATGTGCCTACCCCATGTGCCTACCCCATGTGCCTACTCCATGTGCCTACTCCCATGTGCCTACCCCATGTGCCTACCCCATGTGCCTACTCCCATGTGCCTACTCCCATGTGCCTACTCCCATGTGCCTACCCCATGTGCCTACTCCCATGTGCCTACCCCATGTGCCTACTCCCATGTGCCTACCCCATGTGCCTACCCCATGTGCCTACTCCCATGTGCCTACTCCCATGTGCCTACCCCATGTGCCTACTCCCATGTGCCTACCCCATGTGCCTACTCCCATGTGCCTACTCCCATGTGCCTACCCCATGTGCCTACTCCCATGTGCCTACTCCCATGTGCCTACTCCCATGTGCCTACTCCCATGTGCCTACCCCATGTGCCTACCCCATGTGCCTACCCCATGTGCCTACCCCATGTGCCTACCCCATGTGCCTACTCCCATGTGCCTACCCCATGTGCCTACCCCATGTGCCTACTCCATGTGCCTACGCCCATGTGCCTACCCCATGTGCCTACCCCATGTGCCTACTCCCATGTGCCTACTCCCATGTGCCTACCCCATGTGCCTACCCCATGTGCCTACCCCATGTGCCTACTCCATGTGCCTACGCCCATGTGCCTACCCCATGTGCCTACCCCATGTGCCTACCCCATGTGCCTACTCCCATGTGCCTACCCCATGTGCCTACCCCATGTTCCTACTCCATGTGCCTACTCCCATGTGCCTACCCCATGTGCCTACCCCATGTGCCTACCCCATGTGCCTACTCCCATGTGCCTACTCCCATGTGCCTACCCCATGTGCCTACTCCCATGTGCCTACCCCATGTGCCTACCCCATGTGCCTACCCCATGTGCCTACTCCATGTGCCTACGCCCATGTGCCTACCCCATGTGCCTACCCCATGTGCCTACTCCCATGTGCCTACTCCCATGTGCCTACCCCATGTGCCTACCCCATGTGCCTACCCCATGTGCCTACTCCATGTGCCTACTCCCATGTGCCTACCCCATGTGCCTACCCCATGTGCCTACCCCATGTGCCTACTCCCATGTGCCTACTCCCATGTGCCTACTCCCATGTGCCTACCCCATGTGCCTACTCCCATGTGCCTACTCCCATGTGCCTACTCCCATGTGCCTACCCCATGTGCCTACTCCCATGTGCCTACCCCATGTGCCTACCCCATGTGCCTACTCCCATGTGCCTACTCCCATGTGCCTACTCCCATGTCCCTACCCCATGTGCCTACCCCATGTGCCTACCCCATGTGCCTACCCCATGTGCCTACCCCATGTGCCTACTCCCATGTGCCTACCCCATGTGCCTACCCCATGTGCCTACCCCATGTGCCTACTCCATGTGCCTACTCCCATGTGCCTACCCCATGTGCCTACCCCATGTGCCTACTCCCATGTGCCTACTCCCATGTGCCTACCCCATGTGCCTACCCCATGTGCCTACCCCATGTGCCTACTCCATGTGCCTACTCCCATGTGCCTACCCCATGTGCCTACCCCATGTGCCTACCCCATGTGCCTACCCCATGTGCCTACCCCATGTAGACGACTGGCGCCACACACATGACATAACCCCCACTATACTGCATACCGTTACCCGCCCCCCTTGCTCTGCCCCCCAGGGAGCGGTGGCAGTGCGCATGAGTGTGTGTGGGCGCAGCGTGGCGGTCATCAGCTGCCATCTCGCAGCGCACATGGAGGGCGTGGCGAAGCGCAACGAGGACTGGCGCCGCATCTACCGCCACCTCTCCTTCTACCGCCCCCAAACCACCCTCGCGGCTGCCTCTTCCGCTGCTAAAGCTGCTGGTGGCGGCTTGAAAGGTGGGTCCCATGCTGTAATGGGCTGATGGGCTGACCATGAGGGCTTGGAGGGTTGTCTTGTGATAGCCTTCGAGTAGTGATGACTGGTGCGGCATCTACCGCCACCTCTCCTTCTACCGCCCCCAAACCACGCGTGCCTCTGCTGCCTCCTTTGCTGCCAAAGCTGCTGGGGGCGGATTGAAAGGTGAGGTGGGATGAGATGAGGATTGGTGGGATGAGGTGAGCAGATTTGAGGGAAGGTATACTGTGGAATCTCATTTTCCATCTCCCCTCATGCCTTTCCCCCACTTCTTCCTTTTCACACAACCAGCTGGTCTGCAGTCGGCAGTGCAGGGCATAGTGAAGGCTGCAGCAGGGGCCGCAGTGGGGGCAGCAGCAGCAGCCGCAGGAGCAGCGGGAGCAGTGGCAGGCGCAGCAGCAGGGGCAGCAGGAGCAGTGGCAGGCGCAGCAGCAGGGGCAGCAGGGGCAGCAGGGGCAGGCGGGGTGGGGGCCGCAGGAGGGGGAGGAGGAGCAGGAGGGGCAGCAGCAGGAGTGGGAGGGGTAGGACTGGGAATAAGTCCAAAAAGGGGCGCATTCGGGAGTGGGCGGCACACTGGGGAGTCAGTGGGCGGGAGATTCGATTGGTCGGACGATGCCACGTCATGGATGGACGATCTGGTCATTGGCCGGGACGGGGAGGAGGTGAGAGAGGAGAGGATCAGGATGGGAAGAGGGGAGGGCGGGGAGAGAGTAGGGGAGAGGGAGGGGAGAGAGGGGTGGAGCGAGGGGGAAAGACTCGGAAGTCGAACAGTGTGCATATTGCATCGCTCCCTCGCCTGCAACCTATTTGTCCCAAATCCTGAACCCTTTCCTACCTTCATCTCCCCATCTCTCCCCATCTCTCCTGCATATGACCTTGTAATTGGACCTGCTGGTGTGAATGGGCAGTGCCGCACAAGCATGCCATGATGCTACAGATGCAGCAGCGCCATTCCACCGCTTCCCCCTCCCATCGCATTCAAGCAGGACTTGGAGGAAATGAAAACGCCAGAGCTGGCAGAGGCGGATCTCCTGGTATGGATGGGCCACCTCAACTACCGAGTGGAGGGTGTGTCACACGAGGCAGCAGCACAACCTGATTCCACCTCTCTCCACCTCTCTCCATCTCTCTCCACCTCTCCCCACCTCCCCCCACCTCTTACCACTTCTCTCCTGTAGGACCTGGAGGAAATGAAGACCCCAGAGTTAGCAGAGGCGGATTTGCTGGTGTGGATGGGCGACCTCAACTACCGAGTGGAGGGTGTGTCACACGAGCAAGCACGGCATCAGGTGGCGGCCCGCAACCTGCCTGCCCTGCTGGCGGGCGACCAGCTGCGCCGGGAGATGGCGTGCGGGCGGGCGTTCCGAGGCATGGAGGAGGGGCTCATCGCCTTCCCCCCCACCTACAAGTTTGACCGTGGCACCCCCGATCCCCTGGGTAGGCTCTTTTTGTTTCAATATGAATTGGCCACTTACGTGCATGGATCTTCAGTGGCTTTCTGACATGTGAAGTGTGCTCTCAAATCCATGTGACCAACAGACAGTCCATCAAAGCAACCAGGCACCCCGTCCATGTCAAATGTCAGTCCTTGGCAAGTCCGTCACGAGTCACATGCACAACATCCTCGGTACCTTCTCTCTTGGCACTGCCTCCTCAGTGTGACTTGCTCACGTACCTCGCACTCAACTCCCCCTCTCACTCCCTGCCTCGCCCCACGCCCTGCCTGTGTGCCCTGTGTGCCCTGTGGGCGCGCTCTGCCCCACGCTCTGCCTCTCTGTTCTGTGCCCTACATCACAGCATATGACTCGGGGGAGAAGCGCCGTGTGCCTGCTTGGTGCGACCGAGTGCTCTTCCGTGACAGCTTCACTCCAAGCCTGCCGCCCACGCTGCCGCCCATACTCGCGCCTTCTCTACCTCTGTCTCTCTCCTTGCCCGCTCCTCCAAACAACCCCAGCCAGCCTCTGTATCCTCCGTCTTCTCCTCCCAATGGCACCACCAGCAGCCCCAACCATATCAGCAGCCCTATTCGTGTCCCCAGCCCCACAATCACCTCCTCAGATCTACCCACCAATTCACCCTCCCCTCTTCCTCCTTCCACAGCAGTAGCAGCAGCAGCAGGCGCCATCACAACAGCAGAAACATGCAGCAGCAGCAGCAGCAGCAGCAGCGACAGTGGCAAGCACTGCATTTATTCACAGAGGGGCAGATGATGATGTCAGCAGCCCTGCACTGAGTAGTGAAAGTGCAGCTGTCCTGGATGGTAAGCAAGGGCTTGGTAGCAGCACGAGTAAGGATGGGGATCTCAGCTCCCAGGCACCTGTTGGTCTCACCACTGCTTCTCCTGCTCCTTCTGCTACTGCTTCAGCTTCTTCTGCCGCTTCTGCTGCTGGGTCCGCTCCTGCTGCTCCTGGTGCCGGTCTAACTGCGAGTCTGAGTGTGAGCACACCCCAAAGAGAGATCGAGCAGCAGGAGTGCACACTCGCGCAGCCAGTGAAGGCGCATGTACTGCGCTATGATGCATGCATGGAGGCCATTCAGAGCGACCACAAGCCAGTCCGATGCCTCTTAGACGTCTCCGTTGCTTCTGTCGATCTGCCCGCCACAAGGTGCCTGCTCGGGCGGCTTCTTACTCTCAGCTCCCAGGTCCGGGCAGCCCTGCAGAATTCGCACCACCTGCCTGACGTGCCAGCTGCCGGCACGTGTGTGGATGTGGATCCTTCGACACGGCAGGCTTCGGTGATTGTCATGAATCGGAACGAAAGTGACTCTATGGGGTTCATAGTGCAATGCGAGGGAGAGACTGTTTCCCACTCTGGAAGGAAGGAAGAACAGGGAGCGATCGAGGGCGGGAGGGATGAGGGGTCTGAAGGAGGGAAGGACATGTTGGGAGGCACCAGCGGCGGCCGCGGGCGAGGGGATTGGCAGAGGAGGCAGATGGTGCGGGCAGGTGGTGGATTTCCTCTCTGGCTCAAGGTACTGCTCTGCTCCCCTCCTGTGTTCTGTTGCTAAGCTTTTTCGTTGAATCCCTTTCGGTCAAACTTATTACTGGTTGCTGTATCCTCAACTGCTGTTCCTAGTGCTCTGCTCTTGACCTCCCATGACTGTGCCTGTGGGTTGTCATGTGCAGGTGCTACCTGGGGCAGGCATTCTCATTGCGGGCGGCAGCATGACCATCAACTTCTGTGTGTCCACTTCCCATGCTGCACCACCTGATTCTCCTGCTGCCACGGAGCACACAGAGAAGAAAGGGCACACAGGGCACACAGAGCAGCATGAGCAGCAAGAGCCACGTAGCGGCCTACTGTTACAGCTACTGGAGGTGAATCCTGTGAGAAGGACTGATGAGGCGACAGAGGTGGGACAGGAACAGGTGCGTGGGCAGGAGCAACGGGCAGCAGCAGGAGAGGGTGAGAGGGTGTTAAACATGTCCCTCACCACCTGGGGCCCAGCGCCCGTCAACACACACACGCACCGCTTCTCGCTCCGCATCCCACGCTCCCTGCGCCTCCCATTTGAATGTTTTGAGCCAGCCTTCAGAGACGAGTGTCTGGGGTAAGCAGGAAGTATGCAAGTGAAGTAATTCATTCTGTACATAGCCAGACCAGTGGCCAGGCTTTCGAGCGCGAGATCTCCAGCACCAGCCTAGCCTTCTAGCCCATTTTGTCACACTTGGCCATGCACGTTTGTGTGGCCAAGTTCTGTTCAGGCTTACATGAGTACCGTAGGTTCATAATATTTGAGCAGGTGTATCCAGCTTTGAAAGGAGGAACATGTACACAGCCTCCTGTGTGCTTTCTAGTCATCGAGGAGCACTGAAGTGCTCACTGCTGTCCTTCAAAACAATGTTTTGTAGGTTGTGTTTCATATACAGGTTGCTTCTATGGTACATTTGTACTGTCTGCAGGTTACAACAATAAATTAGCAGGTGAGAAGTGTTGATTCCGTTCTCTATTGCTTCGCTCTTTTGTCTTTTCACATGGGACAAGAATGTTCATGATGCGTTACAAGAACATACCCGCCGTCACTTTCACACTTCCGACCAATCCCTGCGAGGCTGGTGCGACGCGCGGAAAATCCACGAAAGCTGGCATTCCGCCACTCTCGCTGATGAAAGCTCCCCCAAATCGTGCGAAACGCGCGGGTCATTTCTGCGAAGTCAGGTAGGCCTGGGCGAAAATTGCGATAGCAGCAGCATCACCTTCCAGGCTCCAGGCCCAGCACTTCGCAGAAACCCACCCCGCTAGCTCCCTTCCAGCAACCAGCAGCGCCGCCGTCACCCGTTACAGCAGCAGCACCCACCCATGCTTCCGAATTCGCGCCTACTGTACCCTCCCTCCATCTCCAGCCTCCATCCCATCCCATCCATCCCATCAACCCCGCATTTCGCATTTGGTCGGCGCTACGAGAAAAAAACTCGGAGTGCTTATTGCTTGTCAGGGTAGAAACCGTCTTTTCTGGTTCCAACCGTCTTTTCTTTTCCGTCAATCACATTCGTAACCCCAATAACTCCTCGTTTGCTGTAGACCCGTGAGCACACAGTTGAGTTCTCCTTTGTGTGAATCCCACCGCTAGATCTGTCGTTGACTCGTTTTGTACACACGCAAGCAGCCGTGGTGGCAGCGCATCGCCATGACTGCGCGCATCTCGCGCATCCCCGCATTCGGCGACTGGGCTCTCGACGACCACGATGACAGCCAGGGCGACGCGTCGGAGCGTCGATTAAAGTACACTCACGAGTTCGCGCTCCTCCGCCAGAAGCCCCGCGGGCCTCCCTCCCCGCACTCCCTACTTCTGGACGCCGCCTCTTTCGACTCCGCCACCCCTTCCCTCTCCCCTTTGTCCTCCACACCTTCCGCCGCCTCCGCCTCCTCCGCCGCGTCTGACGCTTCCGTCGTTTCCGCCTCTTCCTTTGTCACAGCATCTCGGCATTCCCGAGGTTCGAGCAGCGATCGAAATGGTGACGACAAGAGCCTTCCTGCGACTACGAGAGACACGATCACAGGGATCCGCGATGACGTGGACAGAATCCTGGCGTCCACGTCAGCCTTGTCCCCTGTGTCTCCAGCTGCGGACACGTGTCTGTTCCCGCAATGGGCGCCGATCCTTCCGCAACGGCGAATCAGCCAGGGACGGAAAGGCGGGTTCCTTACAGCTAGCAGCAGTAGGAGCAGCGGAAAAACCGTCAGCAGGAGCAGTGATCAGCAGCGGCAGCAGCGGCGGCGGCGGCTGCAGCAGTAAGAATGCGAGCAAGCGGAGGGAGCTCCCGGTGCTGTTAAACTCATCCCAGCTCGATCAACTCAACATGCCTCCGCCACCGCCGCTGCTCCCTCTCTCCGCCAGCTCCTCCCTCCAAGCTTCCGATTCCGGTGCCGACTCCGCGGACGCGTTGATCGCCGCCAACGATGCCGACGATCCGAGCTCGTTTGCGGGACATCGCGCTGCCGAATGCGCGTCGCCGCCTCATCGCCATGATGACGATCACAGCGGACACGACTCCCCGTCTTTCGACTCCCCTCCCCTTCCGCGGTATTCCTTCACCTTTCACGCGCCGGCGGTTCCTGGGGCGCTTTGCGCTTCAGGCGCCCCCTGCGCCGATGCTTTCGCCCCAGGCGCAACCAGCGGCGAAGCCTCCCCAGGCGAGGCGGCGGAGCGGGTCCGGCAGCGGCTGCGCAACTCGCGCAGCCTCCGCATTTCCGTCTCGCGCCAGCTCATGGACAGCAGCAACAGCGCGCCCTCCTCCCCCGTGCGCGCATCCGGCGCATTCGGTTCCCCCTTCGGCTCCCCCTCCGCATTCCCCTGTGAAGGTGGCGGCGCATCCGCGACCCCTGGGCGGAGAGGGTCGCGCGCGCAGGACGCGGCGGCGGCGGATAGATGTTGGGATGACTCGTCAGTGCTGGCGCTATTAGAACACAGCCGGCTGTGCCGCCAGGAGGTGGTTCAGCTGCTCGGGCTGTGCCAGCCTGGCCTCGCCCCGCTTGCGCCGTCGGCGCAACCTGCGCCAGTCGCGCCAGTTGCCGAAGTTGCGGAGGTCTCCGCGGTCGCTCCAACCGCGCCAGCTGCGCCGCGCGCGCCTGGTGCGCCAGCGGTGTCGAGTGCGGGGCTCCTGAAGGAAACCAGCGGGGGTGGACGTCAGGCGGAAGCCTCTGGAGGGGCGCACACAGCAGCTGGTAGTACAGGTGAAGCGCGGTTCAAGATCGAGACAGCGTGCGCTGAGAGCAGAGCAGAGCCGGTCAGCAGCTCACCATGTGCGAGTGCATGCCCTGCTGGCATAACAGCGCTGCATGCCCACCCTGACAGCGCCATGGCACATAGGACTGAGACTGATGCCGGGAAGAATGACAAGTCGCTGACTGGAAGTGCGGGCGGAAATGCAGGTGGCAGTGTGGCCGGAAGTGCGGGTGGAGGTATAGTTTCTTGCTGCCCTGGTACGGGGGGTATGGACGGAATGGGCAGAGCAGCATTGCGCATCGCAGCAGCCCCACGTGCTCCGTGCAGTGTTGCTCCCTCACAGCCACGGGGCAGGGCTGTCCCCCCCACCATGTCATCCGCGCTAAAGTACAATGCGGGTGCGGAGGATAAGGGGTTTAGCGTGATGTTTGCAGAGATGCGGCAGAGACGGCAGCAGGAAAGGGCAGCTGCTGAAGCCACAGGTAATGCTGCTGCTGCTGCTGCTGAGTCTGCTGAGGTTTTCGAGGAGAAAAAGATCCAGGATGCAACTGTAGCAGCAGGTTCTTGTGAAGACATGAGCACAGTCAGTAGCAGTCCCCCCAGGGCCAAAGCTGCCTGTCGCGCCAGTAAAGGCCTACAGTGGATTGGCGTTCGGGCGGACGATATGGATTTTATTCTCAAAGAGTTGGCAGAGGCAGCCATGGGAGGAGGGGAGGAGGTGGCAGGGTTTGATGAGTTTGCGGGAGAGGAGACTGAGGACGATGGAGGGAGATTATCGGAGAGTGATTATGTCAGTGAGGAGACTAGTGATTGTGACTGCAGTGAAGCGGAGAGACAGGACAATGAGTTGATAGCAGTGCTGAGGAGAGTTCAGGGCAGGGAATGGTGGGGTGGAACCTGTGCGGGCGGTGGACATGAAGAAGTTGGTCAGCATTGGTTGAGACGAACTCAAAGCAAAACCAAGGTACGGCTGCTTTATGTGTGTGTGCTGCTATCCCTTGTATGATTTCTGATAATTTCTGATCCTTAATGATCCTTCCATGATTTCTGATAAACTTCTTTCACTTTTTCTCTTTGCAGGCTGTTTTCCGTAAGCTGCGGTATCTGGTTTTGGGCAGGCCATCTCAAGTAGCGCCGTAAAAGTCATGCAGATTTCGCAGACTGCAAATAGTGAAGCCAGGAGTTTTGTTAAAACGTTTTATCTGTGCATATGATTGCATGTTTATGTGGAGAAAATGGAAATTCAGAATGCGCGCTTGTACTTTGCACAATCATGTAGCTGGTTGCATTTGCCAGAACTCCAAGCACATTCCGTGTGAACGACATTATCGAGGGGATCGTGTCGGGACATGACCAACCAATTGTGTCACCTTCACTTCACTGCAACCTCGATTCTAACCTCCGTTGGAGGGAAACCTCGATTTTGTCATTGCCCCTCCGTCCTTCTTTGCACTCCGCCAGTAATTTTCCGTCTTGGTTCTGAACCGCTATGGAAATGCTCCAACCAACTCCACTTCCCAGACTCCTACAGTCTAGCCTCTTACTAGGCAGGTAATTACTTGTTGTTCTGGTAAACTATTTCGGGTCCCCCTTTCGTAGAGTAATTTAGGATTAGGCCTGCAAGCTAATCGAAGGACGAACTATTGGTGTCAGTCGCTATCGAGGAGTGCCACATTGTTTCAGGTACCTGCGGTTTTTTAGAGTCGCTGCACGTCGAATGGTGCCTGTCTTTGTGCCGAAATGTTGACCAGAAAAATTAGTCGGACTGTATTATAGTCAACAATACCGACCTTTAAACGGTCTGATGTCTAGCCTATCGAGCCTGTTTATCGTTGACCCGATATGCGTCTAAGCTTAACATACCTAACTCTAAACTAACTTTCCATTGTCCACCTTTAGCTGTCGTCAGCCTCTTAGGTAGGTATCCAATGGGCGCTTGCGCGGGAAAAGAGGCCCCGCGAACGTCCGATCGTTCAGATTACGTAGCGCAGACTCCACAGCAGCAGCAGCAGCAGCAACAACAACAGCAGCAGCACCAGCAGCAGCAACAGCAGCAGCAACAGCAGCAGCAGCAGCAGAAGCCGCCTCCGCCTAGCAATGTCGCACCTCACCAAAACTCCTCGGCAGCATCCGCGGTTACAGCGGTTCCAAACCAATCCGACGGTCCTCCCGCGCAGCCGCGAAACGACGTCGTTCTTCACAACCCTTTTCCCGAAATGGTAGACCGATCCATTGCAGAGTTCTTCGTGTTAGGCAGAGAGCTAGGGCGCGGCGAGTTCGGAGTGACGTGTCTCGCGACCAGCAAGGCGACCGGCGAGCAGGTGGCCGTTAAGTCTATCCCTAAGCGGAAATTAAAGACGGCCGTGGATATCGAGGATGTGCGGAGGGAGGTCGCGATTATGCACCATTTACCGCCGCACCCTAACATCGTGGGGCTTAAAGGGGTATTTGAGGACCGGCACGCGGTTCACATTGTTCAGGAGCTGTGCGAAGGCGGGGAGCTGTTCGAGCGGATTATAGCGAGGGGACATTATAGCGAGCGAGCGGCGGCTGTTATCACACGGACTATTGTGGAGGTCGTGCAGGTGCGTGTGAAGGGTGCTGATTACTGTCTTGTTGGTTCCTTGTTAGTGGGGAATGTGACGTGCAGGTGAGCGGGAATGGCGCTGATGAGTGTGCTACGGAAGTCGTGCTGGTGAGCGGAAAACGGAAGGTGAGTGGGAGAGAATAGAAGCTGGTATAAGAGGAAGAGACGGAATGGAAGTTGTTTTTTAATGGTACAATAGAATGGCAATGGTACACTGAAATGGAACGGAAAGGGATAGGCGCGGGAGGCAGATGACAACGTAAAGAACCGCAACAAACCGGTAAAGGGCACGCGCAAAGCAAGTAATTTTCAAAGCTGCAGTGAGTAATTTAACTTCTATTGCGCCGTCGCCGCCCTTCCATATCACCTTCTCCACCTCTTTTGAAACATCCAGAGGCCCTTGCGTGTCCTCCACGCCACCCCATTCCGTCCCATGCGTCCCAAAATCACGGAGTAGTGCACCAAACGTAAAGCCCAACCCTGCTAGCAAGAAGGAAGACTTTGAAAGGCCTTGCATTGCTGCACCCCCTCTCCACCCGTCCCCACCCGCAGGTGTGCCACAAGCACGGGGTGATGCACCGGGACTTAAAGCCCGAGAACTTCCTGTTCGCGAACAACCAGGAGGACGCGGCGTTGCGAGCCATCGACTTTGGGCTGTCCATCATGTTCAAGCCGGGCGAGACGCTGAGCGAGATTGTGGGCAGCCCGTACTACATGGCGCCCGAGGTGCTAAGGAAGAACTACGGGCCCCTGGCGGACGTGTGGAGCGCGGGCGTCATTCTCTACATCCTGCTCTGCGGCGTGCCCCCCTTCTGGGCAGGCAAGTCCCCGTGCTGCTCTGCTCACTGCAACCCCACACACAAATCCCCCCGCGCCGTTCTCATTCCCTCATCCCTCTCACCCCCTCACACCCGACCCCCACCCCCCTCTCTCTGTCCCCTGCCAACCCTCCCCATGTCGCCTCACGGCACCAGAGACGGAGCAAGGAGTGGCGCAGGCGGTGCTGCGGTCGCAGGTGGACCTGAAGCGGGACCCATGGCCCAAGGTGTCGGACGGGGCCAAGCACCTCGTCATGCTCATGCTGCAGCCCGACACCTCCAAACGCCCCACTGCCCAGCAAGTCCTTCGTGAGTGTTCCTCCTCTCTTCCTCCACTCCTTCTCTGCCTCCTCTCTCCCCTCCTCCCTCCTCTCGTCTGCTAGCTTGTGTCTGCTCGAACCATACTCGCCTGCCTCCTCGTTGAAGGCAGACTCTCATCCTGATTGTGCCAAACATGCCTTCCCCCAACGCCCCCTCTTCCCCCCCACCACCCCCCACTCCCTCCTTCCGCTCCCTCCTTTTTTCCCTCCCCCACTCCCTCCTTCCGCTTCCTCATTGCCTGCGCCCATTCAGAGCACCCGTGGCTGAGGGATGCCAACGAGTCGACTTTTGAGGCACCTCATAAATGTACCCCCTCCCCCCCCCCCCCCCCCCCCCCCCCCGGCCCCCTCCCCCCCTCTTCCCCTCATTCCCATCGCCTGCGCCCATCAGAGCACCCGTGGCTGAGGGACGCCAACGAGGCGCCAGACACGCCACTGGGAGTGGAGGTGCTGTCGCGCATGCAGTCGTTCCAGGCTATGAACAAGCTCAAGAAGAAGGCTCTCAAGGTGAGCTGCTTTCTGCTGCTGCTGCCACTCGAGACACCAACACCATTGCCATTCCCCCCCCCCCCCCCCCCCCCCCCCCCACCCCACACACACACACACTGCAGTCGTTCCAGGCCATGAGAAAGCTTAAGAGGAGGGCTCTCTAGGTGAGTTGCTGCTGCCAGCTTACGTAGAGTCACATCAAATCACTTGGTGCTGGAGGGTTTTATACGCAGCATGCCTTTAACCTGCCACACTGAACCCCTTTCTCACCCTGCATCCCTCTCACTCTCCCCTCATCCCCCCCTCACTCGCCTCCCCAATCGCCCCCTCAATCCCCCATCACCAGGTGATAGCGGACCAGCTATCATCAGCGGAGGAGCTGCAGGGCCTGCAGAAGGTGTTCAAGATAATCAACGAGAACGGGCTCGAGGCCCCGCTTGCTGTACCCCTTGCTCACTCTACCTCTAATCCCCCTTCCCGCCAGGTGATCGCGGACCAGCTATCCTCAGCGGAGGAGCTGCAGGGCCTACAGGAGGTGTTCAAGATCATTGATGAGAACGGCGACGGCACGCTCACCCTCGAGGAGCTCCGCAACGGCCTCCGCCGCATCGGCTCGCCGCTCTCCGATGCTGAAGTGCAGGCGCTCATGGACGCGGTGAGTGCAGGCGCTCATGGACGCGGTGAGTGCATTCCCTGGCTGTGTATGGATTGCATTGATGTATGTCTGTGTTTGTTCCCAGCAGTCCTTGCGTCCGTCGCATCACCACGCCGCCAACACTGCATCTGCTGCGTGTTTTGAGTCGACTCAACATCCCCCCCACACACGCACCCCCACCCCCCGCCCACCCAGCCACCCACCCACAGGAGGACATCGATGGCAACGGGGAGATTGACTACAGCGAGTTTGTGGCGGCAACAATGCATCTGCAGCGCGTCTTTAGACGACTCCCCCCCCCCCCCCTCTCCTCCCCCTCCCCCTCCCCTCTCCTCCCCGATCCACCACAGGCGGACATTGATGGCAATGGTGAAATCGACTACAGCGAGTTTGTGGCGGCAACGATGCATCTGCAGCGCGTGGACAACGAGAAGAACCTGCAGGCGGCGTTTGACTTCTTTGACTCGGACCGCAGCGGGTTCATTGACATTGAAGAGCTGGCTGATGCACTGGGCGCGGACCTCACTTCGCTCAAGGAGATTCTGGCTGAAGTCGACACCAACAATGTGAGTCAAGCAAAGAGTGTGCATGTCACATGCCATTGACATGCCGATAGCATGTCAATAACATGCCAATAGCATGCCAATAACATGCCAATAGCATGCCAATAACATGCCAATAGCATGCCAATAACATGCCAATAGCATGCCAATAACATGCCCCAAGCATGCCAAGAGCATGCCAGTAATAAGGCCATAACCTGCCCATAACCTAGCATGCCAATAACATGCCAATAGCATGCCAATAGCATGCCAATAACATGCCAATAGCATGCCAATAACATGCCAATAACATGCCAATAGCATGCCAATAACATGCCAATAGCATGCCAATAACATGCCCCAAGCATGCCAAGAGCACGCCAGTAATAAGGCCATAACCTGCCCATAACTAGCATGCCAATAACATGCCAATAGCATGCCAATAGCATGCCAATAACATGCCAATAGCATGCCAATAACATGCCAATAACATGCCAATAGCATGCCAATAACATGCCAATAGCATGCCAATAGCATGCCAATAACATGCCCCTAGCATGCCAAGAGCATGCCAGTAATAAGGCCATAACCTGCCCATAACCTAGCATGCCAATAACATGCCAATAGCATGCCAATAGCATGCCAATAACATGCCAATAGCATGCCAATAACATGCCAATAACATGCCAATAACATGCCAATAGCATGCCAATAACATGCCAATAACATGCCAATAGCATGCCAATAACATGCCAATAGCATGCCAATAGCATGCCAATAACATGCCCCTAGCATGCCAAGAGCATGCCAGTAATAAGGCCATAACCTGCCCATAACCTAGCATGCCAGTGGCATTGAGGCACTGGCAGGCGCTTTAAGAGCCGACCTCATGTCGCATAAAGAGATCTTTGCTGAAGTGGACACCAACAATGTGCTGTGTGTTGCTCAAAACTGCCCATAAGCCGGCAATAACATGCACATGACATGGCTCTGAAGCACAGGATATGTGCGTCTGTGCTTAGCTGCCCATTACATTCACTTGCTCATCTCTCTGCCCCTCTCCCCCGTCTCTCTGCTCCTCCCTCCCATGGCTGCTGCTATCGCCCCACAGGATGGCAAGATCAGTTTTGATGAGTTCAAGGTGATGATGCGCAAGGGCACGGACCTGAGGGGTAGTCTGCGCCACTTCTCTAAGAGCCGCTCCTCCCTGCGCGCCCTGCTCAAGCTCAGTGAAATCGACTTGGCTGGAGGCCCCACCGATGGCACCCCCGCTAATTCTTGACTGTGGTTCTTTCTTGATGTGTGGCTGGTGGGGTGGGGTAGGCATGGACAGGAAAATTCCTATCTAGTTTGTTCTGTATAAATGGGTGTGAAATGCCTGACCACCCTTCGCTTGTTTGTAGCTTCTTGATTTCCGGTTCTCAGGGTAGGTGCAATGCAAAGTGTATGTCGCGCTGGCTCTTTGGAGGGAGTTAGCTGAATAAGGGTGTAGTGGGCTGAGGCTGGCTGGAGCTGTATGATTTGCTTGTTGCTGTAGCTTCTAACAATATAAGGCTGAAAACATATCAGTCCTTTCTGCTCCGTTGTAAGTGTTTTATATTGTCACAGTATCTCCACCAGCTATATTTTGCAGGAAGGACGAAAAGGTCAACGAGATCAAAGGCGGCGCTGACGTTGACCTACCTGTTGTTACACCTGAAGTGCCCGACTGCACAGGCGAACATGTTCTGGTAACATCGCCAGCTTTCGGCATTGCTCAACTAACCACGTACACACGATGCCCAACCAGTGCACGCGAATTTGCCTTGCGCAGGATGGAAACCCTGCACCCGTGTATTTTGTGCCAGCCAGTTGCACCCCATCTACAAGCACCCCAAACTGAAGAGACCGGGGTCAAATTGTCAACGCTTAGTTACAATTCTCCATCTGCCCTTTATAAGCCCTTTTTGCTAAGTGCGAATTGACGAAATTCAGACGAAATCCAAAATCACTTAAAAGCCCAGAGGGTAAGGCGAGGTCGGGGGGCTCAACCGGGCATCGTGTGTATAGCCGCTGTCGTATGGAACATGTCGATCATCGTGGCGTGTCGCACTCGCCATTCCTGATTGGCACGACACCACCGAAATCAGCGAAACCAGTTCGGGCAGGTGTCCATTCCCTGCAGGGGCCCCGCACTCCGTGGGCGGCACGGGGCGAAAGCGCTGACCCAGTCATACCGAAAATGGGCAGGCAGAAGGAAAGTGTAAACAGCTTCAGATGGGAGAGAGCGGGCAGGTGCGACAGCCCCACCTACCACTTTTTCACGAAGTTTCGGCGGACGGGGCAGACCCGGTGCAGATTTCTGTTTGCCCGCACCGACTAATCTGCCCAGCGCATCAGGTTCTCAGCGAGTCAAGATGTTTTTTTCTTGGCCGAGTTCCCATGTCGAAGGGGGGCTACATGCTCCCCTCCAGCACATTCGTGAGCATGCTTCTGTCGCGTTTGCATTTGTGGACCAGGAATGCTAGGCAGGCGCAACCGTCCCCCCTGACGCGTATTTCGTCGTGGTGTTGTATATATTCCTCCTGACGGCTTCTAGCTCGTGATCGAGCTCATCAAACGCTTCTTCTTTCACTTCCGTTTCTGTTCTTCAGTCTCTGTTCTTTTGCGCACCATCGCCAACGTAACGCGCGCCAGAAAAAAAAATTGATTGTAGCAACCAATAGATACTTTCTCCTTTCCAGTTCAGTTCTTTTCTTAACCCCGATGCGGCGCATCGCCTTCACAGCGGATGCGCTACTACCACCGCTCCTCACGGCGGCGCTTCTATTGGCGCTTTTTCACGCCGCGGCTCTTCTGGGAGTGGCTTCCGCTGCAGCGGCGCATCCGCCGATCATCTCTCGCGAATTGCGCCGACTCCCGGACACAACAGGGGTTTTGCGTGCAGTATTCCGCGGATCCAGGAATTCCGGAGTTTTTACATCGGCGCGAAGCGCGAACCGCAGTGCGACAGCGGCAGGTGATCGGGGGATACGCGATGGCCCGATCTGCGGTGCAGAATCGGCAGAGGCTCGCGCGGTGCGGGGATATGCGGCGCTGTGCGGTGATGAGGCCGCGGTAGAGGCAGCGGAGAGGGATGAGGCGGAAGAGGAGAGGCGGAAGGAACTGGCGGAGGACGCGGGGGCGGGCGAAGGCGAAGGGGAAGGGGAAGGGGAAGGGGAAGGGGAAGGGGAAGGGGAAAATCCGCTCCCCTCTGTGTTTGAAGGGCCGCAGTTGCCGCATTCGGACGGGCTGGTTACCGTTGCAGGTGTAACCAACCGCCGATACAGGACAGATGAACAACAGCAGGAGGAGCAGGAGCGGGAAGAGGAAGAGGGGGACCAGGATCAAGGGGAGGAGGAGGAGGAGAACAGTAGGAAGAAGCGACAGCTGTGGGAGGAAGCAGGGCCTTACTATGGTACCGGGATTTATGGCTCCAGGTACTCCCACAGGCCGTCCGGGCACCAGCAGTGGCAGCAGCAGCTGCAGCGGCGCTCGCAGAGACACGCACGGACTGCAAGTCTTCAAATCAAGCAGCAGCAGCAGCAGCAGCAGCAAGGGCCGCGGCAGTGGCAGGCGCAGGGGGGGAAGCAGCAGGAGGCGGGAGAGGCGCCGGAGTGGGCGAAGCGGGAGCAGCAGCGGTGGGAGCGGGACCAGCGGCCGCAGACAGCAGAGGAGATTGCGATGCAGGAGGAGCACTGGCGGCAGCAGCAGGCGCTGGTGAAACAGCGGCTGCGACAGTGGCGGCAGCAGGCGAAGCGGATGAGACAAGTGACCCGAGCCAAGGAGGCCGTGTGGGCGGCAGAGGCGAGGAGCAGATGGGCGGCAGCGGCGCAGGGGCGGGAGAGGGCGGCAGGGGCGGCAGAGAGGTATGCTGTAATGACAGAAGACGACATGGATGACATGATGCCGGGCGGCACACTCTCCTGGCAGCGCCTGAAAGCCTCCGCCACTACCGCCAACCCCAACACACCCGACAATCTCAAGGCCACCATCGCCACCGTCAGTCCCAAGGTCACCGTCACTCCCAAGGCGGCAGCAAAGCCATGCTCCCCGCGGCACAGCAGCCCGGTGATCAAAGTCTTTTCAGTGTCAGACATTGCCAAGCGCACGCGCTACTCTCCCCGCCAGACCGTCACCCTCGTGCTCTACCGCTCGATATCCCTCTCCCGTGGGCTCCTCTTCGGGACCAACTTCTCCTGCACCATCTTCCGCTCGCGCTCCCTGCCTTCCCGCCACTCCATCTCCCTCTCTCGTTCAGACGAGCCCGTGCTGCGCGTGCACAACGCCAGCAACATCGTGTTCATCGGCATCGGGCTGCGCAGCGCCGTGCGCAACTCCTCGCCCTTCTGTGAAATGCTGCCCGAATACGGAAATTTGATGGGATATGAAATCATCTGCCCGGCTCTCCACGTCTACCGCTCCTTCGGGATTCAATTCACCCAGGCTTCCGTGATCGGCCGAATCGACGTCTTCCGATCCGGCTACACAAAGCTGGACTCTCTCTTTGTAACCGCCCCTGGGACTTACGAGCGGTCACCTGGAGTGATTCGCATGGGCATGTGTGGGCTGGGCATGACCCTGGTTTCGTCCAAGAATGTGATTACCAACAACGATGTGTTTGGAGCCTGGGAGCTGATTAACCTCTACCGCGGGTCCATCGGCGTGAAGGTTCATAATAACTTCCTCCATGATTATTTGTTCGCGGGGTTCCGGTGTGGCGCTGACGTGCACTACTCGTGGGACTGCATGCTGACGTCAGTGAAGAACAATTTTGTCTTCACACCTCAGTCCAAGGGCCGCCTGACGTTTGACTCGGCGGGGATCTACTTCTGCACCCACTGGTTCAACCCTGGTAAGCGGCCTTTGCTTTGATTGACTCTGATTCAATAAGTGCATGTAAGTGTCTATTAACGCTGGTTCAACCCCCAGCCTGTAGGCTGAAACTCTATGATCCTGAATTATTCCTACTTCACCCCACCCCACCCCATCCAACCCCACCCCACCACAGGCAGCGCTGTTGCCTGCAACTATGTGATAGGCGGGGACCACTGCTACTACCTGGACTACTGCACGTCAGGCGTGGACATCACAGGGGGCGTGTGCGCGCAGCTGTGGGACGGCGTGAAGCTGAACAACGGCAAGCGCAACAAAATCCGCAGCCTGCTCATGGTCAGCCTGGGGCAGAGCCCCGGGTACATTACCTGCCTCACTGTCACCATCAACCACTGTGGGAAGGACCCTGGGACCTATTGGGAAAGGATGAGGAAGAGATACTACGACTCCCCGGAGATCAATAAGGTGAGGCTTTTCCTCCTTCCATCCCACCTCCTTCCCCAGTTTTACCCCCTTCACCACCTCTTTCCCCATCTCTCCTCCAACCTCTCACCACCTCTCCCCACCTCTCGCCACCTCTTGTCATCTTCCTTGTTCCTCGCTTACACCGTGCCTCACCTCTCCCCACGTCTCCTGCCATCTCTCCTCCAATTCTCCCCGCATTCCTCCCCCCCCACCACCAGCTATGGCCGTGGATGAAGCATGTATGCAGACAAACACGCATCGGATCGCAGCCCTGCAACCCCGCGGGTCACAAGGCTCTCACCTCCAAGCAAACCGGCGCCTGCAGCGGCCTTCCCACCGAAAACGACGTTGAGCTCATCGCAGTAGATGCCGACACAAGCCGCCCGGACGAGTACCGGTACTGCGGGCGGGTGCCTGCCGCCCGGAAGGTGAACCGGCAGGTGCTCTACAGGTACACTGGCGACGAAATGCGGTTTCGCGATTATAGTAAAGGGGATTATGGGGTAAAAGCGGACTCGATAGTGTATAAGAAGCACAAGGGATTTGTTTCGTGCCCGAGAGCGAGAGTTGGGATCATGCCGGTATCGGTACAAACGTATTACAAGGACTGGAATATACCAGCTCCTACATTCTACAGGAAGATGGTAGCATTGTCATATAATGTTATATATAATAATGATATGTATTAGGTAGCTGTCTGTTAGCATGATTCTTTCATTGATGTATGCTTGTATATCAGCAGAATGAATGAATAAACAGTGACCACTTATTCCTGGCACCGTACAATCGCTGATAACCATGCAGCAATACATAGCCTCAGACGGTGTTAGGAACAAAGCAGTGCATCAAAGCAGTGCATCAAAGCAGTGCATCCAACCAAGGTAACTGGTGTTAATTTGCACATATAGTAGCTTAGACTGGACAGGAGGAAGGCAGCATATGTGTCACAGCAACAAGGGGTGCGCCCTATGATCTCCAAGGCTACTTCTCCGCCGCTTCCGAAGTCACAGCGGTGCACAGGATGGCTCTTGCAGCCAGCATGCCATCCACTGCAGCACTCGCAATCCCCCCCGCGTGCCCTGCTCCGTGCGCACCCTGCTCCGTGCGCACCCTGCTCCGTGTGTACCCTTGAGTTACTTTTCAGTCAGTTCAGAAGCAGCAGCTGTGCGAAGGATAGCTCGAGCAGCCAGCATGCCATCCACAGAAGCGCTCACGATGCCCCCTGCGTATCCCGCACCTTCACCTATCGGGTACAGCCCTGGCAGAGACATACTCTCATAGCTCTCTACTCCCCGCTCCACCCGCACTGGACAGCTCGTGCGCGTCTGGTGGGATAATGATGATGGGATGGTGTGGAGGTGGGGAGACAAGGTAAGGTACGGTAAGTTGCATCCAGACATCAACACTATCCCGAAGCTGTCTACCCATCGCTCCACCCGCACTGGACAGCTCGTGCGCGTCTGGTGGGATAATGAGGATGGGATGGTGTGGATGATGGCGTGTTGGTTTTGTGGGGATGATCAGGGAAGCGGCGTGATGGTGTGGAACTTTATCCCTTCTGCCGCCCCTTCCTACCCTCTTTCCTTCCCCCTGTGCCATGCCATCTCAGAGCAGCCATGCCAGCAAGCAGATAAAAAAGAATCCGAGTGTCCGGTTGATCAAATACAATAAGCCAACGTAGGGAGCCTACTGGTCTGACCTCAGCGGCATGAAGGAGGGCGTTTGGGGAGATGAAGCCAGGCATCTGATGGGTGGAAGGGTGGAAGGAGAGCAAGGGAGAGAGCAAGAGAGAGAGCAAGGGAGAGAGCAAGGGAGAGAGCAAGGGAGAGAGCAAGAGAGAGAGCAAGGGAGAGAGCAAGGGAGAGAGCAAGAGAGAGAGCAAGAGAGAGAGCAAGGGAGAGAGCAAGAGAGAGAGCAAGAGAGAGAGCAAGGGAGAGAGCAAGAGAGAGAGCAAGGGAGAGAGCAAGGGAGAGAGCAAGAGAGAGAGCAAGAGAGAGAGCAAGGGAGAGAGCAAGAGAGAGAGCAAGAGAGAGAGCAAGGAGAGAGCAAGAGAGAGAGCAAGAGAGAGAGAGCAAGGGAGAGAGCAAGGGAGAGAGCAAGGGAGAGAGCAAGGGAGAGAGCAAGAGGGAGAGCAAGAGAGAGAAAGGAAGCGAGGAAGGCAGGGAGACACTGAGATGACTCACAAGCCTAGACGAGCAGGATGAGAGAGTGGAAGACAGAGGGAGTGCAAGGGGGCATGCATGCATGAGGGAAGAATGGTGCATGAGGGAAGAATGCTGCATGAGGGAAGAATGCTGCATGAGGGAAGAATGCTGCATGAGGGAAGAATGCTGCATGAGGGAAGAATGCTGCATGAGGGAAGAATGCTGCATGAGGGAAGAATGCTGCATGAGGGAAGAATGCTGCATGAGGGAAGAATGCTGCATGAGGGGAGAATGCTGCATGAGGGGGTGATGCATGGGGACGCAGTGAAACAGACCAGGGATGTGGAAGCAGGGGGGATCATCATCCCTGCGTGTATTGTTGCCTGCCTGCAGTGCGCAGGCGCGTCACCTTCTTGTCGAATTGCTCTAAAGCGAGTCGGAGGGCGAGCGTGATGGAGGGTGAGTAGAGCTGGTCCAGGCGGGCAGTCGCCACTCCCAGGCGGTAGCTTGATGATGGCAGGGCGGACGCTGGGAAGAAAAAAGGGGAGGGGAAAAGAGTGGGAGAGGGCGAGAGAGGGGATGTGGTGGAGGGCGAGTGGAGCTTTTCCAGGCAGCTTGATGCCATTCCCAGACCAGGAGGATTTTATACATATATATATATATATACTTAATTTGTGTGTGTTTTTTTTTATATGTATATATGTGGGGATATCGGCATACCGGGATGCCGGGAAACCGGGAAGCCGGGAAACCGGGAAACCGGGAAACCGGGATACCGGGAAACCGGGAAACCGGGAAACCGGGAAACCGGGAAACCGGGAAACCGGGAAACCGGGAAACCGGGAAACCGGGAAACCGGGAAACCGGGAAACCGGGAGAGCGGGAGAGCGGGAAACCGGGAAACCGGGAAACCGGGAAACCGGGAAACCGGGAAACCGGGAAACCGGGAAACCGGGATAACGGGATACCGGGATACCCGGGAACCGGGAAACCGGGAAACCGGGAAACCGGGAAACCGGGAAACCGGGAAACCGGGATACCGGGATACCGGGAAACCGGGAAACCGGGAAACCGGGATACCGGGAAACTGGGAAACCGGGAAACCGGGAAACCGGGAAACTGCGATACCCGGATAGGAAACCGGGAAACCGGGAAACCGGGAAACCGGGAAACCGGGAAACCGGGAAACCGGGAAACCGGGAAACCGGGAAACCGGGAAACCGGGAAACCGGGAAACCGGGAAACCGGGAAACCGGGAAACCGGGAAACCGGGAAACCGGGAAACCGGGAAACCGGGAAACCGGGAAACCGGGAAACCGGGAAACCGGGAAACCGGGAAACCGGGAAACCGGGAAACCGGGAAACCGGGAAACCGGGAAACCGGGAAACCGGGAAACCGGGAAACCGGGAAACCGGGAAACCGGGAAACCGGGAAACCGGGATACCGGGATACCGGGAAACCGGGAAACCGGGAAACCGGGAAACCGGGATACCGGGAAACCGGGAAACCGGGAAACCGGGAAACTGCGATACCCGGATAGGAAACCGGGAAACCGGGAAACCGGGAAACCGGGAAACCGGGAAACCGGGAAACCGGGAAACCGGGAAACCGGGAAACCGGGAAACCGGGAAACCGGGAAACCGGGAAACCGGGAAACCGGGAAACCGGGAAACCGGGAAACCGGGAAACCGGGAAACCGGGAAACCGGGAAACCGGGAAACCGGGAAACCGGGAAACCGGGAAACCGGGAAACCGGGAAACCGGGAAACCGGGAAACCGGGAAACCGGGAAACCGGGAAACCGGGAAACCGGGAAACCGGGAAACCGGGAAACCGGGATACCGGGATACCGGGAAACCGGGAAACCGGGAAACCGGGAAACCGGGATACCGGGAAACCGGGAAACCGGGAAACCGGGATACCGGGATACCGGGAAACCGGGAAACCGTGAAACCGGGAAACCGGGAAACCGGGAAACCGGGAAACCGGGAAACCGGGAAACCGGGATACCGGGATACCGGGATACCGGGAAACCGGGAAACCGGGAAACCGGGAAACCGGGAAACCGGGAAACCGGGAAACCGGGAAACCGGGATACCGGGATACCGGGAAACCGGGAAACCGGGAAACCGGGATACCGGGAAACCGGGAAACCGGGAAACCGGGAAACCGGGAAACTGCGATACCCGGATAGGAAACCGGGAAACCGGGAAACCGGGAAACCGGGAAACCGGGAAACCGGGAAACCGGGAAACCGGGAAACCGGGAAACCGGGAAACCGGGAAACCGGGAAACCGGGAAACCGGGAAACCGGGAAACCGGGAAACCGGGAAACCGGGAAACCGGGAAACCGGGAAACCGGGAAACCGGGAAACCGGGAAACCGGGAAACCGGGAAACCGGGAAACCGGGAAACCGGGAAACCGGGAAACCGGGAAACCGGGAAACCGGGAAACCGGGAAACCGGGAAACCGGGAAACCGGGAAACCGGGAAACCGGGAAACTGGGAAACCGGGAAACCGGGAAACCAGGATACCGGGAAACTGCGATACCCGGATAGGAAACCGGGAAACCGGGAAACCGGGAAACCGGGAAACCGGGAAACCGGAAAACCGGGAAACCGGGAAACCGGGAAACCGGGAAACCGGGAAACCGGGAAACCGGGAAACCGGGATACCGGGATACCGGGATACCGGGATACCGGGAAACCGGGAAACCGGGAAACCGGGAAACCGGGAAACCGGGAAACCGGGAAACCGGGATACCGGGATACCGGGAAAAAGGGAAACCGGGAAACCGGGATACCGGGAAACCGGGAAACCGGGAAACCGGGAAACTGCGATACCCGGATACCGGGAAACCGGGATACCGGGAAACCGGGAAACCGGGAAACCGGGAAACCGGGAAACCGGGAAACCGGGAAACCGGGAAACAGGGAAACCGGGAAACCGGGAAACCGGGAAACCGGGAAACCGAGAAACCGGGAAACCGGGAAACCGGGAAATTTGGGAAACCGGGAAACCGGGATACCGGGATACCGGGATACCGGGATATCGGGATACCAAGAAACCGGGAAACCGGGAAACCGGGAAACCGGGAAACCGGGAAACCGGGAAACCGGGAAACCGGGAAACCGGGAAACCGGGATACCGGGAAACCGGGATACCGGGAAACCGGGATACCGGGAAACCGGGAAACCGGGAAACCGGGAAACCGGGATACCGGGAAACCGGGAAACCGGGAAACCGGGAAACCGGGAAACCGGGATACCGGGAAACCGGGATACCGGGAAACCGGGATACCGGGATACCGGGAAACCGGGAAACCGGGAAACCGGGAAACTGCGATACCCGGATAGGAAATCGGGAAACCGGGAAACCGGGAAACCGGGAAACCGGGAAACCGGGAAACCGGGAAACCGGGAAACCGGGAAACCGGGAAACCGGGAAACCGGGAAACCGGGAAACCGGGAAACCGGGAAACCGGGAAACCGGGAAACCGGGAAACCGGGAAACCGGGAAACCGGGAAACCGGGAAACCGGGAAACCGGGAAACCGGGAAACCGGGATAACGGGATACCGGGATACCCGGGAACCGGGAAACCGGGAAACCGGGAAACCGGGAAACCGGGAAACCGGGAAACCGGGAAACCGGGAAACCGGGATACCGGGATACCGGGAAACTGGGAAACCGGGAAACCGGGAAACCGGGATACCGGGAAACTGCGATACCCGGATAGGAAACCGGGAAACCGGGAAACCGGGAAAGCAAGAAACCGGGAAACCGGGAAACCGGGAAACCGGGAAACCGGGAAACCGGGAAACCGGGAAACCGGGAAACCGGGAAACCGGGAAACTGGGAAACCGGGAAACCGGGAAACCGGGATAACGGGATACCGGGATACCCGGGAACCGGGAAACCGGGAAACCGGGAAACCGGGAAACCGGGAAACCGGGAAACCGGGATACCGGGAAACCGGGAAACCGGGAAACCGGGAAACCGGGATACCGGGATACCGGGATACCGGGAAACCGGGAAACCGGGAAACCGGGAAACCGGGAAACCGGGAAACCGGGAAACCGGGAAACCGGGAAACCGGGAAACCGGGAAACCGGGAAACCGGGAAACCGGGATACCGGGAAACCGGGAAACCGGGAAACCGGGAAACCGGGAAACCGGGAAACCGGGAAACCGGGAAACCGGGATACCGGGATACCGGGAAACCGGGAAACCGGGAAACCGGGATACCGGGAAACCGGGAAACCGGGAAACCGGGAAACCGGGATACCGGGATACCGGGATACCGGGAAACCGGGAAACCGGGAAACCGGGAAACCGGGAAACCGGGAAACCGGGAAACCGGGAAACCGGGAAACCGGGAAACCGGGAAACCGGGAAACCGGGATACCGGGATACCGGGATACCGGGAAACCGGGAAACCGGGAAACCGGGAAACCGGGATACCGGGATACCGGGATACCGGGAAACCGGGAAACCGGGAAACCGGGAAACCGGGAAACCGGGAAACCGGGAAACCGGGAAACCGGGAAACCGGGAAACCGGGAAACCGGGAAACCGGGATACCGGGATACCGGGAAACCGGGAAACCGGGATACCGGGATACCGGGATACCGGGATACCGGGATACCGGGAAACCGGGAAACCGGGAAACCGGGAAACCGGGAAACCGGGAAACCGGGAAACCGGGATACCGGGAAACCGGGATACCGGGATACCGGGATACCGGGATACCGGGATACCGGGAAACCGGGAAACCGGGAAACCGGGAAACCGGGAAACCGGGAAACCGGGAAACCGGGAAACCGGGAAACCGGGATACCGGGATACCCAGGAACCGGGAAACCGGGAAACCGGGAAACCGGGAAACCGGGAAACCGGGAAACCGGGAAACCGGGAAACCGGGAAACCGGGAAACCGGGAAACCGGGAAACTGCGATGCCCGGATAGGAAACCGGGAAACCGGGAAACCGAAAAAGCGGGAAACTGGGAAACCGGGAAACCGGGAAACCGGGAAACCGGGAAACCGGGAAACCGAGAAACGGAGATACCGGAATAGGAATCCGGGAATCCGGGAAACCGGGAAACCGAGAAACCAAGATACCGGGATAGGAAACCGGGAAACAGGGAAACAGGGAAACCTGGTCCTCTATGCTGCTCTGGTGAGCCTGGTCCTCTATGCTGCTCCTTCTTTTTTGATAGCGTGAGCGGTCCTGAGCAGGTGAGCCATACTAACGGGGTGAGAGATGAGATGGTGACCCGGGGAGCAGGGGAGAGAGTGCCATCAAGGAAGTGATGGCACTCTCCTGAGCAGGTGAGCCATACTAACGGCGCGCTGCACTGGTGCCATGCATTCACACGGCAACAGATTGGTTCTGAGACGCCTCAGAACGAGATTTGATTTCGGGATGCTCACCAGGGGAGAGAGTCCCGTCAAGGAAGTCAGTAGCACGCTGCACCGGTGCCACGAAGTTGCCACCTCCCATCACGGCGGCCTGGCGCTCGATTGCTCTCTGGGGGAAGGAGGCGGTGGAAGGGGAGACAGAAGGGGGGGATGAGCGGAGTTTTTAGGCGTTACAAAAAGAACATCCTCCCTTCCCCCCACAGCTTCCACTTCACCATTATGTTACTTCATGGTACTCCATGCCTGCCAGTGCGCCGTAATCACATCTCACCCCCTTCCCTCCCCACCACCACCCCACCCCAGCGCGCCACCTACCTGGTACTCCATGCCTGCCAGCGCGCCATGCTCCCGGGTGAACTCGTCAAAGTCACCGCTAGCAGCGGAGACAGAGGAGACGAGGGCCGCGTTGGCCCAGAGGGAGGAGCGGTTGGAGAAGGACATGCCGTTGAGGCAGAGCTCGTCTGCTGTCACGCTCGTGCACACCAGCTGCCCTCCCTGCTTGCCAGGCTTCAACGTACCTGGTACTCCATGCCTGCTAAGGCGCCATGCTCCCGCGTGAAGTCATCGAAATCGCCAGCAGACGCCGAGACTGATGACACCAATGCAGCGTTGGCCCAGAGCGAGGAGCGGTTGGAGAAGGACATGCCGTTGAGGCAGAGCTCGTCTGCTGTCACGCTCGTGCACACCACCTGCCCTCCCGGACACATGCAGAACGAGTAGCAGCTGCGCTCCTGCTGCCCACTGCTGTCGCTGCTGTCACTGCTGCCACTGCTGCTACCGCTGGTGATGCTCCCAGGGAGGGAAAACTGCCCTGCGAGCGAGTAGTCAGCCACGGGGATGGGCCCCTTGCCCCGCGCCACTGCTGCTTCCACGTCCATGCTGCCCTGCCACCGCCGGTACTGTTGGGGGGGAGTTGCGAGGGGAAAGGGGGAACGAAGTCTGACCGATTTGTTGCAACAGCACTTGCCTCAACGGATGGAATCTATGACTTGATGTTGTGGATCACACGAAGAAAACGTAGCAGATGGAACGGAAAAACGGAAAGGGAAGGAGAGAGAGAGAGAGAGAGAAAAACAACACTCTAGGCTGAGCGCCGATTACCCTAATGGCGTTGATCTCTCGCTGGGGGTGCTCGATACGGAAGCCCACAGCAAAGTCCTTTGGGGAGAGCAGCACGTTGTGAGAGAGAAGCATGTCAAACACCGCCCTTGCTGAGTGCCCCACCCCCAGCAGCACCCTATCCGCTGCTATCACACTCCGCCCCTCTGCACCGCTTCCCACCGCACTCCCAGCCGGCCTCACTCGCACCCCGGCCACCCGCCCGTTCCGAACCTCCAAATCCTCCACCACCGTGCCGAACCTGATCTCCACGCCCAAACCTAGCAAGTACGCCCGGAACTGCTGCAGGATGCGCACGAGCCTGTCAGTCCCCAGGTGCGGGCGCCCGTCCACAAGAATACGTTCGGGAGCACCCATCCTCACTAGCACATTCAGCACCTCCCTCACATCTTGACTATTCTTCCCGATCCTAGTTGTCAGCTTGCCGTCACTCCACGTCCCAGCACCACCCTCCCCATAGCAGAAGTTACTGTCAGGGTTGAGCACATGGCGCACGGCTAGAGCGCCGATGTCTCGCCCCCGCTCCTCCACGGGCTGACCCCGTTCTACCACTATCACCTCCTCGCCTGCTTCTGCCAGTACGAGAGCTGCCAGCAACCCCGCTGGACCCATCCCCACCACTATGTTGCGCGTTCGCTCTCTCGGTGGCTTGCCTTTCGCCCCCAGTGCTCCTATGGGAGCGCTCGTGCTGCTGCTGGTATAAGCACCAGCACCAGCACCAACACCATCAGCAGTGGAAGAAGCAGCAGGGGGAGCAGCAGCAGAGGCGCGGGCAGCGAGAAGGCTGAAGGGCGGTTCAGGCAGCAGGAGCTGGGCTTTAAGGGCCACGTCTCTGCGCTTGCGAGGGGGCGTGGCTGAGAGGGTGAATGCTTGGGCTAGTGCTGCTGCGTCGATGTCAATGGCATAGGCGAACACTGGGGCCTGGGGAAGTGGTGGGTGGGGATGGGACATAAAGAGACTGAGGAAGCAAGACAAGATGAAGCCGTGAGTCAGTGCAGTGGTGTCGATGTCAATGGCATAGGCGAACACTGGGGCCTGGGGAAGTGGTGGGTGGGGATGGGGATGCGCGAGGGGGAAAGTGAGAAAGCATGACAGGGTGAAGGCCTGGGTGGGCTAGTGCTGCTGCGTCAATGTCAATGGCATAGGCGAATACAGGGGCCTGTGTGTGAGGGGATGGGGATGGGGATGGGCGAGGAGAGAGTGAAAATTTGAGAGAGGGAGAGGGTGAAGGCCCTTGCACCCTGCCCCAGCGTGCCTTGCAATGCATACAACCCAGCCCAACACACCTTGCAATGCATACAACCAAGCCCAACACACCTTGCGGGCGTCGAAGGACTTGCGCAAGACGGTGAGAGCAGACGGGGGCAGATGCTCCGCCCACACGTGCAGCACAACCGAGCCGAGAGTGCACCTTAGTAATGGCTGCAAAATGCATCACACCTCAAGCACACCTTGCAACGCACACAACCCAGCCCAACAAACCTTGCAGGCATCAAAAGACTTGCGCACGACTGTGAGGGCAGACGGGGGCAGATGCTCCTTTCGCACATGCAGCGGCGCCCCCACTCTCCCTGCCGTACCCAGACTAACACTCTTTTACTCCCTGGTACCGCTCTAAACCCTTTGCGCACCTTGCGGGCATCAAAGGACTTGCGCACGACGGTGAGAGCAGACGGGGGCAGATGCTCCGCCCGCACATGCAGCGCCGATGCTGCCGCCCGCACCAGCCCCTCACTCACTGCCACGTCATCCTTGCCCGGGTCGGCATGCAACGGCACATCCACATTCATGAGTCGTATCACCCCCTCTGTTGGCAGGTGTCCTTCTTTTGCCGAATGCCCATCTGTTTGTGAGTGCCTATCCATTGACAGATGTCCCTCCAGCACTCCATTCGCCTCGACATCTGACATCATCTCCTGGTGCTGTCCCTCAAGCCTCTCCCTCCCCCACCCTCGTTCCTCTTCGCGAGGACGGCGATGAAAGTCTGACTGCGTATCTCCTCTCCTGCCGTTGTCACTCCTCCCTCTTCCCCCGTATCCACCCCTCCCTCTCCTGCTATAGTCGCCTCTCCCTGTACTCCCATACTCGCCTCTCCCTCTTCCCCCATAATCCCCCCTCCCTCTCCCTCTCACCCCATTATCATCCGTCTCTCTTCCCCTGTACTCAACCCCCCCTCTTTCTTCTAATCCGCCCATCTCCCTCCCTCCATACTCGCTCCTCTCCCTCCCTCCATAGTCATCCCTGTTCCCCCTTCCAAAGTCATCCCTGTTCCCCCTTCCAAAGTCACTCCTCTCCCTTCCCGCATACTCACCCCTCTCCCTTCTCCCATAGAAACCCCTATCGCTCCCCCTAAAACCACCTTTCTCGCTTTCTCCATACGAGCCCCTGCCTCTCCCCCCATACCCGCCCCTCTCCCCCCTTCCGTATTCCGCCGTCTCTGCCCCCTCATAACCGCCCCTCCCTCTCCTCTCATAATCGCCCCCTTCACTCACCCCATAAACCTTCCCCCTTTCCCCCTGATAACCTCCCCCTTCTCTCCGTCCATCCCCCCACCTCTCTCTCCGCTCACCCCCACTCTCCCCCTTTCCCCCCCACCGCTCCTCAATCCCCCGCCCTCTCCTTCCCACATATTCCCTCTCTCCCTCTCCACCTCCTCGCCCCCCACTCTCCCTGCCATACCCAGAGTACCGCTCTCCTACCGCCTGGTACCGTTCTGAACCATTTGAAAAACGCTCCCTCTCAACCCCATACGCTTCGCGCCTATCGTTCGCGCCTCTCCTTCCCTTATGAATATCCATCCCCCTCTCCCCCCTGCCATATCCCCTCTCTCCTCTCGCCCTCCCATACCCCTCTCCTCGCTCCGCACCCCCATACGCTAACCGTTCCTCTCTATATCGAATCTTCTCGTCGCCATTTTCATCGCCAAACCCCTCCCTATCCCCGAACCCTGAACCCTCCCGTGCCTGTCCCCTCCTGTCCCTCTCCCCTCGCTCGCTCCCTCTTACATCACCCCTTTCTCTGCCACCCCAATCACCTTCCCATGCATCGTTCTCCACCTCTCTATACGCACTCCGCCTATAATCACCACCCACAGGGGGCCAGCATTTCCTCTCGCCGTCCTGCTCTGTGCTCCCCCCTCTCCCCTCCCCCTGCTCTCGCCAGAAAAACGCCTCTCGTTCTCACTCCGTTCCTCTCTCTCCCTCCAAGCCCGACTCTCCCTTGAAGCTACGTCCTCTCTCCCAGCGGCATTCTGCCTTCGCCGCTCGTCAGATCGGTCCCGGCTGAACCGCGCAGTCACGGCGAGCGAACGGCCATTCTGGGATATTCCCGAGATTGCCGTAGCATCGTCGCGGCGAAATGGTAACCCGCGAGTTGACAAGCTCTTGTGGTGACGCAAGCTCGTGTTCTTGAATGGAAGGATGACGCGTGACCCCGTTATCATATTAACCAGCGTCATCGCTCATTCACTTGCAATGGATCCACGGACTAGGTTGCTTCGTAACAATGTAGGATGGTACCTCTTCTATTCAAGCATGAACCATCTATTCAATGGAAGAGAGACCATCTGATGGAAACTGGATTGAAGCATGCTTGAACCAGTAACGGTACTGTGGGGACTGGGGAAATCGCTTCGGGATTTCATTGCACTTTTCCAGCGAGGCATGAAAAGTACAGATGAAAGATGTTTACCGCGGTACAGACAGCGCGATTCACTAATTTCCACACTGATTTCACATGCACATGAATAGCTAGTTATTCTAGCTAGAAGATAGTTTTACATGAACATGAATAGCTAGCTATTCTAGCTAAAACATAATGGTGATGTGTAGCACTGCCTTATTTCTCTCAGTTCAGTGAATTTCACTGCCATCAACTAGGCCTTGCACAGTGATGCCTCCACCCGCCCCTGTGACCAGAGCCTGCCCATCGAACGTTGCAGCTCCTCCTGGGGAACAAAACACACCACACCATACACGGGTTCGAACAAATTAGCAGATAAAGATGTGAACAGGGTCTTGCGAAAGATGACAACTATGTGAATAGAAACACTTGCTAGATTCAGACTGAAGTTCCCACCTTGCACGCGGAGCAGCCCTGCCACCTTCTCCCACACTTTGGAGCTGAGCTGCTTCACTGGGGCTGCACTAGCAGGCCGACCCTGGGATTTGCAGCCAGAATTGCAGCCAGGGTAAATGGAATGCGAGGGAAGTTGAGAAAGGAGAAGAAACGGATTTTCAGGAGAGCCTAAAAAAACGACTGTACCATGGCAAAAACAAGTGGAACATGATGGGCATGGGCCTGGTAAATGGGGATGGCCCGTACATGAGGCACACTGGATGATGGGCATGAGGCAAACCGAAAGGCCATGCATATGCGTATGAAGTAAGCACGTACATTGGGGGATGCATGGGTATGCATGAAAGGAGACACACGATCCATGTTATGGCTCACGCAGTAAGGTTCAGGCACGGGCATGGCACATAGGCACAGGGAACGGTCACAGTCATAATGCCTACCTGGATGCAGACTCGATCACCCACTGTGGCATCTTGGGGCGGATCGATGAGCTGTTGGGAAGGAGCGTCAAAGGGATGGGATGAAACGGGTGTACGGAAATGAGGGAGTTGGAGCAGTGGGGGGACTGAACTGAAAGATGGAGTGCACAGTGGAGTGGGGGGATTCAGGCGCATCAACACAAAGAGCGCTCAACGTGACATACAGCCACAGACAAACGCATGCATAATCCATTCCTCCTTCCTCATTTTCACAGCACCCCCCCCCCTTTCAGCCTGAGGCACTTAATGATATCATTATGAGGCCAACAATGAAATCTTGACTCAAAAAGTCATCGGCCAGGCCTGCTCACCTTGACAACCTCCCCGGCCTCAGCCTCGGCAAAGGGGTGCGAGCCAGCGAGCATCATGGCTTGGCTGGGTTGCCCAGCGAGCTTGGCGGGCTTGAGGTTGCACACGGCACACACCAGCCGCCCCTGCAGCTCCTCCTGCGAGATAAACTTCCTCAAGCCAGCCACCACCTGAGGGGGGTTCATTTCAGTTAGGGAATAGTGAGTATAACAAGATGAACCAGCGCAGCCTGTCACCACCTGGGAGTTCAGGTCAGGCAGAGAAGCGGGGAATAGTTGGCGCAGAGGGGAAGACAGGGGCGTGAAAGCACGAGGTAGAGTGGCTGAGACAGAAGAGGAAGAGAAATTGATGGAGAGAAGAGGGCACAAGTTCAGACGGGGAAGTAAGTAATATGCAGTGGGGCAGAGAGGCAAAGGCTGAAGAATACTGTTCGACACAGCCCTTTACACCCTCCTCCCCCGCGCAGCTGCTCACCTGGCGGAGCTCCCCTGGCGCAACCTCCACCTGGCAGACGTAGAGCTTCTCCGCCACCGGGTGGAGCTCTACCGCCTGCACCCGCGCCACCTGCGCGCGGGGGGCAGAGAGGGGGGAGAAGGGGGAAGAGGTGTTCTCCGGCGCCTCGAATGCATCTCCTCATACAGTTGTGTAAACAGTGCGTGATTTTCGAGAAGTTATCCAGGATAAGCAGAATACAAGTTCGCATTAATAGTCATTCGCCAACGGCCAGGAATGTGGTAACAGCGAAGGAGAAGGCATCTGTTGACGAGGTTTGCTGATCTAACGAAAGTTTGCGTGTTGTCGCTCAACGCTCACCCTCATGTCGCATTTGTCGAAATTCTCTACACTCTCCCCCGCTGACGCTGGAGCAGCTGATGATTGCGCTGCTGGCGGAGTGGGAAAGGATTGTCAGAAGGATCAGCCAAACGAATTAGGAGAAAGAAGGACAACGGCGAACCACGATATATGATGCTCAAATGGAGTATATACGGAGTTCCTAGATTTCGCAGAAGATAAAGCACCTGGTTTCGCAGATTTTGCTTTCCCTTTTTCTGACGACTGCTTCTCGCCATTGCTTCCAGCTACTGCTGCTTTCGGCTGAGCGGCGACGGGAACGTCAGCTGAGGGGGCGGACGACGCGGTGAGGCGGGAGATGAGAAGGTCGATCTGCGCGATCGCATTGTCCAGAGCGACTAGCGCTGGAGCAGGATCAGCGGCAGCCATTTCGCCAAGGAGAGCAGAAACGAGTTTTGTATGGGATATTCTAGCACAAGTATTTCTCAAGGTGAATGTGAGAAAAATGTATTTCTGGTGGCTTTCCAGAATGATATTGTGTTGAAGAGGAATAGCATATCAATAATGAATCGGTGCATCTAGGACACCGTCGAATTTAGCAGCTCCGTAACGCGGATTTCATTGCTCCACCTGTCACTTCGCACCTCGACCGAAGGATTTCAAAATGTCCCGCCAAATTGGTGACAGACAATCACTGTCCCGAACCGCCTGGAACCTGCAACCTAGCAAGCGCTTCACCTTGCTCTCCCTCTCCACGCTGCTGTTACCCAAACCGCCAACAATGCCATCCCAATTCCCAAGGTCATTTCTATGGCAAACTGCTAGACATTCTCGAGAGCCTAACTGACTGCGATTCCGAGGCCACACTGAGGACCATCACACAGTAGCAAAGAATCTTTAGTGTTTGCCTGTAGTTTCACGTTGGGTTGTGGTCTGCTGCGTTCTTAGTCTGCCGAAGCCATTGTCCGGGAAAGGTTGTCCTAGTTGCGATCACTGCATAGGATTTACCAAAGCGATCTGACATCTCGTCGGACATCAGACTTGATTGCTTAGTCGTTCAGTGTAGTGTATTTTGCGATCAGCAATGGAGGCAGACGACTCGATTCTAGGAAGCGTCAGCCTGAACACCCTATCAGCTTTTGGTTAGTGCCCATATCGTGTTATCCTCTTTGTTCGCTTTCTGAGTTTACTAAGTGACCCGCTCTAAAGGAGACTAACTGAACCTGTCTTATTGGTATGCAGATGCGGCGAATCAGACGTTCCCAGGACGGTTCGCAATTACCCCGTTGCGACCACAAAAGCGCATTCTGAATGACACTGCTGGAGGAGGTGACATCGTACAGTGCAGCGTGCAGCAGGACAAGTCTGGTCCTGGTAAATCAAATCACTCCACGAATCTCACCTTCAATCTAGTAGAGAACAATGAGAATAACGCCGGCATTCCAGGTTCAGTCAACATCAACGCTGCGTCTAAGTTCGCTCCGACACCGACGGCTGCACGGAGAAAGAGCCGACGGAGCGTCGCACGGCAGAGCTTGCCATGGAACAACGCGTTCCTTGAAGACGAAGGTGGGAGCTGAGCCTTGATGCCCATTTTTTCATTCATTCATTCTTATCCTAGAAGGTCAAACTCACCGTTTGAATATTCAACTCGCAGGTCTTTTGAACGATGACGAGTTGCACGGCGAAGTTATCGACGACGGTTTTATCATGGAGCGAATGACGGACATTGATTGGCCCGAAGATCCTCAAAATGACGCATTCAAGGAAACTGCCAATATGTGCGCTTCAAGCGACTCTGGCTCCAAACCAAGCGCCTCTGCACTGGGTGCTAAGATTCAGATTCCTGAGCCGAAATCCGTGCGCAAGGATCGTCGCGTCAGCGCTGCCTGGAACGAGGCTTTCTTCAACAAGAACGCAGGTTCGTGCTTCCCTAACCAGGATTTGAATCAAATACAACTCGTTCCAGAATCACCCATCAAACCCGTGTTGCTCAACGTTTGTGCACGCGATAATAACAACAGTTCCTGCTTCTATCCTCGTTATGCGCAGAATCGCTTCTGGACCTGGACGATGACGAGGACCAGCTCGCGCCAGATCTCCCTCCCGTCGATCTGTCTTTCCTTCCCATGTTTACCGCCCCCCTTTCCGGAGACGCAACTGCTAACGAATCCGGCAATACTCCGAAGGATGATCGGGACCCGACATGTAGTGAATCAGGTGGTACCGCTGAACACCAGCGGATGACGAGCGAGCAGAAAGTAGCCGCGATAATAGAAAAGAGCAGCACGAGCGACTGCGCGGAGGTCTCGAAGAGTGCGACAAGGGGAGGGTTGGATCAGGGCCCGTCAAGTACACGACTCAAGCTGCCTGGCGCCGCACCTCGTAAGCGCCTATGTTTGGATATTGTATCGGTGTCTGAGAATATGGTATTGCATTACGCTGGATTTTCCTGACCGTTGCTAATTTAACCAGTGTCTCGCTTGTGTCTCTCAGGATTTCATTCTTCGAATGCGAAGACGGCAAATGGAGCAGGAGCCTCCCCCGCTCCAGGAGCGAAGACTCCCGCTGCTTCGAGCAGGACTCCCAAGTCAGCGATGACAACAGCGCCGGGTACAGGCCGACAGCAGAGCGTGGGAGCGAGCGCTTCTAGGCTCGCAAAGCAAGGTAGCGGTGGGTGCGCTGTCGGCGGTGTCGGTTCGTGCAGCCTGTCGAAGCATGGCGGTAGCACCGCCTCACACGCGGGAACGGCAGAGAGGAGCAAGAGGGCGTCGGCGACGTCTAGTAGCTCTTCTCACTCCCGTCAGGCGGCATCGTGTGGGGTTCCCAGCAAAGGAGGAGCCGGGGCCAGCGCGTGCGCTGCGAGAGTGGATCTGCACAGCCGCTTTGAGTCGTCCACAGACGTTGAGGACTCGACCGACGCTGGGCAATCGCGCCGACCTGAGGAAGAAGAGTCGCTCAATGAGGCCCAATCGCATGCGGTTTCTGTGAGTGGGGAGGAAGAGAGCGTGATCACTGCACAGCGCGATATGCGTGATCACTACGTAGTGCGTTTCGAGGAGGCTTCAGCTGCTTCTGGCGCAGAGAAGCCCGCAGGAAATGTACTTTTGCGCGCGTCCGAGTCGGAAATTGTGGCTAAATCTGAGGATGCGCCTGCAGGCGCCTTGCGCGGCATGGTGGGGCGCGGATCTAAGGCCATGCGCGCGTGCGCGCCGTCCCCGATGAAGCCCGCCGCCGCGCGGGAGCCGTTGCCGGTGCAGGCGAGCGCAGCTGGGACTCATCGAGGCTCGAGTGGGAGTGCGAGCAGCGCGCGCAGCTCGAATGACACGAAGCAGCAGCAGCTGCGGGAGTGGCAGCAGCAGCGTCAGCTGGCTGTGGCGGCCAAATCCCGGCCGTCGGCCAGCGCAACCGCAGGAGGACCCCCCAGGGCGGCTGTTCGGGCTGGTGCGAACATCGGAGGGAAGCCTGGTGTGGGTCCGGGAGCAGTGGCGGCGAGAGCAGGGGTGCCTAAATCCACGAGTCACTGCACGAGTACGAGTCTCGTTCCCGCTGGCCGCTCCCTGGTGCACGGTGGTGCGTCGTCTGGCGTGGGGGGGTCCGGGCTGGACGTGCTGCGAACGTCGTCTACTCGCTCCACTGGGACGTCTACCGATGCAGGGAAACGCGTGGGGTTTGTGGGTGTAGGGAGTGGGCACGGCGCGGCTCACGGCAAGGGTTCCGTCGCAGCTGCTGCTGGTTTTGCCTTCTCCGCTGCTGCGAACTCTACGACGGCGAAGGTTGCGACTGCTGTTGCTCGCACAGTGTTTTCGGCGAAACCGCGGACGCTTAGCAAGGATTCGAAGGCTGTGAGCACAGAGGGATCTGCAGGTGCCTCACAGGGTAGTACCAGCGGAGCGGTTGGTGCTCCCAGTGCGGCCGGTGCTTCCAGTGCGAGTGGCCTGTTTGGGCTCAAGTTCACCGCGGGAAAAGCGGATGATCGTGCGGCTGTCAAGAAAGGCGCTCCTGCTGCTACCTCCAGGCGGGTCAGTGGCGTGGGAGCGAGGAAGGCGCGGTTTGGTTTCGGTCTCGGCGGGAAGGCAGCACCAACTGCCAAGGAGAAAGAGGAGGAAGCGAAGGAGAAGGCGGGTTGCGGCAGTACTAGTCAGGCACTGGCAGTGGGGCAAGGGGGAGCGAAGCGGGTGGCAGCAGACAGTAAAGTGGCGAGCGGGAAGCAGATGGTGGTGAGCAAGGGAGGTGCTCTCGCCAAGGAGAAAGCGCCGGGTGCGTCGACGTCCCCTCTCGCGGCGGCGCTGAAAGTGGCCGCTAACCACTCGAAGCTGCTGGGACTCGCCTCCAGGATTCCTGTTCCGAAAACGACTGGAAGGTTTGGGTTTGGCGGGAGCTCGTCTAACGCGAAGGCTGGCGCGGGGAAGGAGAGTGAGAAAGCAGCGGGGAGAGGGGTGCACGGTTCGGGTTTGGGTGGTAAGGTCGAGGCGACGCACGGGCGCGCTGGACAGCAGAAGACGCAGCAGGCCCACGCAGGGCCTTCCCAGACCAAAATCGAGGTGAGCATGGCTGGTTATCTTGTGACAAACGTGGTCTGCTGGACTCGTTGTGATAGTGTCCCCAGTACGCGCTCAACTGGATTCGTGTGTCATGCTGTGTGTCACAGGCTGTCACCCCTCGGGCGAGTCGAGAGAGCAATGCATCACACAGAAGCAGCTCGTCGCAGCATAGCAACACGGTGCACGCGACCAACACGCCCCGCGCGAGTAACACGCCGCACACGAGCAGTACGCTCCGCGCGAGCAGCAGCGCGCAGAAGAAGCCGTCGCCGCGGGTGGAGAAGAAGGCGGGCAGCGGCACCCACTGGGTGCCAGGCGGCGTGGCTCAGCCGTCCGCGCTCGCCGCGGCGGATGCTGCGTTCTCCGCCATGTCCACCCCGCGGAGCAGCGATGCGGGGCAGCAGCTCAGCCGGGAAAGGGCGGGAGAGAAACATACGGGCAACGACGGGCAAGAGGAGCAGCAGCAGCAGGATGAGGAAAAGAGGCAGTCTGTGCACCCTGGGGGGGTGCTGACGGTTGCGATGGGAACGCTGGCGGAGCAGGGTGAGTGTGCCGATGAGAAGGATGTTGGAGGGGAGTTCGGTACGGTGCAGGGAGGAGGCGAGGGTGGGGAGAACGCGGCAGATGAGGGGCACAAGATGCCTGGCGGCAAGAGTGGGAGCGAGAGCGAGAAAGGGAGGAAGGGGCTGTCGCTGAAGGCGATTGGGGCGTTTGTTGCTGGTGGGAGCCCGTGGAAGAAATCAGCCAGGAAGGTGGCAGCAGAGAGGGAGAGAGAGGAAATGGAGGAAGCTGGGAATGAGCAGAAGGAGAGGAGTGGGTCTGTGGTGTGCACTCCACAGAAGGCGCCAGGAAGGGCAGGGCAGGTGGAGGAGGGCGAGAGGGGTGCGAGTATTGAGACGGTTGAGAAGGAGGGGGAAAGGGGGGCGTGGGCGAGCACAGAGAAGGTGGGCGAGTGGGTGGGCGAGGTGCTTGAAACCGCTGGGACGCCAGACGGCTGTGAGCAAGCGGAAAGGAGAAGAACCCCACCAGGAGCGTCAGAGCAGAATGCTGGGGCCATGGCTGCTCCAGGGGCGATGGCTACAGTGCCAGTGCCAGTGGCAGTGGCAGTGAAAGGGGTTGCTACAACAGCAGTAGATACTCCAGTGGCGGTGGCTACTCCAGTGGCAGTGGCAGCGTCAGGAGGTGTGTCAGGCAGCAAGGGAGGGGGTGACAGCAAGCAGCGCCGCACCTCCCCTCTGCCTCGGTTCCTAGGATCCCCCATCGCCAGCCTGTTCAAGGTACAGAGACTGACTTGCTCCTTGCTAAAAAGTTTACGTGTTGCTCCTCGAGTGAACTTGGTTCCGTGCCTCGTGGGAGTCTTCTTTATTTATGGCCTTTAGGCATGTCCTGACCTTATCTCTTCCCTTTGTGTCATGCAGAGCCCCAAGCGATCCAACAAGAAGGCACAGGAGGTCCACGTGGCAGCTATTGAGACGCCAGCGACTGCCACAATACGCCAGTCGTCGTCAGCAGTGGCAGAGCAGCAGCATGAGGAGGAGGGGCAGCAGCAGCAGCAGCAGCAGAAACAGGAAGAGTGTTACCACGAGGCAGTGCCAACTCCAGCTGCTGAAAGCCCCACCCTGCCCAGGAGGAGCCTGTTTAAAGCAGAGCAGCTCAAGACAGACCTCTTCAAATCCAACCTCGCCAAGAAAGACCTCTTCAAAGGGGCCTTTCCCAAGCCAGATTTTCCCCAGGCACCTCTCACCAGCGCGATCGAGCAGCCTTCTGAGGCAGCTCAGAATCAGAAGCAGAAGCAGCCTGTCTCGAGCTCGAGCCTGCAGTCTGCTGCGTCATCCTCTGAAGCAGGCATGTACACTGCTCCTGCCTCGCCTGAGGCTGAGGAGGAGGGCAAGGACGGGCAGGAGGGCGACAGCAGGAGCATACTTTCTCAGAAGGGTGACGGCACGAGCAGGGGCAGGTCGCTTGGTGCGTCTGGCAGGGGAATGTTCACTGCTCCTGCGTCTCCTGAGGCAGAGGTGGAGGGGGGAGGGGAGATGAAGGAGGAGGAGGAGGAGGCAGGGGAGGTTACTCCCCCTGGGAGTGGGGAGAAGCAGGGGGGAGGGGCGGAGAGGGCAGAGGCAGCTGTGGGAGCTCAAGGCGAGGATTTGGATCCGTTCATGAGGAAGGTTCTGGAGGCAGAGGCGCTGGGAGTGGTGAGTGCTGGGAGTGGTGAGGCAGAGGCGCTGAGAGTGGTGAGTGTGTTGCTTGGCTGCTGGTGCCTGGATGAATAACTTCACGTTCTGGCATGAGTGCTGCAGAAGTGCTTGAAATACGTTGGGCTGCCCAATAATTTGCGCACAGCTTTCGCTGCTGCTGGTCGCTGGTTGTGTTTTCCTTCAGGTTGCTCTTGAGAAGAAAGGAGGGAGGGTACTTAACTCGCCACTGATGACCAAGCAGCCATTACCACCCAGAAATCCCTGGTCACCGGTGAGCTCTTCTGCCGTTTGAATAACATTTTCGGGTGCTAAGCACACTTTGCCCTCGGCCTCTTTCTGTTGACTTACGTCTCCTTTCCTCCCCTGCACCGCTCTGCACCGCTCAGGTGCGCAAGGCAGAGGTGGGCCCGTATGATTGCACCAAGAGGTCCCTAGCGGCCTCTCTGGACAGCTTCTCCCTCCCCGCCAGCAGCTCTGGTGCTTCCAACTTCTCAGTTACTGGCAGGATCGGCAGTGGTAGCAGTACTGGTGGGTTTCCAGGAATGGGGAATGCCGGGATGCGCATGTCCTACGGGCACTAAGCAGCACACATGGTTTGTGCTGGTAGTAAGCAACACGAATGGTTGTTAGTTACCATACGGGGTTAAGCGAGGGTTTTCAAGATACGGATGAGGGACAAGACTCCTCCTTGGATAGTTCTGTTACTGCAGATACCGTAGTTGATTATGCTGGTCTACCGTAGTTCTGTATTTAGCCGTTCTGTACCTAATGCTGGATAATTTTGTTGTGCCAATGCGTGCATTCTCAGTTCTGTTTTGGCTCACTTGTCTTCATGAATTCCTGTACACATAGAAAAACATGCATGACTGGAAATGAAGTCCACATTATCACCTTACATATCGCAGCAAAGGATTCTATTCTATCAGCAGCATTAACAACTGCTGCAGCTGCTGCTGGTCTCGAGCTAGTAATCCCAACCATATTAGTACACAAACAACCTATAACTTGTTCCCTGTTAACCCAGGTTGCAGGTATAGTCGTCTAGATACTCAACGATTCTTATTCATCTGCCTCCTCTGCCTGCCAGTCAGCATGTACAACAGCAGAAAAGAGAAGAGAAACAGCAAGCCATATGATTGATAAGTCATGATACGAACACCTTACATCAAGTCATGCTAGCAATCTAAGTTTGTGTTAGGTTAGGACACATGTGAATCCCCCATCATGTGTCCCAGCATGTGACCTGTAATGGTGGTGCCATGCAACCCATGATTGCCATCATCACACACAGACAGTATCCACCACACCACACCCATCCCCACCACACAACACCCATCGTTACCATCATCATCCCCACCCACCGGTCACACCATCACACCCACCGGTCACACCATCACACCCACCGGTCACACCATCACACCCACCGGTCACACCATCACACTCACCGGTCACACCATCACACCCACCCACCACTCCCACATCTTACCTCGTCGTCGTCACCCTCCTCTCCCTCCTCTCCCTCCTCCCCCTCCTCCTCCTCATCCCCGCTGTACTCAAACCCAAACTCAGGCTCCCCGTCGTCCTCCTCCACCTCCTCTCGTGGCCGCACTCCCTCCTGCCATTGCACGACAAGGTGGGAGGTCCGGGGAAGAAGAGGGGAGAGGGTTTTATTCGTCAGTACAAATACTCCCACCTTTTGACGCTCCCTCCGCTCCGCTCATTGTATGATACAGGTGTGAAGAGGATACAGAGGAGGAGGGAGATGAGGAGAGGAGAGGAAACAGTTGTGTCCTCATACTCTTTTGTGAATGCTGGTAAATACGAGTACGGGTGAAAGTCATGTTTGATGGTTATGGCTGGCAAAGGATATTGCATGATATGAGGCATGCAGACAGGGTTGAGGGGTTGAGAGGGTGACAGAGTAGATGCAGAGAGGTGCCTCGCATAAGGGTCGACATATAAGTCTCGACACAACGAGAAGCAGCACGACTCTGACTTGTGGTGTAGAACACTTGAGAGGGTTTTGAAACATTACCGAGACGTCCCAAAGCGCATGTCCTTACCTTGTGGTAGGACTTGAGGGGGTTTGAGGACTCAGAAACAGGCCCTTACCTTGTGGTAGTACTTGAGGGGGTTTGGGAAGATATCATCCCGAATGGCATTCCCAATCTGCAGGTCAAGGGGCAACGCAAACAGCGCCTGTGAGTGACTGTTGATAACTACTTGGGAATTCAATGAAAACGCTTGCAGAACAGGCAGTATGAATGGCCCATGGAGGCTGTTTCTGAGAATCCACTGAGAACTCATCAAAGCACGTGTAAGGCGTGTGAATGGACAGGCCCATGCTTGCCATCCCTGGAACGCAGTGTTGGCATTCAGGTGAACAGTCCCCCTCTAAAACCCGAAAGCTGTGCTGCTTACACCCACCTACCTACGAAAATGAAGTCATCCCCCCCCCCCCCCCCTCTCTCCTATCATCTAAATCCTCCTTTCCACATCCACACCACTCCCCCTACCCCATCCTCTGTCCCACTCCCACACCCCTCCCTTCCCCTCGTTCCCCTCCTCACATCGTCATTCGCGACAGAGATGGGGTCATCGTCCCCAAATGCCATCCAGCTGAACAAACTGCAGCGCGAGGAGGCAGGGAAGGGGAAGGGGGGAGGAGGGGCGCAGGGAGGAACGGATGAAGAGAGCAGGGGGGTGCGGCGGGATGGATCAGTGGGAGAAGAGAAGGGGAAGGGAGAGGGAGAGGGGATAAAATGTGAGTGTGAAGGAAGGGGTGGTGGTGGTGGTGGTGGTGGTGTGGAGAAAACAGAAGGAGGTTGAAGTGACAGTGTTTGAACAGTGTCAGTGTTTGCATTACTTCTCACAAACTCCCCCGAATCACCTGAGGAGCTGCCAAATCACCTGCCGAGCTGCCAATTCACCTGAATAACTAGAAAATACCTGACGAGCTGCTCCTTGCCCTCTTCCCCCTCCTCCTCTTCCTCCTCCTCATCGTCCACATATGCCTTGATGCCTTCTGTGTAGTCCTGCGGGTGGAAGGTGGGAGGAGGATAAGAAGCAAGTAGCATGAAACAGCATGGGTGCCACGTGGACCAAGGGGTAGGCACCTGGCTCCTCCTCCTCCTCCTCCTCCTCCTCCTCCTCCTCCTCCTCCTCCTCCTCCTCCTCCTCCTCCTCATCGTCCACATATGCCTTGACGCCTTCTGTGTAGTCCTGTGAATGGGGTGAGAAGGTGGGGGAGGGGTACGGGGGTAAGCAGCATGAAACAAGGTGACTTTTGAGTCGACTCAAAAGCCACCTAGGTGGGGGAGGGGTACGGGGGTAAGCAGCATGAAACAAGGTGACTTTTGAGTCGACTCAAAAGTCACCTAGGTGGGGGAGGGGTACGGGGGTAAGCAGCATGAAACAAGGTGACTTTTGAGTCGACTCAAAAGTCACCTAGGTGGGGGAGGGGTACGGGGTAAGCAGCATGAAACAGCAGCCACCTGGCACCTCATCGTCATCATTGACCACACACACCCTACCTCTCCTCCTCTCTCCCTCACCACCCACTCCATCTCCCCCTCTCTTCCCCCCAAACCACCTGCCCTTCCTTTCAGTTGATGTGATTGCCTGTGACGCGCAGAGTGAGTTCATCTCGCATCAGCAACGACCAAAGCCGCGTCCCAAGCCCACTCAACACACGCAGCCCGAAACCCGACCCAAGCCTCTCTCCCAGGCTCCCACCCCACCACCCACCGCACCTGTCCCTCCTTCCAGTTGATTCGTGTGCCTGTAACGCGCAGCGTGAGCTCATCTTGCATAATCAGCGACCGTGTGAGTGTCTCGTTGCTGAAAAACGGGTTCGGGCTGAACGTCTGGTGAGGAGGGGAGATGGGAGCGGCGGGAGGATGGGGAAAAGAAAGGTATGGGTCCCAGCAAGAAGGTTCTGAGAAAATTCTGAGAAGGTCCTGATAAGGCTTTAAGAAGCTCTGAAGCGGGATGGGTGCTGTCTGCCACATGATTCCACCTCACATACCATGTTCCAACCAATCAGGTAACCGCATTCGCACACAGTAACATGGTAACCACGTCTCACCATGGTGATGGTGTAACCGATATCGCCCTCCTCTTTGCATTCCTCCACGTCTAGACTCGTGAGGTGGTTCAACACCTTCACATCCTGCTCCACCGTGCTGTGCCGTATGGCACCGCAGTTGCACAGCTGGAAGAGGGGGGAGGGCGACGAGTTGTGAGGGGAGGTGCAGTGCGGTGAAGAGGGGTGGGTAAAGATGGCGAGAACCGGAGAAGGGAAGGGAAGAAGGTGCTTGAGCAGCTGCACATCCTGCTCCACCGTGCTGTACCGTATGGCACCTTAGTAGCACCGGGGGGAGGGATGGAAGAGAGGGGAGAGAAGGGAGTAGATGGAAGAGGAAAGGGGAGGGCAAGGGGCAATCGTGGGAAAGAGGGGGAAAGGAGAAGGGTGATAGAGGAGAGGGAGAGAGTTGATCGAGAACAGGGGACGGGGGATGGGGGAGAGGGGAGAAGGGAGAGGGGTTGAGGGACAGGGGAAAGGAAGAAAGATACGTCGAAATGGCTGACAATCGCGGAGAGGCAAATCGGAGAGGCGTGACAGCACGCGTGCGTACCACGTTTTGCCAGAAGTGCGTACCACGTTCTGCCAGAAGTGCGGGATCTTATCGAGCACGGCCTTGCGCTTATCGTACAGCGGCCTCCGGCGTTGTGACACAAACGAGCGCTCCACCTCCAGCACCTCCTCGGTCGCCTTGTCCGTCACCTGGCGAGCAGCGCACGCGAGAAAGAAGCGCGCAGCGCAGGTGAGAAGGTATGGCCACGGTGGAAGGCGAAAGCGAAAGGAGTTGTAAAAATAAAAAGGTCCCAACGGGATAATGGCGGATCTGATAACGGGTACTGGGTGCAAGAGGTTCAGGGTTCGCCAGAAAGTTTAGCCAGCGAACAAACAGCCGAGCGAAGTCCCGAAAAAAAAGCCTAATCTACGTCAGATGCGGACCTCCTCGAGCTCTTCGTGCAGTTTCCGCATCTTCTCCACGAATTCCGCTAGCATCTCCTCCGCCATTGTCGCCGCCGCTTGTCCGTTCGCCCCTGCAACCTTCTTAGCCTCTTTCCCTCCCGCATCGCCCGCGCGCGCTCGTTTCGATTTCTCCATCACCATTGCACGGCAATATAGTCAGTACAGGCCAGACTAGTCTGAGTAAACAGGAAGAAAACTGCCTGAGTAAACGAGCGCTGGCTGGATTGAAATCCGTTCCCAGATTCAAGCTGAGTTTGCAGCAAGCACAACACCATACGTGCTCGACATAAGCCTGAAGGGAATAGTGTTTCTGCAATAAAAAAATGTTTGTCCCACTTGAAATACTATATACAGGAGTTCATCACAAGCTTTACAATGAATGCTGGTCACACACATCAAATACTACTGAGAAATTCTTTACTATTGAAGTCAGGCGGTGCTTCTCTCTTTAGCGAATCCGCAGTTGCTATCTTCATGCCTTCGCGCAGCAACTGGGAAGGATCAAACAGCTGCAACAAGGCATATTGATTCAAGAACACAAGCATGTACTTGTACACATTTTCCATTGAGAGCTTGTCTTGCACAAAGTCTGATGCAGCAGCTGCGATTGTCTTCGCTTCCTGGGGGTGCTCATTTCCCCAATCAACAATTTTCTGCACAAGAGAAATAGCACATTTTAACGACACTCTCGAGTGGATACAAAGACAGTGAAAATAATAGATTCCAACCTAAGGCAAGGTCATGTCAACTCACCTTGAGGTTGGTGCATATGGGGGCTTCGCGTGGGAGAGGCACTTCAATATAGTGTGTGCCATTATGCAGTCCTCTTGAAAAGAAATCATAGTGTCGTGTCTTGATGAATATGGGTGTGGAAGCACAAGCGAGGATGTATTTCAGACTGCATGACCATGAAGTCCCCTCCACATACACCTTATACCTGCCAAGATACACACGAAGCCAGAACAAGATTGTGAGATAGGAGCAGATGGAGGAAATATACACCCAGAAAGGCACACTACCAATTGGCCAAGCCTGTGAAATAAGGATCTCAATGACACAACTCAGGGAGCATGATCCACAAAACAGGCAATCCAGTGCCACCATCCCACCTGTGCCTGCACTGATTTTCCAATCGTGTAGCCTCCTCTGCAATCTCATGCACCCAGTTCGTATCCCACGCATCCACTCCCCAATCTATCGCTGCCTCCTTCCCCTCATTCCCCTGACCTTTTGAATCCTCCCCCACCACCCCACCTTCTTTACCACCACCTCCGCCAGCACCCTCTTTGCCCTCTCCACCTCCTTCCCCTCTCTTCTGTCGGCTACAGTTGACCAAAGGACCTCTGAAGTCCGGGGCGACCCAGGTGGCGCCCTTCCACTGAGCACGAGGGATTCTGTCTTTCCAGGGAATCGAGCATGTGCCTTCTCTGATCAGCTTCCTTGCTGTGTCCCACTCCCTGATTCGCACTTCAGGCCTATAAAGGCAAAGCAGCAGGATTAGAGGCGCCTCAGAATATTCAAGGTGCACTTCACTTTCATTTTCAAATTGCATCAGACTCTGACAGATGCAGAGTTCACGGAAATTTAAATGTTGATGAAGATTCCTTAATAGCTTGATTCCCGATGCACTCACCAGCCCCAGAAGGACCAATCAGGCCACACCACGTCCAAGTGCCGGGGCGTGCTACAGTACTTGAGCAACAGAGGGGGATGGGTGGCACCTGCATGAACTGCTGTCTCCACCAGCGGCCAATCACGGCACTCAAACATCAGATCCACGTCGGGCACACACCATGTCACGTTATATGTTACACCTGTCATTGGTACACCGTGCTTCGCTGTTCTGTTGCTATTTGATGCATCAGCGGCATGAGGAGAAGAAGCAGAGCAGGGAGGGTAGCTGCGCAAGAGTTGGAGGATTCCCCAAAGTGTAAAGAGCGCTCGGGTTTGGTAGCATCCCTGAAGAGAAAGTGAGTTGAAACGCAGGAAAAATGAAACATGCAGTGAGCTGGCAGACGTAGAAATTAGTTGCTTAATTCATGAGATACGCATCCTCATCGTAAATGGTGAACATATATTATTTGGTAGTCTCACCGCATAGCGCTCCACAAAGAGCTCGCCCTTCACAATAAGCACACGGAACGATGCTCCTATCGCGCGCGCGTTAGCGAGCGCCTCCTGTGTGATGCCGCCTCTCTCCCTCCATGGCCGGAGGTCGTCTTCAATGAACCTGAAATACTCCGGAAACTGATTCTCCCCCTTGACCTGTGGATTTTCACCATTTTTTTCACCGATATCCACAATTTCTTCCATCCATGTAACGGTGTCATTAGAAGCTGCTTCAAGAACGTTAGGGCTTGGTGGTTTCCGTGATCTGCACAGGAGACGAGCAGCCTGAGCAGCATCAAGGGTCTGCTAGACGGAAACTACTTCCTGCGTAAGAATGCGGAATGGCATGACATTCGACAAAGTGCTGCCGTCTTGTCAAACCTGGAAATGGAGAGGGCGTTGTCAAGAAGGAGCCATTGGAGGAAAAGAACCTGAAATTCACACTCGAGGTTTGTCAGTAAAGGATTGAAACCATTACGCAGACCAGCTTAATCATATCGATCTCACTCACCCCAAAGAAGCATATAACTAAAATCGGGATCAATGGAATCTTCATTCTAGCGTGAAATTTAAGCGGCGTTGGACAAGAAGCAGCTTTCTCCTGACCTCACTGAAGGACATGATTTATAAGTGCTCTAAAAAGCGACCACGGGAGACGGTAGCTGTCAGGATAGTAGATGGCGAACAACAGGCAATCTTGCCTCGACGCCATGCTGCCTCCCTAGCACTGCTGGCAAGACACGAATCAGTGAACTGGGCTGCTCGGAGCATCGATCAACCCGAATGGAGAAAAGGATGGCACCTGCCATGGCCGGGGAATTCCTTGAGGCATAAATGTACAAACACAAGGCGAAAGTCTGGCAATTTCCCCAACACAGAAGTTGGGCTGGGTTACAAAACATATTCCCCTGCTGGAACTGGTGGGCGAAACAAAGAGTTTCCCATGGGCAAAAACATGTTTGGATACACATATGTTGGAGCGAAATCCAGTTCATTCATGTGCTTCTGAAGTCGTCGTGCCTGCACCAGCGTAGGCCGCTTCCTCTCATAACACAACTACCTCACCACGTTTGAGAACAAGTTTCTCGATCGAGGAAACAGCAGTCTAGGCAGAATTAGGAAGCTATGGCTATCTCTGTGGTTAGCATTCGCTGTGCTGCCTCCACCACCTCTTCGCCCCCACTACGCCTCATCCGGGCGGACCATTCCGTTAGATCCTGCCTAACCTGGTTGAAACCATGCTCAGCGCGACAAATCAGACACCCACTGACATCCTCCACTCTCGATGGTTGGCCTTCTCAATCTCGGCGTTCGTTCCAGAGCAAGGTTGTTCCTACTGGCGTAATCACCGCCAGACAAGAGGCTGCTGACTTAAGCTTCGAGAAATTGGAAAATATTGATCAGGCCGATTCAATGGCCGACCCTACCTCGCTGTGCCGTCCACCGCTGGTGCGCATCGCAGCCGTGGCGCTCGCAGCCGCTTCGTGCTCGCTGCTGCTCGTCTTGAGTCCAGCCATGGCTGCTGGCGGGAATGACGGGCTGCTGGACATTCAGTCGCTGAGACCGCGAGTGCAAGAGGTAAGGGATTGGGCAAGAAAGGTCTCCGCGGCAGAAGGAATAAGCAGCCGGGAGAATGAAGGGTGTTTTTTGCTCAAAAGTATCAATGTCCGGCATTGTTTTCCATCACTCGCAACCTTTATTGTATCTGTTTCGAGAAATGCCCTTTCTGGTTGTTCCATTGAGCAGCAAATTAACGAGTCGTACGTCAAGAGGGATGGCCAGGATTTGTCAGTGTCTGATCTGCAAGGCGCGACCTTCATGGAAGCTTCTCTTCGTGGCACCGACCTGCATGGGTCTGACCTTCGAGGGGCTATGTTCACCAAGGTATGTTGCATGGTTCCATCTCACTTATGTTTCTTATATGTGACTCTCTGTGCTCACCAAGAAGCTGGAAGGAGCCAGATTAACTTCGTATATGGGACTAAGTCCTCTTGTAAGAGTCACGTTGTTGAGAATGCCAATTTTTCTGTCCTCCTGTCTAATCTAATGTCCTGTGTTTCCCTTCAATGCTGGACTGCTCTGTTTCGCCCTCTAGGCTGTCCTGTACAAGGCGAACTTATCAGGAGCTGATCTATCAGATGCCCTGATTGACAGAGCAGTACTGAATGATGCAGACCTTCGCAACGCTGTACTTCGAGGGGCGTGGCTGGCTCTCACTGACCTCGGAGGAGCCGATATTACTGGGGCTGACTTCACTGACGCCATCATTGACAAGTATCAAGTAAGAAAGGGTTTTTTCTGGTTTTTGAGAGTTGCTGCGGTTTGTGAGTTCAGCAACACTTTTGCATCTGTCCTCTAATCCTTTCCTGTTCACTTCTGCAGTTGAAACAACTGTGCTTGAGGGCTTCTGGAGTGAATACTTTAACGGGGGCTGACACTGCAGAGAGCTTGCGGTGTGCATCTACAAAGTTTTATTCTGGCTCTGGAAGCACAAGATGATAGGATGTGTGATGTAATTGGATTGAATGTGGCTTCACGTTGTGGGCTAAAGGTATAAGTGGTCAGTTATTGTACACAAACGCCGAAGTGTAGGCAGATTTGTCAGTAATCGCGCAGCCGTCCATTTTCTGGGAAGGGCTAGCCCCGATCCAAGCTGTGCCATTCGTTGGATAGTCCACGTCAGCGTGCCCTGGAGAATAGCTAGTGTTTAGAGCCGTCAATTCAGTTTCCCGCAAAATATCCGCCCTGTTTTCACTGAAAGTTGCTCGTCAAGCAGTGACTATTGCACCCGGCACGCACCTAGTCTACTTCCTACCTCAACTAGTTCCTGCCGTGGGAAGGCAGCTGCGTTGTGATATGGTAGTAGTGACTGACGACGGTAATTCGTGCAGGAGCGCTTATGGCTGACGAGCCTAAGCTCGATCTTGGCTAGCAACTGTATCCATGAAATGGCGAATGCGCTGACCTTCTGCGGATCAGTCAGAACACCTAGTACCCGTGAAATTTCAGCTTATACGTCGCACGTGTCTCACGCGGCGCGTCGCAGGATGTTTCGCAGCATTGTGCGCATTGCCTTGACCGTATCGGCACAGCCTAATTCGTGATTTCGCTGCTGTGGTCGTTGGGGAACAATTTTTGCAGCCTCGGTGCACGAGACGCGACAGACGTGCTTTGATTGGTAGACGGTATACTGATGCGACATAATGGCCTATGTATAAGATAGGTATGAGATGGCTATACAGGATCTTCGATTGTAGATGAAAGAGTAGGTTCGTACCACGGATTTCCGAGCAGTCCATGTGTAAAAAGTACGCCTTTTCCGCCTGAATACTGACTTCTCTAGCCTGTCAGACGTCGCCACGTCAGCCATGGAGGGCGCGCCTGCGCCGCCACGTAGCAGCGGAGCAAATGCGGAGTTCTACCTGCCGAACTATAGATTAGGGAAGACGCTGGGTGTGGGGTCGTTCGGCAAGGTGAAGGTAGCGGAGCACGTACTAACGGGACATAAAGTGGCAATTAAGATCCTGAACCGGCGGAAGATTAGGTCGATGGACATGGAGGAAAAAGGTACAGCGACCTTCGCTTTCCGTCTTGGAACCCTAAGAGCGTGAATTGGGGTCAAACTTTCCCTGCTTGCCATTTGCTGGATTTTCTCCGCGCTAGCGATTAAGCTTTATCTCCTTCAACAATCAACCGAACCTTCGTCCCTCTCGGCTCTTCTCCATCCCACAGCATTTTCGCTCTCAATGCATCGGCCGCTTCATGCATCTGTGCCTGCACCATGTGTCGAGTCATCTGTCCACGACATGACAGAGCCGCCTTCCGGCCGCAATTCTCCTCTCCCTCGTCCCCTCCCTTTCTTCCCCGCGCCTCCCCGCGCCGCCCGGCAGTGCGGAGGGAGATCAAGATCCTGCGGCTGTTCATGCATCCGCACATCATCCGCCTGTACGAGGTGATCGAGACGCCCGCGGACATATTCGTGGTGATGGAGTACGTGAAGGCGGGCGAGCTCTTTGATTACATCGTGGAAAAGGGCAGGCTGTTGGAAGACGAAGCCAGACGTTTTTTCCAGCAGGTGTGTGTGTGTGTGTGTGTGTGTGTGTGTGTGTGTGTGTGTGTGTGTGTGTGTGTGTGTGTGTGTGTGTGTGTGTGTGTGTGTGTGTGTGTCTGTGTGTGTGTGTGTCTGTGTGTGTGTCTGTGTGTGTGCCTGTGTGTGTGTGTGTGTGTGTGTGTGTGTGTGTGTGTGCGTGTGTGTGTGTGTGTGTGTGTGTGTCTGTGTGTGTGTGTGTGTGTGTGTGTGTGTGTGTCTGTGTGTGTGTGTGTGTGTATGTGTGTGTGTGTGTGTGTGTGTGTGTGTGTGTGTGTGTGTGTGTGTGTGTGTGTGTGTGTGTGTGTGTGTGTGTGTGTTGCCCGTGGAATGGTGCTGCGAGGTGGTAGAGGCGCGTCAATAGTCATCTTCGTGGTGATGGATAGGTGAAGGCGGGTGAGGTCTTTGACTGCATTGTTGAGAAGGGCACGCTGCTCGAGGACACGCTGCTCGAGGACACGCTGCTCGAGGGCAGGCTGCTCGAGGGCAGGCTGCTCGAGGGCAGGCTGCTCAAGGGCAGGGCGAGGCACGGCGGTTCTTCCAGCAGGTGAGTGTTGCGCTCAGGTTGGTGCTGCAAGGTGGTAGAGGCGCTGGCAGGAAGTAGTTTGCCTTGACTGCATTTTGGACAAAGGGCGTCGGTTCGAGGTCAAGGCACAGCTATTCGTCCAGCAACTGAGTGGTCTCTACAGGATGCAATCTTTATAACAAATTCATGTTAGTTTTTCTTCTAACGGGCGTGTGAGGTTGTAAGGGCGCTTCATGCTCTCGCACCGTGTGGAAGGCCTTGAGAGTTGAGAAGTGCCGTTGAATGAACACGGTCTTCTGATGGGAACGCTGCATTGATGGCTTTTTGAAACAGCTCCGATCCCGTTTCTCCTCACCTCCCTTTTGCCTCTTTCTCCCCTTCCATATCCCCTTCCATATCCCCTCCCCCCCCCTCCCGTTCCCCCCCCTCCTTCCATATCCCCTCCCCCCCCCATTCCTCTCACTCCAAAACACCTCCCGTGGTTCAGATCGTGAGCGGCATTGAGTACTGCCATCATGGTGGTGCGCTGTGACTTAAAGCCCGTCCCCCACGTCTACCCCTGTAAACCCCCACCCCCCTGTTATAATTCAGATTGTGAGCGGGATCGAGTACTGCCATCGCAACATGGTGGTGCACCGCGACTTAAAGCCTGAGAACCTGCTGCTGGACGCCAAGGGCAACGTCAAGATCGCTGACTTTGGGCTCAGCAACGTCATGCGCGATGGGCACTTCCTCAAGACGTCCTGTGGTAGCCCCAACTACGCTGCTCCTGAGGTATGAATGGGGCAAATGCATGGGTTACAAAGCTGCTGTTGCTTAATAGAGGAACTGTTAAACCCAGGTAGCTTGTCAATGTTAAGCTTGTTGACTTTGGCATGTACTCACTGAATTATTCAACACTGGCTCTGTCATGTACTCCTCTTCCCTCCTCTCCTCTCCTCTT